TGTGGCCTGGGAGAGCAGTCGAGGACGGCCCAAAGCTTTGGGACCCTGCACCCGTGTGGGAGACCCGGAAGAGGCTCCTGGCTTCGGACCGGCATAGTATCGGCCCGTTGCACTCACTTGGGGAGTGAATCATCAGACGGAAGATCTTCCTCTCTGTCTCTCCTCTCTGTATATCCGCCTTTCCAATGAAAAAATAATAAAAATAAATCTTAAAAAAAAAAAAAGAAACATACTACAGGACATTGAGATCAATATAGAATTCAGTATTCTAGGAAAAAAAAATTTTTTTTTGAGCCTTATGATGTGAGAATGACTCTAGGAAGCAGACGCCCTGAAACTATGGTTATTCCTCAGGGACAATAACTTGAATGAAGGCAGTGCTACACGCAGAGATGGCCAAGAGCCACCAAAGTCCTTCCCTAAAGCAGAGGAGGACGCAGAGGAAGAACAGTGTGTCCAGTCAGCAATGCAGGGTAACAGAGCCTATAACCCACCAATCCACATGGACGTGCTGCCAACAGTTGAGTTGGGGTCCAGCTCATTTACCACTAAACAGAACACAGGAGGTCTGTCTCAACAAAAGGGAGCACTGAGGGCCCTTAACCACACCACATGCTTGAACTGCTCTCAGTTTCAAAGTCAGTTGTAGAATGTTAGGAATAGGCTCTCTTTCAACAAAGCTTGGCCCTTTAGAAAATAAAAGATGACAGCAACAGGCCGGAAAGACTATAGCCACCAGTGCCCTGGCATAGTAAACCCCATAGCATGGAAGCAGGGGCCCATGTTTTCATGAGGGAAAATGACCAGTTGGAGACAGATACCAATCCAGGATAAGAAATGGCCTGATGGAACCAAAGCGCCTCACTTCCCAAGCTCAGCACTGAACACAATGCAGTCACAGGTATCGTGTTTAAGGCACACAGATCAAGTGCTTGACGGTCTGCACCCCTCAACCCCAAGCTGGAGGAGAGCCAGACATGGGCTCAGATACAAATGTCAGTGACCAACAAGGAGGTTTTGTAAATGGCAGCAGTCACTTCAGGCACCACACTCCTGCCTTGCACATACTGAACACATATTTTTTTCTACCACAAAACGTGATTTTAAACTACACAGCCTCTATTCTTTTTAAAAAAAAGATTTCATTTTTATCACAAAGTCAGATACACACAGAAGAGGAGAGACAAAGACCTTTCATCTGATGATTCACTCCCCAAGTGACCTCAACGGCCAGAGCTGAGCCGATCTGAAGCCAGGAGCCAGGAGCCAGGAATTTCTTCCAGGTCTCCCACACGGGTTCAGGGTCCCAAGGCTTTGGGCCATCCTCAATTGCTTTCCCAGGCCACAAGCAGGGAGCTGGATGGGAAGTGGAGCTGCCGGGATTAGAACCGGTGCCCACATGGGATCCTGGAATGTTCAAGCCGAGGACTTTTAGCCGCTAAGGCCACTGCGCCAGGCCCTATTCTTGTTTTTTTAGGCAAGAAGACATCAAAACCAGCATTTACCCTACCAAGCAGTGAGGCTGTAACTTCAACATCCACCCATGCGAGCCAACCCATGTACAACAGGAAACCAAGAACCTGAAGCTCAAAGGGAACCACTCCTCAGTGTGGCCAGTTTCCTTTACCTCATGCTTAGAGCTCCTCTGGGCTTTTCTGCCTTTAACCACAGCCAACTTCATCTCCATGTCCCTGACAACTCAAAAATACACTAAAACAAACTAACAGGTGTGGAAAGGTGAGGAGAGGCAAAACCCAAAGCCAATCCAAGTTTATTCACGTTAGTTTTTGATAGTCTTTTATACGCTCTATTTTTAGCCATGTGTGATGTTCCCATGAATGGCTAAGTACCATGAAGAAATCCTGGGGCCAGGCGCAGTGGCCTAGTGGCTAAAGTCCTCACCTTGAACTCGCCGGGATCCCATATGGGCACCGGTTCTAATCCCGGCAGCTCCATTTCCCATCCAGATCCCTGCTTGTGGCCTGGGAAAGCAATCGAGGACAGCACAAAGCCTTGGGACCCTGTACCTGTGTGGGAGACCCGGATGATCTGGGCTCCTGGCTTTGAATCATTGGATGGAAGATCTTCCTCTCTGTATATATCTGACTTTGCAATAAAAATAAGTAAATCTTAAGGGAAAAAAAAAAAAAGAACTCCTAACCATCCATTCATGAGCATCAGCCATACTGTCAAGGCCCCAAGGAAAAAAACCTGTGATCTAGATCATTCTTAAAAAGTGAATTTGTCAATTCATAAAATGTTCCTTTTCTTGTTGGCAGGAAAATTCTGCCCAAGTTCAGAGATAATCAGATTTTTCTCTTAGCTCCCAACTCTTTCTCCAACCCCTAATACATAACACAAACACACATCTCATAAAACTGTCTTGAGACCAGTTTCATCGCAAGCAGTGATTTGCACCACTTTGGTAGCTTTGGCAACTTGGCAAGAAATGCCATTCACTTTTCCGAAGGAGCTTGAGGCCACGCGATGCAGCCACCTTCCCTGGCACTGCTGTGCTGCAAAGGGGCACTAGTCACGACAGTTCTCGCAGAAAACTGAGGATCCCCGACACCTCTGGCCAACACTTCTTGTACTTCGGTTTCCAAAAACACTATTCTCATTAATAGTAATGGGCTAATCACACCACTGACCAATTTATTTCAGCTCAGTTCTTTATTTCACAGAGAGCAAATAGTAAAAACTCCCTTGGCATGTTAGAAATGGTCCCCAAATGATTTGCTAGCTTTCCTACGAATTATCAGTCATTACTGAAATTACCTTTACTTGGTTACCAATTAAAGTTGCCAGAAATGTGAAGGGGGGGGGAGGAGGGAGGTGAGGGCAAAAGGGATGGGAAGGGTTGGGAACCTGAGCACAAAATTTATTCAAGATATAATACAATTAACCATGCCAAATACTCTTTCAGCAAGCCAAAGAAATCACAAAACACATTCAAATCTCCAGTTGCATTTTTCATAAGACACCACCCTGGTAAGCTGTAAATAAATATGTAAGGGAATAATCCTAAGGGGTCTTGAGGTTCCCAAGGTTCCTAGGAGACATCTTGAAGCACTGTAAAAGAACAAGCCAGCCCGTCACCAACATCCCCGAGCATCCTTCCCCAATCCTATGGTTTGCTGCACAGTGGTGACTGGACTTAAACATACGAGCTGCAAATCAATGAGAATCCATCCCTTCCCTTTCACGCTGTAGTCACGACTATGCACATTTGTGTCCACAGATGCTGTGAGGTTACGGGAGAAGGACTCAAGAAGAATCCTATTAAGAACTTATTACAAAACCAAGTTTCTACATATGATGTCAATTCACATAGGAAACTTCAATCTGGTTGTACGGGGGCCAACAACTCAATTTCCCAATATACAATTTGTAAAACCCACTCCAAATGGACACTTAACCCTTTTAAAAAGTGGATAATCCCAACCCCATTTCCTTATATCCTACTGCTCTGTAAACTCCTGGCTGACATTCACACAAATGTATTCTACAACTAGCATATTGACAGGGAGTTTTCTTATATATGCACTCAACTGCATCTAAAATCTAAGAATTACGAAGAAATAAATTAACTCACTCTTGGATATCTGATCCAAATAAAAGCATAGGGGAACAGAAGCAAAACGCAGGTTCAAATCATGCTCACCTTATAGGTCTGTCAGTGCTTGCCATGGCTCTGTGATGGTTAAAGCAGACTGCGGGCCATCACAGACCTAGTGTCTGCTTTTTCAATTATTCGAAGTATGACATGTGGAAATGTGCAGTGTTCCTGAGGCATAAATCTGAATCACGGAGGCAAAGCTGAGCGACAACACTTCATTATGGCTGTGTTGTGCTATCAAATGCTGCCCTGGGGTTTGTAACCTCAAAATCCATAGGTTACCCTTTTAACAATACCAAAAGACCTCTATTTTTTCTTTTTCTCATTTTTCTTTATTTAACCTTTGCCAAAATAATTTGTGTACTGAAGGTAGTGAAGAATTCTTCTGAAAGAAACACACATGCGCAAGTCAACATATCAATGAAGAACTGCAACTCTGCAGAGTTAGGAAGCTCAGAGAAATGTTTCAACTCAGATTTAACATAAAATGTTACAATGTAGGAGAGTTAGTTGCAAATAAGTAATTTTCTCCAAGTGAAAATAATGCTTTATACTGGAACACCAACAGTTCTTAAATGGACGCACCTTATTTAATTAATTCAAAATCTGCACATTTACATTTGTTTTCACCATATGCCTCCTTTGGATGGGAGGGCAGGCACCAATTTTTCTTATTCTCAGCCCAGGTCGAAATCTGTGGTTAAGACAGATCAAATCCTTCATGACTTCTAAGAACACACAGAAAACCTCATGGTATCAATTAAATGATACACTTCAGTTTCAAAATATCAGGAAGTAACAGGAAGCTCTTTGGGGTTGGAGACTGTCCTGGATTTTTCTCAGGTCTCTGGCAGACAACTACTGAATCACACATACAGCCCTCCAGCCTATCTCCCAATCACGGTACTTCCTACATGTCCAGCAGCTCAACCTCCACCTTTCTCAGCATTCTGCTCATTTTCCACTGATGGCGCAATGGATGACTGAGATGGAAACGCATCTAAAACGCCTCTAGGGATCCCTCACTGAAAATTACACCCAGTTTTTAACTCACAAGTCTCACAAGTATATGAAGAATTTACCAAATGGCAAAACATATTGTGCTTTCTTCTGTAACAATCAGATGAAATTTTTAATTAAAACGTGATGCAATGGTTAATAACCTTGCAATTTCCTTTGAAATCTTAAGTCACGCTAACTTGAGATGAGAGTACAGCAACACTTTGAAACCTCTCAATAGGCCAAAAAGCTCAAAATAACTTCTAGCATTAAAGGAAGCATGACCAAAGATAGGCAACAGAAACCAGAGAGCGCGCACTCACAGAAACTGGGCTTTATAAGAAAGCTTGTATATATATATATTTTTTTTAAGTAAAATGCCTTTTGAGTTAAATCTCATACCCACTCAGACTGTAACTGGACAGTACAATTCACTTCTAGTTACTAGAAGACATTTCCTTAGAAGAGACTGCAGCAAAAGGGAAAGAGGAGACTACCAGCTGTTTCTGAGTCCAGCCCATTACTCCCAAACAAGGGAAAACTGATAAGTTCAAGGCAAAATAAAGTGACACACACTAGTAAAGACAAAACACTTTTTAGTAACTTTTTTTGTCCTTTAGAAAAAATGAGTCCTATTCTAATAAAACTACATATAGCTCAACTGACATTTTAAAACATAGCAGAGGACACAGCACCATAGTTTCAAACATTCACATACAAAAGGGGAAAAAAAAAAACCCAGCACAGACTAGATCAGATTTCTCAAAAAGACAGGGTTAGGTCCCAACATGTAAAGGAACTATAATCGCCTATTTGAACAAAAGCAACATGGAAGAACCAGACAGGCCAGGGTGGGAAAGGGAGTGCTAGTCCTTGTACTACAAGGAAGGAATGGGTTCTTTATTAAAAAGCAAAACCCCAAAAAGCCCCCAAATGGATTTTTTGATGCTGAAACTCTGTCATACGTTTCTGGTAACAGTAAATATATATATATGTATTTACTTATATATTCATATATGTATGTTTAGAAAAGAAAAATAATCTATTTATAGAAGTCAGTAGTCAGAGACATTTAGAAAAAAAGTAAAAACAAGTCCTTTTTTTTGTTTTCTTTTTAAAAATGGATTTACTAAAACAACTTCCTCCACAGAGGTGCTTTGACCCTAACTCCTCTGGCGAGGCCAAGGTGGTGTTACTCCATAGCATCTGATGTGGGCCCCACACTGCAAACAGGAGAGCTCAGGGTCAGGGCTGCAGGCAAAAAGCTGTTATCTGCTGGTCTTGCTCACGGCCATGCCTCATGCCGGAAGCCTGGTGGCATCTGGAATACGTTGAATGAAGGTTTTCCTGAAACGCATGCATCACTGTAAGACATTCTGACCGGTCGTCGTCTTCTTTTTTCTTCCTCCAGAAGCCTGGATTCATGTACCTGCTCCCCTCTAAAGTTTAGACCCACGGTGGCCAGACTTCTCCAGACAGGGTGGGAAGAGAGAGAGCCTCCCTCCTCGGGATGGGAAAAGCTTTCCTCTGGCAAGCCACCGGCATTTCTGACCTAGATCACGACTACCTCTTCCTCAGGGAAACGAGATGAACTGCCCTAGACAGGAAGTTTTCTCACATGAGGGTTTCTTCTCGGGACAAACAAGCACAAGTATCTGAGGGGTGCTGACTGTGTCACCACCCCACAATTTCAACCCCGTTTCTCCTCCTTGTACCTCTACAGAAGGAAAATGTGCTCTGCCTCTTTTCGAACTATCCCAACTAATGAGACCCAATCAATCAGTACCTTCAGTTGGTGTTGCCTAGGTTGCAAGCCTCTATTATCTACTGACTGGTAAGCCACATCCCACACACCCTGCCAGCACATCACTCTATTTAATGCAAACTGTCACCCTACAGCTCAATCAATCAAGTATCTGCCCTTGATGGAGTCAACCATACCCACAGAGACATGAGGTAAAATACTGGCTGCTGTACCAAAGATGCCCTCCACACAGATGTGTTGACAGAGAGCGTAGCTCACACAGTCCACGTCAAGCAGAAGCCAGCACTAAGGGAACTTTCTCTGAAGGTCACTCATCTTTGGAAGCAACATTCTGAGCGGATCTAACCCACTCTGCTTGATGACTAGGGTCTCAATGTGGTCCATTTTCCCCCAAGTCCCAAACTAAACAAGCAATTGCTAACTGGTTTCTTTAAGATCCTCCATGGGCAGTTTGTAGCTCATTATGAAGGAAGGAGGTGGTGCTTCATCTGGGCTATCTGGGCCCTGCTTCTTTGCACAGTTTATACAGATGTAATCTTCATTTTCAGCCATTTCTGGAGATACACCCACACAAACTTGATGAAACCACTCATCACAGCCACCATCACATTGTACCCAGTCTACCTGTAGGAGACAAGATTGGGGAATGTTTAGGTTACATAAACATTGAGCCTAGAGTAAAAGCAAACCAAAGAGTTCCTCTTGGCTTAAATGATAGCAAACAACTGGAATGTCCCAAAATACAAAATGATTCTTATGGGGTTATTTATTTTTAATGAAAGAAGCTGAGAAGTTAATACCCCCAAATTATATTTTACCATAGTGTGTCCACAAAAATGAGGCCTCTTAGGTACTCCGTTACCTCATGAATACCTGGGCTCCTTGTGAGGCAGAAACATGTATGAGGAAAACTTGACAAAAAAGGGAACTTCTAATAAGAGCAGCAAAGTAGTTTTAGCTAATATTAACAATCTCTAGGCTCTAAGATAATGCAATTATCAATCAAGAAAGGAAGAATACAACAATGTGAAGGCAATCCTGTGTATTAGCTTTATTTCAAAGAGATAAGCCAAAGTACTAAGAACATTAAATACCTTTTTAGAAAAGCAGTCACATAGGCCACTTTTTAAACTAATATTTTTTATTCTTCTCTTCTTCCGTTACAAATACAACTCCCTATAAAAAGTTAGCAAATATCAGAGGTCAAATCTTACAAATGAACCAATTATAACAGCAAAAGACACAGGTCAATAGATCACTCTGGGCTTTAAAATTCAAGACTGGGACTGACGGGTCGGTGACAGACGCCAGGCCAGCCTTGCCCCTGCAGAGAATGCTGTAGTTACAGGGAACGCAGCTGCATGATGTGAAAGCCTTGAACCTGACCTTCCTGACTCAACAATCAAGTGCCTGTTGGCTGTTCTAGCTGGAGGGTGACTGTTATAGTAAGTGTCACAGCAGACGAGCACCTTTAAGATGAAAAGTGCTACTCTCTCACAGAACAAAGGTTGGCAAAATAGAAAGCCCCTGAAAACCAGCAGCAGATGATCAGAGCAGATGATCAAATCGAGGGGTATGAAGAATCAAAGAGGTATGCCAGACAGTTTGAGAAAGCAAAGGAAGAAGGCTTTAGCTAAGTAAATGAATTTCATTCACGGTTAAGTTAGAGGTTTCCAAAATTGGTTTCCATTAAGATTATCGAATCCGGGCCCGGCGTGGTGGTGCAAGTGGTTAAAGGTCCTCACCTTGCACGCCCGGGATCCCATATGGGCGCCGGTTCTAATCCCGGCAGCCCCACTTCCCTTCCAGCTCCCTGCCTGTGGCCCGGGAAAGCAGTTGAGGACGGCCCAAAGCTTTGGGACCCTGCACCCGCATGGGAGACCCGGAAGAGGCTCCTGGCTTCGGACCGGCATAGGATCGGCCATTGTGCTCACTTGGGGAGTGAATCATCAGACGGAAGATCTTCCTCTCTGTCTTTCCTCTCTGTAATATCCACCTTTCCAATAAAAAAAATAATAAATATAAATCTTAAAAAAAAGATTATCGAATCCACACTGTACTTATGCGTTCAAATTTGTAATAAAAAAAGGGAAAAACTTGTTAAAATTATTTGTCTGTTTTTATGTTTCCTTAAGTTAGGATTTTGTTAAACTCAGTCAAACGCTCTGAGTTCTGGTGTGGATGATTTTAGTTGAGTCATTTAACCTTATGGAGACCCAACTGCTCCAACCGTAAATGGATGCATCATCTGACTACAAGATTAATAAGAAAACACAAGAAATAATATATGGCAAGGAGCTGGCCTTGTGTAATACTAGCATCCCGACTGGATGCCAATTCAAGTTCACACTGCTTTACTTCTCATCCAGTTCCCTGCTAATATACCTGGGAAGGTATAGCACAGAATGTCTCTGAACCTGCAACGGACATGGAAAGAAGCTCCTTCTGGCTCCCAGCTTGTGGTCAAGTAAGTAAATAAATAAATGTTAAACAATAATACACAGGGTCAGTGATGTGACTCAACAGGCTAATTCCTCTGCCTGCTGGTACCAGCATCCTTCACAGCAGTAGTTATGTACTCCATTTCCAACCCAGCTTCCTGCCTTTAGCATGGGAAGGCAACAGAGGACGGCTCAAATCCTTGGGTCCCTCCCTGCACCCATGTGGCAGCCCAGGAAGAAGCCCCTGGCTCCTGATCAGCTCAGCTCCAGCCATCGCGGCCATTAGGAGAGCGAACCAGTGGATTGAGGACTTCTCTGTCTCTCCTTCTCTGTGAATCTGCCTTTCAAATAAAAATACACCGTTACAAATATTAATTATGGCCAAAAACACACCAAGTTCACTGCCTGATACTGAAGCTATTTTTGAAGATGACTCTCACAGCTCTCATCACCTCACTTCCATAAAAGATTTCGTATCGCAAGGTAACTGTGTGGATCTCCTGCATCAGAATCAACTATTCTGTCTGTTACACACAGATCTGGGACCCTCCCCAAACCTACAGCGGAGTCTGAATCAAGAGCCTGCAAGTCATTCTGACACGCTCTAAATTTGATCATTGCTGGAACTTTAGCAATACTCTTCCCTGAAAACCCATGGTCGTCAATAAAAATAAATCTTAAAAAAAAAAAGTAGTAATTGATCAAAATGTTGCTATTGCAGCAAACTTATCATAGACAAAACAGGGGGAGGGGGAGAGATAATGGCTTCTGTGCAACAAACACAAAAGGTACTGCAAGAAAATGAAGATTCACAATTTGCCCAGTAGATAGCAGGGAAACCTAGGGAAGTGTTCTGGGTGTTGGAAGATGGCAAAGGGTACTGAAAATGTAAGCTATTTCTTTGGGCTGTCCAGGTTTGAGAAATTATTCTGTTTATCATGCAACCCCCAAGCCAACAGACACTTCTATTCCTAATTCTAAAAACACCTTAAGCCTAGCCTGCTCCCAAGTAATGTGTTTCAAGTAATTTTAAATCTAGTTTTTCAATACACCTATTCCTTAGTTTCCAGTTTCCAAATTATATCTATCACTTTCTTTCAAATATAATATTATTCTTTGTTTTTATTGGAAAGGCAGATTTGCAGAATAGAGAAAAATATCTTCTATCTGCTGATACACTCCCCAAATGGCCACAATGACTACGGCTAAGCCACTCCAAACAACAGAAACCAGGAGCTTCTTCTGAGTCTCCTGCATGGGTACAGTACCCCAAGGCCTTGGGCCGTCCTCTACTGCTATCCCACGCCAGAAGCAGGGAGCTGGATGGGAAGTGGAGTACTTGAGACATATGGGATCACAACGTATGCAAGATGAGGATTTAGCCACTGAGCCATTCTGCCAGGCCTTAATTATTCCTTTTCTGATTCTGACTAGAGGTCAAGGGCTAAGGTAATTGGTCCCAAGTCTAGCTTTCCTATCATTTCAAAAGGATGTGGGACTTTTCTTGTGATACTTATTGATACAGATTCTATCCCAACCTACAGATTCCATAAGAATTTACTCTGGGGCCTTGAGCAGTGGCTTAGTGGCTGAAGTTCTTGTCTTGTTCACGCCAGGATCCCATATGGTTTCAAGTTCTAATCCTGGCAGCCCTGCTTCCCATCCAGCTCCCTGCTTGAGGCCTTGGAAAGCAGTCAAGGATGACCCAAAGCTTTGGGACCCTGCACCCACGTGGTAGACCCAGAAGAGGCTCTGGGCTCCTGGTCTCAGACTGGCTCAGAACTGGTCATTGGGGCTGCTTAAAGAGTGAATCATCGGATGGAAGATCTTCCTCTCTGTCTCTCCTCCTCTTTGTATATGTGCCTTTCAATAAAAATAAATCTTTTATACATATTAAAGAATTTACTCTGGGGTTAGTGCCACAGGTCATCAGACTAATCCACTACCTCCAAGAGTTCGCATCACATATAGGTGCCAGTTCACATCCCACCTGCTCCAATTCTGAACCAGCTCTCTGCTTATGGCCTGGAGAGCAGCAGAGTAGGGCTCAAGTCCTTGGAACCCTGCACCAGAAGCAGCTCTTGGTTCCTAATTCCTGGCTTCAGATTGCTCAGCTCTGGCACTGCAGTCATTTGTAAAGTGAACCACTGAATAAAAGAACTTTCCCTCTCTGTCTCTCCTTTTGTAAACCTAATTTTCAAATAATATTAAATATTTTTTTTTCAATTACTCTGAAAATATAGCAAAGAAAAACAACCACCTTTTTATTATCTTTTCATCTTGCTCACATATTGACCATCTTTGTTTCAAAAGGCCCAGGGGTCAACAATGTGGTGTAGTGAGCTAGGCCTCCAAGTGAAGCCAGCACCTCATATGAATTAAACTTGGTGTCAGTTCAAGTCTTGGCCACTCCACTTCAGATTTAGCACCCTGCTAATGTGCCTGGGAAAGCAGTGGAGGATGGAGGATGGCCAAGTCCTTGGTCCCTAAACCCACACAGAAGTCCCAGATAAAGCTGCTGCCCTGACTTGGCCTAGCCTCGCCCTGCTCATCACAGCCTTTAGAATCAGCAAATGGACCTGGACATTCATTCTTTCTCTCTGAAACTCTCTTTCCTAACTCTGTTTTTCGAGTAAGTACATCTTCAAACAAATAAAAAGGCCCATAGGATAGTAGGCAACCTGAAGGTTGGAACATTCACTGAATTCTGAACTCATCCACAAAAAATTCTGATACAGAGGCAAAAAACTATGTAACAGCTTGGCAAATCAGGAGCTGAAAATCTGTCTTACCATACATTACATTTTAGTAGTAATGTGCCCTTTTATTAGATCTGGGAGATGTGTCTAGTGAATCACAAAAATCAAGAAACTTCACATCTATGAGCTTCAATTAACTGATAAACATATTTTCTACTATACATAGTTACTATCACCCAGATCTGGGGGATACTTCTGTTTAGTGTATGTGTGGTCAGGAAATACATTAAGTAGAGGAAATAATGCTATTTTGACATCCATGATTTCAGTTTTACATGTAAGAGAAAGTTGGCATATTATATTGTTAATTTCTTACAGTCTATTATCACACTAAGGAAAAAAAATCTGTGATAGTCTTAGCTTTTTCAACTAAGCTTTTGCTATTGTTATTTACGCTCTTTTGTATCAAGGTTCAGTGATATATATGTGATTTTTTTAGTGCTGCAAATATTTAGTGGTCAGCCCACCCAGCTTGTCCAGAAATGACAAATTTTCCTGTATGCAGGAATTTCCATGTTAAAACTGGCTGAGCCTCAGTAGGGGCAGCTGGTTTCTCGCTGCTCACCCCACCACTGGGTGTCTGCATCTCTGTAACCTCCTACTATGCTAAAAGGAGCAACGAACTGCTCAAGATAACAATAATGCAAATATTTTGGTGGCAACAACACCTCCACATAAATCTTTCAAAAGCAGAAGGGCATACATTTTTAGCTGAAATCCCTTAATTTATGAGGTCAAACTACTTACGGAAGAAGTAATGGGTAAGTAAAAGACCCATAGAGAGAGAGAGGAAAAAAAGTATTTTCTTGTACAAAATGACTAAAATACTTACTTTAACCCTGAAAACACATAAAATATATCATCTCAAAATGATTTCCTCTTTAAGCTTTTAAAGACTTATTTTTATTGGAAAGACAGATATACAGAGAGGAGGAGAGACAGAGAGGAAGATCTTTCATCCAATGGTTCACTCCCCAAGCAACTGCAACAGCTGGAGCTGAGCCAATCCGAAGCCAGGAGCCAGGAACTTCTTCCGGGTCTCCCACATGGGTGCAGTCATCCTTGACTGCTTTCTCTGGCCACAAGCAGGGAGATGGATGGGAAGTGGAACTGCCAGGATTAGAAGCGGCGCCCATTTCCCAAATTTGCACAACTGCCTCTGCCTTGCCAGGTTAATCAGGAGTTAGAAACTCAATCCTGGTTGCCCAAGTGAGTGGCACAGAGCTAAGTACTTGAGTCATGGTCTGCAGCCAGTAGGGTGTGCACTGGAAAGAGCTGGAATGGAGATGACTGGATTCAAATATACTCTGACTCAAAAATACTAGGTCAGATGCCCACCCCTTAAACTGATTCTTAGAGAAAACAGCTCTTATTTAAAGATCACTTCATCTTAAAGTAAATCTCAGAGGAGATGGAATTGAAAAAATCTTATTACATTATGTTATCTTTCTTAAATGTTTCTAAAATATCTTGGGGCATATTTAAGTAACCATTCTAAATTCTAAAATATTTCCCAATCTGCATATTTTTCTAGGGAAAAGTAATAGTAATTACCAACTAGAGAAATGGCACAGGAACATTGAAAAACAAATGAATCCTAGAAGTGATTTCTTACTGCATAAAGAACAGTCTTCCTTAAAGAACATTTTCTTATCATTTTGTTTAAAAATGTGTGCCATGAATTCATTAGGATTCCTTAGCAAAATACTACAACTTGAGAAAACTGTAAAAAATTTTTAAAAACAAATAGACTTATTAAAACTAAAAACACAAGGAGAAACCTGAAAGACTGCCAAATGCAATGACAGGCAAAGTATTTATAATCTGAAATAATTTTATAAAAAACTAGAGAAACATAACACTAAGACTGTTTTATGTAGGCTAATGACAGTAATGCACAAACTGTTCACGTTTACATATTTTGACTCTCCTTAAAATACACATTATCTTTGAATAAATATTCACTTAAAATCTGTGTTGCTTCATAAAAATGCAAATAACTTTCTAGATTTAAAAACATGTATACAGAGGAGCCAGCCCATGACATAAAAGCTAACCCCCCACCTGCAGTGTGGCCATCCCATATGGACCCTGGCTGTTCCACTTCTGATCCAGCTCCTTACTATAGGTCTGGGAACCTGGAAGAAGTGCTTGGGTCGCAGCTTTAGACTTGGCCCAGTTTTGGCCATTGTAGCCATGTGCGAAGTGAACCAGCAGATGAAAGATGTCGGTCTCCTGGTCACTCTCTATTACTCTTCCAAGTAAAAAAACAAATCAATCAATGGCTCAGCTGGTTAATCGTCCCCTTGCAAGTGCCGGAATCCCAGATGGGCGCCATTTCATGTCCCAGCTATTCCACTTCCCATCCAGCTACCTGCTTGTGGCCTAGGAAGGTAGCAGGAGATGGCTCAAAGTTCTGGAACACTGCACCCACATATGAGATTCCGAAGAAATTCCTGGCTCCTGGCCCCAGATCAGCTTAGCTTCAGCTTATTGCAGCCATTTGGAGACAACTGGAGGACGGAAGAACTGATTTTTCAAAAATCAGTTTTTTGGGCCCAACATAGTAGCTAAGGTCCTTGCCTTTCTCGTGCCAGGATCCCACATACGTGCTGGATTTAATCCCGGCAACTTTACTTCCCATCCAGCTCCCTGCTTGTGGCCTGGGAAAGCAGTTGAGGACGGCCCAATGCTTTGGGATCCTGCACCCATGTGGGAGACCCGGAGGAAGCTTCTGACTCCTGGCTTCAAATTGGCACTGCTCCAAGCCATCGTGGTCACTTGGGGATTGAATCATCGGACAGAAGATCTTCTTCTCTGTCTCTCCTCTCTGTATATCCAAGTTTCCAGTGAAAAAATAAATCTTTTTTAAAAATCAATTTTTTAAAAAAACTGAGAAACAATCCACAGAGTTCATTTAAAATTAGTATCTTAATAGTTATTAACATGTAAGCTTTCATGGACATTACGACATCATAACCCTGAGGTTATCTACTAATTATTTTATAATGAAAGTTAAAAAGTCATGCCTCTGTTGTTTACACGCCACAGGGAAACAGCAGGGAAAAACAGATAAACTGATCATATTCAAATGCTAAGAAAGATCAAGTGATCAAGAACATGAAAAGAGAAGATAAAAAGGTTCATAATGGATATTAAGTATCATAAAAATGACTTCAAAGTTTAAAAAAAAAAACCCACCACCACCAGAGAAGTGCAGTGTGGCAGCTGGGTGGTGCTGTGGCAGTGGTCTGGCTGCTGCTGGGGAAGCCTGCATCAAGCACTGGAGGGTGGGACAAGTCCTGCCCCAGTGGTGGAGCATCCTCCTCTGGGGACCCAGGTGGAGCTACTGGCTTTTGTCGGGCCTGGAGCCTGGAGTGTTGCAGCAGGCATCTGGGAGGCGAATCAGAGAATGGAAGGTCTAATCTCCACCTTTCCCTCTCTGTCACTCTGGCTCTCAAATAAATTAACATCTAAAATGGAAGCTAAAATGTATCTTCCCCCTGCCTAAAAAAAAAAAAAAGGAATTTATCTTCCTACTAGCCCTTTAAAGTTGAGCTCAAATTCTTGCTGCTAGTCTTGAATCAGCCATAAAGTTAAAAAAAAACAGAAGGTCCTGCCACCATCAAGCAAACCCTTTGACAGCTTAAAATCCTCCATTAATGCCCTTAACAAACACATTCAGATGGAGGCAAATTCAAAATGAAAGATTACAATATGGTATATTTACTAAAATTCTTTAAACTGTTTGAGGAAAATGCTTTTGAAGTGTTTAGAGCAAGACATAAAAATGATCAGACAATATGACAATGATATAAAAAAAAAAAAACCCACAGGAAAAAAAATTAAGAAAGAATCATACCAAAATATTTATAGCTGATTATCTGTGGAGCATTACACTAAGGGATATTCATTTTTTTAAGAAAATGGAAAATCTCGAAGAAGTCTAATTTATATGTAAGTGCATTCAATTTTGGAATGTGTATTTGTACTTACTTCTCATTAATCTGTGGAGCAGGGATAATTATTACCAGACAGAACCCAGTCCAAGAGCCACTAAATAGTTCTTAAATTCCATCTTTATCATCTCTATAAAATGAGGAGCCTAACCAAGGCAGTCTGCTGCTCTCTTCCAGCTCCACAGAGGTGTACACATCTTACTGTGGAAGGAAGTGAGGGCACAGCCTCCTGCAACCATGCTGCAGTGTATCCATCCTGCTCAGCTCTTTAAAGTGGCATGAAAGCCTAGCAGGTAAAACGAAAACTATGAATTTATTTATATTCTTAATGAGAACTCTACAGATGCTTTCAGTCAAAGAACTGGATGTTTTTTAAAATATAGTCTGTCCATTCTGCTCAGCAGCTCTTATCAATGTAAAAATGGCCAACACAGATTATGCTTAAAATTGAGTGTTGTAAAATCTTAAATAATATCCTTAAGGGTATACATTATTTGTTCCAAAGGATTTGAGTGAAATTGATTCCACATAGGCACATAGGCCTGGGTGTAGGTAAAATACAGTTTGAGGTCTTTGGAACACAAACCTAAAATTAATGCAATCTGCCCAAATCCTGGCATATTGGACTTGTACTTGGTTCAGGCCACTGTGGCTGACAAGGTATCTGGTTCTATGGCTCACCCTACAATGGAGGCGCAAGACTGAACGCTGTCTGGTCCACTGTGTCAGAAACATACCATCTGCCAGGGATGTCTCATTGTGCTCATCGGGTACATGACTTTTAAAACACAAGCCTTTATTTACACACTGACCTAAAACCTTCGTTAGTCAAAAGAGCTTATGGATACTGTAGAAAACATGAGTTTCCCAGCCTGGAATCGGAACCTGCTATCACCCTGACAACCAGACCTGCACAGCTGCTACTCCCTAAGCTCTCACACTGGCCACACGCAGCCGGGACTCACCTTGTCCTTGCAGGGCCTCTGGCAGTTCTGTGCTGCACACACAGCATTCTCATCATCAGATTCCTCTGCTCCTGACCAGTCATACTTGGAGGGGATGTCCAGCACCTTTTTCTCTCTTTTCTTCTCAGTATTCTCTTTCACAAGTTCCACTTTGGCAGCAGTAGCCTTCTCCTTCTTTCTCTTTCTCTCTTCTTCTTTTGCTAATTTCTTGGCCAGTTTGTTCAGCTCCTTTGATTTGTCTGCATTTAACTTTAATTTCTTCTTTTTAGGCTTGTCCATCTTCTTTAACTCCTTAGACTTCTGTTTTCCTTCCCCAAAAAGTTGTTCTACCTTTTCTAACTTCCGTTTCCGCTTCTTCTCGGAAGAGTCCTTTCCCTTCATTTTTAATGGTTTCTCTTCCATGCTATCATCCTTGAAAATAAAAGCAGAAACAAGGCTGAACAAGACATGTAAAAACAGTATTATTCTGTTATGAGATATCCCACAGGAGGCATTTCAGAGACACAGCAGGAACCAGAGACCCACCTGCTCACTGGGCACCAAGTAACTTTTGGAAATCAAATCTGGTTACAACTGCAGAACATTCAAACATACAGAATACAACTAAATTGTCATCTAAAAAAGGTTAAAGTGGTAAGTTCCCCATCATATATATATATCTTGAAAGCAACCTAAGAAAAAGAAGAATTCAAAAGAACATGGGGCCACAAATGTCTAGAGTGTGTTACACCTTGAACAAGATAATGATGTGCAGAAAATGTTTTGTATACCAGAAACAGTATCTAAATCAGATTACCAACAAAATGAATAGAAGGTGTCAGATGCCAAAGCTTTTAAACTACATGTAAAACCTTCATTTCACAGCTTTGATCCTTAGTTTCTCTACAGGAAGAATGCAGTAAACAGTCGTCTTATCCATGTCCTTTGCCTCCACTCTCCTGGTGAGGATCAGGAGAGATCCCAGGCACCAAAAAAACGTATAAACTACAAACTATTATCCAAGTGTGACACACGAATGCGGGCTCTCCCTTCGACCCAATCCACATCTATTAATCCTCTTGCTTCAAAAATATTTTTTTGAAAGCAGGTAGTCAGAGAGGCTAACAGAAAACAAAGAAAGGTCCTCCCTGCTGATCTAATGCCCCTAACACTCAGAAACAGACAAAATTTAAGAGTTCAAAATTCAATCCACGTCTCCCACCTGAGTGGCAAAGACTTGAGTCCAGCTGACTCCTAGGAATAAGAACTTCAGGAACACAAAATTGAGAGCAGAACCAGGCCTTACTCCAGGCACTTCAACATGCAACACAGGCATCCTAATCAGCCATCTTAACCAACCTCAGAAAGCCTTGTCTGTCCCCACCTGGACAGCTTTAAGGCCACTTTTTGTAAGCATTAAATCCATACCTCCATGATATGCAGGAATCTGTCTTCAGAGGGTGGGTGAGTGGCCTGCAAAATGCGCCAAATGTGCTGAGTCTCGTCCAGAGATACTTCTAGGAGATCTCCCACCATCATCAGTTCTTCCAGCTGGGCTTTGGCTCCAGGTGACAACTCCAAAACCGGAGGTTCCAAACTCCGGGGCACCAAAGGGCTCTTTCGAGGTTGTTTCCTTGGTGTGCTAGAACCTTTCCCAAATCATAAAACGAAAAAGGAAAATATGAAAAAAATGCAATGTTTTCGAAGCAAACACTTAGGGAAATGGTCTCCTCCCCCCACCCCAATACTGACTTTAGGTATCTGAATTCAATGTAACAACATGAAGAGAAAATGAAATTAAAAACAAATATAGAAAACAAAACATCTACAATTCTAACTCTCACTCCAAGTAACTGAGTGAAGAATTGAAAGCTGGTTCTTTCCTAGCTATTTGTCTTCAAGGATTACTTACTCCTGTGGTGATGCTGGGGCAGGGATGGAGGGAAGGGAGTGAGAAAATCTCTTAACTCATGTCATGCTCTATCCTCTCTAGACAATAATAAAATAATACACAATTAGTTGCCATGGGGAACCAGTTATCTTGTAATGAACAGTCTATGATATGTTGGTCCACAAATCTGCAACTTATTATGAAGAAACACCCTTCATCTTTCAGAGTTGTGCACTAAAGCAATGTGACTTATATTCACAGGGAAGAGAAATGCAAACATTAAGAGAAATAATCTACCAAGAAAATTTTAGACACCCAACCAAATGACTATCTTAAAAAGTAGAGAGTCCCTCATCAACTGGTAAATACCAAGTAAGAGGGGAAATGACAACTATCAGGGATTTTACAGAAATAAAGAGATGGTACTTGATGACATCTAAAGTTCTTCTAGAGTCTGTCATAGTTTTAAGCCTCTGCCTGTGACACTAACAGCCCATATGGGTACCAGTTCAAGTAAGTCCCAGTTGCTCCACTTCCAATCCAGCTACTTGCTAATGTGCCTGTGAAGGCAGTGGAAGATGGCTCAAATGCTTGGGCCCTGCATCCTCATGAGACACACAAAAGAAAGCTCCAGGATCATGGCTGCATCCCTGTCCAGCCACAGCTACTGAAGCCATTTGGGGACTGAACCCACAGATGGAAGATTCTGTTTCTCCTCTCTCTGTAATTCTTTGGAAAAAAAGAAGCCGCTTCTTCAAATAAATCTTCAAAAAAAAAAAAAAAAAAAAAAACCCCCAAGTCCTTCTAATGAAAACTGTATGATCTCATGTAAGCTTAAGCTTTCAACCTGCAATTAAATTCCAATAAATGCAAATAAACTTCTTTTTCTTAATCAAAATTGCATTTGCAAGTTCTATTAGTATATCATAGTCAGGCAGCATATTCAATTTAAGAGAAATCAAGAGTCTTTCTTAACATAGTATTTTCTTCCTCCCTAGCTTTAGGTTCATCTCTTCCCACTTTTTGAGCATAGTAATACCTTGAGAACAACTTTTGGAAGCAGAAGAGTAGGCGTGCTCTGCGCAGAAGGAGGGTGCTGTCCACATGTGAGTTACCACCTCCTCAGACTTGATAGGGATCTCCTCATCACAAAAAAGGTTGGGCTCCAGACTGCTGGAAGACTTCACACTAGCTGTATCCTGAAGAAAAAACACAACGGAACCCCCTTCACTCTGTGACAAGGACCCAGACCTTTCTTCAGAATTAGCTTTCAGGTGAAAGTTTACACAATACATTTAAAACACACGAAAATTTAAGTATATGACATAAAGTTTCCATGGGGGAGAAAACTGTAATGACTACCATTTCAAGCCAAAACTAGAGAGCAAAGCTCAAAATTATCCAGTGAGAGTAAATCTATAAAGAAGCTGCTATTAAGACACCTGCCATTTACAATTCTCATTATAAAACACACTACATGGCATGATAAAGCTGCTTCTTGCCATGCTGCCATCCCATCTGGCATCCTGTTGAAGTCCTGACTACTCAATTCAGATTCAAGTCCCTTTTAATGGTCTGCGAAAAGCAACTCAAGAAAACCCAAGTGCTTGAGACCCTGCAACCAACATGGGTATGGCAGACACCTGGGGAATGAAGCAGTGGAAGAGCCGCTCCGTCTCCCCTCTCAATCACTTTTTCAAACAAGTAGGCAAGTAAACCATGTTTTCTTAAAAATATTTATGTATGTTTTACTTTAAAGTCAGTACCGGGGGGGGGGGGGGGGCTAGGTTCCATTTTCTAATTCACTCCCCAAATGGCTGCAACAGCCAGAACTGAAACCTCCAAAGCTTATTCCAGATTTTCCACATGGATGCAGCAGCCTGAACTGTCCTCCGCTGCTTTGCCAGGTCAGAAGCTGGAACTGGATTGAAAGTAGAGCAGCTGGGACTAGCACTGGTGACCATGTGGGATGCACTTGGAAGATTACCTTACAGAGCCACTACATCAGCCCCAGAAATAAATCTTCATAAAAATATAAATAAGGCCTGGCACTGTAGTATATAAGCTAAAATCCTCACCTTGTATGAGCAAGGATTCAATGTGAGTGACGGCTCATGCCCTAGCCACCCGATTCCCATCTAGCTCCCTCCTTGTGACCTAGGAAAGCAGTTGAGGACGGCCCAAAGTACCTAGATGGGAGACCTGGAAGAACCTCCTGGCTCCTGGCTTTGGACTGACTCAGCTCTGGCTGTGGCAGCCACTTGGGGAGTGAACCAGGTGATAGAAGATCTTTCTGTCTCTCCTTCTCTCTGTAAATCTGCCATTCCAACAAAAATAAATAAATCTTAAAAAAAGAAAAAACACACTAATAAATTATATGTGTCATGTTCCATTGTCCTCTATGTAAGATACGTATAAAAAGCAATAAATATCCTCCACAGTAACTATGGACCTGTGTGAATTTAACTGAAATAGTTGAAAACGTGATGGGTTAATAAACCTTGATCCTTTTAAAAAAATGAGCTTAAAAAAAAAAAAAAAAGAAAGGAGGGCCCAGTGTGATGGCGTAATGGTTAAGGTCCTCGCCTTGAACGCACCAGGATCCCATAGGGCGTCAGTTCTTATCCCGGCAGCTCTACTTCCCACCCAGATCCCTGCTTGTGGCCTGGGAAAGCAGTTGAGGACGGCTCAAAGCCTTGGGACTCTGCACCTGCATGGGGACCCAGAAGAGGCTCCTGGCTTCGGACTGGCTCAGCTCCGGCCATCACAGTCACTTGGGGAGTGAATCATCGGATGGAAGATCTTCCCCTCTCTCTCTCCTCTCTGTATAACTGCCTTTCCAATAAAAATAAATAAATCTTACAAAAAAAATCCCCTTCCTAAAAATAAATGGTATTACAATAATCTAGATTCTTTGGAGTTTTGAAAAAAAAAAATTTATCATCATGAATTCAGGAGCAATAACTAGTTCTCCCTTCCTTTACTCCTTTACTCCTCAATCATCAGCTTTTTAACAAATGCACCAGCAGGTACAATCTCCACACAGCCTGCCGTGAATTACCTTCATGTCATAGCCGTATGTCTCCCGAATATCTTCATCAGAATCTGTTTCTTCATCATCATAGTCCATTGTTTGTCGAGGGGAAGATGACACACTGCTCGCTACCCGGTTAAAAGCAGACTGCTGGAAACTAGGTAAGTGCCCCTAAACAGCCAGAAATTCCAAGATAAACACACACTACACAAACAAGGGTAACACTAATATGTGCTGAAGGAATGTAATGAACTTAACAGTGGCCAACACAGTTGTTCAATTAGTAAAATTAAAATTATTTGATTAGAACACCAACACCCACCTGTTAATAGTTTACTAAGAAAACCAAACTACAATCTAAAGAGAATACTTTGGGTTTATGTAGAAGGGAGATGTTATGGTTATAAACTGTAAGCAAGTTACTGCAGTTTTCTCAGCCGATTGGTAAGACAGATTTACTATTCACACACTGACACTATTTCCACATAAATAGAAAGGGAAGATAAATCCTGTACTTGCCTGTAAGTCTGGATTGGCAGCTGCTTTTTGGAGTTCTGCACTAATGATCTTCTCAGTTTTTTCTCGAGCTGCTTGTTCCACCATACGCTGGCTCAACACAGACAGCTTGGCCAGGGCAGAGGACAACTCATCTGTGGCCAGGGCCTGCCGGGCTCGATCCTGCCAACTCATAGCACGTTCTGTCAAACACTGTAAGGCCTCCCCCTCTGGCAACCGTACAGGCAACTTTTGAAGAGACACCAGGAGTGACAGAATAGTCTCTAGCCTCGGCCTTCGAGAACGCATACAAAGAGGGCAAAGGAATTTTACTTCTTTAGCCTGCCAATTGGATCCTTTCTTCTGGGAACTTGATTTAGGAAGGGGAACACAGCTGTTATGGAACCAGTCTTTGCACAGCTCACACTGCAGCATAAACCCACTTGCTGTCTTGCGGCAAATGCAGAATTTCACTTCTTCGATGCGGTCCACCATGGTCATCTTGGCTAGGTTGGCTGCTCTAAGGGAATGCATGGCTTCAATCTCCTTTTGTTCCCGTTCTTTGAAAACTGCCACCTAAACATAACATTTAATTGCAAAGAGTCACTGCAGTACACTTCCCTAGCAAACACCAAATCCTCAAGGCAAAGTGATTTTTTTTTCTCTTCAAGTTATGACCTCATACTAAAAGGTCTCTACAATTTACTTGATATTAGAATATCAGTCTGGTGACCAATTATAACATTAGTGTCTTATTGACACTCATTTTCAATAAACTAAAAAAATGCAAACAAATCTAATTATGAATATTGCCAGCACACTTTTTTTTGAATTACTAGCACCATGTCACCAGACCCCCTCTTATCTCAAATGAAATGAAAAAAGTTTTAAAAATTGGGTGACGGGCATTATATTCAGCCTATTAATTAAATAGCTGGCCCAGATACCCACATCGTATACTGGAAGCCCCGGGCTCCTGCCCTGTTCCAGCCTGACTCCAGTTTCTTGTTAATGCAGATCATGACAGGCAGCCATGATAATCAAAAGTCCTTTAGTTTCCTGCTGCCCCGGGGGAGACCTACATTGAGGTGCCAGCTCCACAACTTTGCTGCAGCATCTGGGGAACAAACCATGCATGGAAGACTGGTTCTCTCTGCCTCTAAACAAATTCTTTAAAATATAAATATACATATTAATAAACTGCCAATAGGTTTGAAACAATTTTCTGTTCTAGTTGGCAAGATTTGACTTGCTAGGCTAAGCTCTAATTTGAGATGACGTTCGCTGGCACCAAAACAGAATAACTGCAGGTGGACAGAAGCCTTATTAAGTTAGTAGGTGTAACCAATTCCCTTACTATCATGAGTTGCGCCAAATCATTCTGTTTTCACTGTATACTTCGTCAGCTTCCTAACAAACTGAATACATCCCTGTTAGCAGCCTAAAAAGGTAGTTATCATCAGACACTAACACTTCATTGTATATTCGTTATGTTGAAAGCTGCTAAGGAAAGAGATTTTTCAAGTGGTATTTTCGAACATCTTCACAGAATTCTGAGTTCACGTGGAGAACTCAGGATACGTTATATCGTTACTTACCACCACAGCTGTGTCTCTGCTCTCTTCCAATCCTTCCTCCAGGTCACTCAAAGGTTCAATGTCCAGATCCTTCTCTTTTTCTTTTTCTATTATTTCTTTAACTTTTTTCCGTCTATTTTTACCACTCCCATATACACCAATGTCAGTACGGGGACTTAGCACCTACAAAAAAATGTGACCTCTGATTTTCAAAAGAATCTTAAAAACAGTGAGGAAAAAAGCTGCTAACAACTCATAACGTCACAGGTATTTTCTAAAGGATTTTATATACATAACCTATACAATAGGTGCTATGACTCACATTTTACAAACAAGGGAGTCAAGAGAATGAGAAAAAAAATAACTTGTCCAGGAACACAGGGATGCAACTGCAGAGCCAGTCTTTAAATCTAAAACAACCTCATTCAAAAACTAGGCTACTAACTACTACGTTCAACTGCTCAGGATGAAAAGGACAATGAGTAAGGAAATCTGTCTTTCTGGCCCCAGCGTGACGGCTCAACCGACTAACTCTCCCCTCGCAAGCACCTGGGTCCCCTATGGGTGTTGGTTTGTGTTGTGGGTCTCTACTTCCCATCCAGCTCTCTGCTTGTGGCTTGAGAAAACAGTGAAGGATATCCCAAGGCCTTGGGATCCTGCACGCACAAGGTGGACCTCAAAGAGGCTCCTGGCTTCGGACTGGCTCAGCTTTGGCCACTGCGGTCATTTAGGGAATGAACCAGTGGATGAAGATCCTTCTCTCTATCTCGTCTCTCCTGCTCACTGTCAATCTGCCTTTCAAATAAAATAAATTTTTTCAAAAAGAAAACTGTTTGAGAAGGAAAATCTTTCAGAGAGAGTACAATAACAATAAAGCAAAAAAGCAAAAAAAAAAATCCAAGCTGACTTCTTTTTCTGTACACAGCACAAGACTAATTGGAAATGAATCTGCCCAGGGCTCCAGATTTCAAGTCAACATATTACATCTTATAACAAAAAAATCACTTATATAGGAGAACCAAATAAACTGAAAACAGCCTTCATTGTTGACCTAAGGGGTGATAAACCGACAGCTGCTGAGGAGTGGTCAATACCTGTAACAGGGTATGGCTCGAATTCTTCTTCAGAAAGGTCCTCCCTGTGCGTTCTCTCCAAGCCCGTGCTGCGGCTACTTGTGACTCCACCTGGGGCAGCGCATCAAGACGCACAGGAATAGGACGTCCTTTAGCAGATAAACTCTCAAGTTGCTCCAAGTAAGCATAGTTGCTGCCACTCTGAAAAACAAAAGCAGAATCTCACACAATTGGAGCTCTATATTAAAAAAAAATTAAAGATTTATTTATATTTGTTGGAAAGCAGATTTACAGAGGAGACACTCAAAGAAAGATCTTCCATCTGCTGGCACGCTCCCCAAGTAGCCACAATTATAGGAGCCAGGAGCTTCTCCCGGGACTACCATGCACATGCAGGGTCCCAAGCCTTTGGGTCATTCTCCACTGCTTTCCCCAGCCACGAGCAGGGAGCTGGATGGGAAGAAGAGTACCTAGGATATGAACCAGCACCCATATGAGCTCCTGGCACTTGTAAGGGAAGGATTAGCCACTTGAGCCATCACACTGGGCCTCCAATTTGAGCTCTCTTATGAAGCTTTGGTATATTGATGAAAGACCTCAAAGAAAATTTAGCATGAACTGTTTTCTTAAATATTATTGTTTAAACTTAACTGCATCTCTTGTCATTGCCCTATCTTAAAAATTTTGTATTAAAGCATTTGTTTACTGAGCAAATGGGCAAATATTTACTCCTTAGTGTGTGAGGAAATCAGTAAAACCAGTGCAAAGAACAAATGAGGAACAAACTTTACAATTAGGAATGGGGCAATAAAAAAATTTCTGTCACATATGACAATGCAATCATCTTTTCTACAGTGGGGAAATTCACCGTAACACAAATTCAGTTGTTTTCCTCTGGATACAAAGCAAAAAGTAGAATTTTAATTCTGACAACCACCTCGATTCAATGTTATATAAACAGAAATAAGAATTAATACACACCGGCTCATGTTTTCAGTATTTATATGTAATGAACTCATTATTGTTCTCTGAGCTTTTCTTTTTTTTTTTTAAAAGGTTTATTTTTATTGCAAAGTCAGATATACAGAGACGAAGATCTGCACTTGGCACCCACCTCGCAGGAAGGCCCCAAAACCCAGGCCAGATGACCCAAGCCCTGCTGGATCCCCCACCTGTGGGGCTCACAAACCCAGCCCCCACCACACAGATGTGCCCCAGGACCTGAGCCAAGCTACCTGAGCTCTGTCAGATATCCCGTTCCTGAGACACACAAACCTGGCCCCCGCTGGGCCCAAGCTGGCATGATTTGCCTCAACTCAGCATCCACAATCTTAATTGAAGAGCCTGGCATGTTCTAGCCTGTCCCTTGTTCCAGTTCCTGCTAGCGGGTACAAAAGCAGCTCTTGGTTCCAGCCTGGCCCTGCTCCGGCTGCTGTGGCTATCTAGAGTATGAACAGTGGACTAAAGAAATATTTCTCTGATTTTCAAATAAAACAAATCTTTCTTAAAAAAAAAAAAAAAACACACACACAAACACAAGTGGGCCTGGCATGGTAGCCTATCAGCTAAAGTCCTCGCCATGAATGCGCCAAGATCCCATATGGGAACAGGTTTTAATCCCAGAGGCCCAGCATCCCATCCAACTCCCTGCTTGTGGCCTGGGGAATCACTCGAGGACGGCCCAAAGCCTTGGGACCCAACATTCACATGCGAGACCCGGAAGAAGTTCCTGGTTCCTGGCTCCTGGCTTCGGACCAGCTTAACTCCAGCCATTGTGGTCCCTTGGGGAGTAAATCATCGGATGGAAGATCTTCCTCTGTCTCTCTTCCTCTCTGTATATCTGACTTTCCAATAAAAAAATTAATAATAATTCACAGGCAAGAAATTATCAATATTTTTTAAAAACTGAAGAGGGTCAAAATAGTCCCATGAAATATATGTTTTAAACATATAATTAGATCATAGCAGCACCATAAGGATTGCTAAATACAACAGGAAAAAAAAAACTTTCACTAATGATAAGAGTCAGAAATGCCTAATTTGTTACTATTCCCTCTTTGCCCAACTATACCCATTTGGCTACAGAATGGCTCTGGTTAAGCATACCATAGCTCGTTTCCAAGCCATGTATCCTAGAGACTTCTCCTATCAAAACAATCTGCCTATTTGCTTAGAGCCTACAGGTTAGTGCTCCCACTGGCAGGAAGGGCCTGATATAGAGAAGGTCCTTCAATACTACAAAGGAAACACATGAACAACTTCCTATGCCTGTTTACTAAGCCTTATACTCATAAACAGCCTTTAAGTATTCGCAGACAAGGGCAAAAAAAAAAGAAGTTTTTTTTCAAGTATATTTCCATAATTAAAGAATTTTCCCAGGGACTGAGGGAGAAAGGAAGGGAATTATGGCTGGCTCTTAGAATTAATCTATAAATACATTAATCTGTTTTCTTTGCACTAATAAAAAATGTATAATAATTATAAACTCAATAGTTTATAATTTAGAACAGTTTTTGTAATTCAAGCATATTTCCCCTCTACCTAGCATTTATTGTGTGGAACTATAATAATACAAGACTCTCCAACTAGAGCATGAGTTATTTTGAAGGCCAGAATCATGTCTCCCCACTCTTCTCCCTTACAACCCAGAACCATACTAAGAGTCCCATAGTGCTGCTCAAAGTTAATTTCATTTTCTTCTTCTATCTCTAAATGTTAAAGGTAATTCGTGGAGACTGTGCAAATGAGCTAATCACATGTCTGCAAGCACCAGGATTCTATATGGGCACCAGTTTGTGTCTTGGCTGCTCCACTTCCCATGCAGCTCCCTTGTGCCCATGTGGTCTGGGAAAGCAGCAGAGGATGGCCCAAAGCCTTGGGACCCTGCACCTGCATGGGAAACCAGGAAGAGGCTCTAGGCTCAGCTCCAACCGCTGCAACCAGTGGATGGAAGATTTTTCTAACTCTTTCCTCCTTGAAAATCTCTTTCAAGTAAAAATAAAATTCTTAAAAAAAAAAATTGAAAAAACATGGAAACACGCAAACAATCTCAGCAACGATAAACCCCAGTTGACAAATATCAAATAACTAACTCTACCATCTTATCAGAAAGCCAATGAAAAACCAGTTGTTTCTAAGTAAATAGTATTTGCTTTGCATAAATTAAATGGAAGAAAAAGTAAGTTTTAATAATTGTAATTATTCTGATTATTCGTAAAAGATTGAAGGTTTATAGGACTTTAATATAGGAGAGACATCACCTCTGGGTAGAACAATCCCAAAGTCTCCTCACCTGAAGAGCTTCCACTTTAGCTGTCCACTCTCGAGCCTTCTGTAAGGCTTCTTTCAGAGATAACACATTGGGCAGAAAGGCTGGAATGTTCTTGGCTTCATTCACAATGCTCTCTAAACTTGCCACGCTGTGTCGTGGTCTAAAGAACAATAAGAACATGGTAGGATGTATGAAGAGAAGTCCAATTGCTTTCAACATTTAAACAGCATTTTGTGGGATGTTCACGTGGCACAGTGCTTTAGCTGACATGAAACACTCATGCTGTGTCAACGCGCCTTAGTTCTGTCCATTTTCTGCTAATGCACACCCAGAGAGACAGCAGGGGATGCCGCAAGTAACAGGGCCTCTGCCACCCACATGGGAAACTTGAACCGAGCTCCCAGTTTTCCAGCCTACTCCTAATCGGTCTCCAGATCAATTTTTAGAAAGGATCCAGTGGATGGAAGCACACACATGTTCCCTCTCTTTCCCTCTTAAACATATAAATTAAAAAAAAAAAAAGAGTATCCCTTGATGCAGAATCAGGCTCTTGACAATACTGAAATGGTCAGATACATGTTTGATAACAAAAAACATGTTAAAAACCCACTAATGTTCACCATGTAAATTGAATTCCATTACATTCAATAATTTATGCAAAATGAAGCAAAAAAAAAAAAAAGGAACTTGTCTTCAATTAATCAGAATATAAAATAAGAATTTTACTTGTTTGGCACTAAGACCAAATTATCTTAGACTCAGTATCATGAGAGCATTTTTAATGTTTCCTACAAGAATTTAGAAGGGCTTTAAGCTAAGTCTTAAAAGACTATGCTTCTGGGCCCAGCGCGATGGTGCAGAAGTTAAAGTCCTCGCCTTGAACAATAAAAATAAATAAATCTTAAAAAAAAAAAATAAAAAAAGAACTATGCTTCTGGGGGCAGGCATTTGGCCCAACAGTTAAGACAGGGTTTGGAACATTTGCATCTCCTATCAGAATGCCTGACTTTGAACCCCAACTCCACTTCCTTTCCACACTCCTCCCTCCTTCCCACCCCAAACTCCACTTCCAATTCCAGCTTTCTGTAAATTAGTACTCCTAGAAGGAAAGAGAACACAGAGGTAATGGCCAAAGTGGCCAGGTCACTGCCACCAATGTGAGAAGACTGGGACTGAGTTCCATACTCCTGGCTCTTGCCTAGCTCTACCATGGCTGGTATAGGCATTTGGGGAATGAACCCGTAAAAGAAAGCTCTCTTTCTGCCTTTCAAATTAAAAACTATATTTAAAAATTCATGAAATTGGGCCTGGCAGCAGTGGCCTAGCAGCTAAAGTCCTCACCTTGAACGCCATGGGATTCCATATGGGCGCTGGTTCTAATCCCGGCAGCCCCACTTCCCATCCAGCTCCCTGCTTGTGGCCTGGGAAAGCAGTCGAGGACAGCCCAAAGCTTTGGGACCCTGCACCCGTGTGGGAGACCCAGAAGAAGTTCCTGGATCCTGGCTTTGGATCGGCATAGCATTGGCCGTTGCGCTCACTTGGGGAGTGAATCATTGGACGGAAGATCTTCCTCTCTGTCTCTGTTCCTCTCTGTATATCTAACTTTCCAATAAATAAATAAATCTTTAAAAAAACACACACACGTAATTAAAGTAGAATTTCAGGAACAGTGTTGTGGAATAGCAGGCAATGTTACTCATCCTATATAGGTACCAAATTGATTCCCATCTGCTTTACTTCTAATCTAGCTCCCTGATAACGGCCTAGTAAAAGCAGCAGGTGGATCACATACTTGGGTCTCTGCCATTTGTTTGGGAGACCTGAAGAAGTTCCTGGCTCCTGGCATCAACTAGTTCAGTACTAGCCATTGCAGTCATCCGGGAGGTGAACCAGGGGATGCAGTATTTCTCTCTCTTTCTCTGGCTTTCTGTAACTGTTTTAAATATTTTTTTTTAATTAAAAAAAAAAACCTAAAATGCTGTCAAATCAATGGTTAAAGGAAAGAACCCAGGCATAAAATGTACAAAGACTTGGAAAAACTACAATTTAAACAGTTCAGCTTGAGAGGGGACGTGGGACAGGAAGTATAGGAAAGAGAGCAAGGATGGAATACAAATGGTGCAAGAAACAGGTCAGTTTGCAAAGAACAATGCGAATGAATCAAGTCTTGAGTGCCATGAATTTTACTAAGTAAAGCAAGGCCAATGAAGGTGAAAGTGGCTCCATCATCCATGAATTCTACTGTTACCTGGCACTGTGCTACATCTTCAAGACTCTGGAGCAAAAAGCAAATTCCTTGGGGCTAGTGCCACAAAGCAGTATGCTAAACCCTCTGCCCATGGAGCCAGCATCCCATACAAGCACTCCTATTCATGCCCTGGCTTGTTCTACCTACTTACGGTTCAGCAAAGAAGAGGTAAATGGACTGAGTAAATGGACTAAGTGCTCACGTGGGATACCTAGAAGTCCCAGCTCCCAGCTTTGGACCAGTCAGCTCTGGCTATTGTGATGGAAGATTCTGTCTCTCCTCTCCATAATGCTACTTTTCAAATAAAATAGATGTTTTACATTTATTTATTTTTTATTAAAAGGCATATTTAAAGAGAGACAAAGATCCTCCATCTGTCCACTCACTCCCCTAGTGAATGATGGCAGGAGCTGAGAAGAGCCGATCCGAAGCCCCAGGCCATCCTATAATGCTTTTCCAGGTGACAAGCAGGGAGCTGGATGAGAAGTAGAGCAGCCAAATTTAGAACCAGCACCCATATGGGATCCTGGTGCATGCAAGGCAATGACTTTAGCCAATAGGCTACTATGCCAGGTCCTAAAATAAATCATTAAAAAAAAAATGGAAGCATAATCTTTGCCTCATGAAATCTTTCAATCTTACATGGAAGATTACTACAAGAATATTACAATACACTGCGCTAGGCAATAATAAAAGAAAAATTCCATTAAAATAGACCCTAGGAAGACCTGACTGACTGACAGGTGAAAGGCTCCGCAGAGATTACATCGAAGCTTGGACAGGCTGAGGTCAAAGCCATGCCTGAGGTAGTGGAAGTATACTGGAGTGATAAGCAGAAGACAGAGTGACATGTGAAATAAATATGGACAGAAGTCCAGAGAAACAAGCAGCGCGTCTGAGGCACTGCAAGGAAAACTCACTATACACAGAACCCAGAATACAAGATAAAGGACAGAAGAGAATGAGGCTAGCTATGTAGGAATCAATAAGTGAGAGGCAGGAGGGAAACTGGATTTACAAGTCAGGAGAACAAGTCCAGATTCCACCCTGAGGGTGATAGAGGACAAGTGGCTGGCTTCCAGCAAGGGAGTTAAACAATGACACCTGTAATTTAGGAAATATCAGTGCATGGCAAGGTGAAGGACACACGAGAGGAGCAAGATCCTACACTGCTGCTGTGACCTAATCCTGCTAACAGTACTCTACGGAAAACAACAGCAATCTTAGGAGCAGTTCCAATGAAGATTTACTCGACTCAATGAGACTGGCGGTGGTGACACAACTGCTTAACATCTTCATGCCTGATGCTTATCACCCAGTGCTTCCCCGCATAATCCTCTACTCTAGAAAAGCCCTTTTATTCTCTGTCTTCTGAACACCTCCAACATATTTCTCAAACCCAATTTACATTTCTCTTACCTCTTCCTCTAGTGTTAATCCTACTCATTCTTCAAGGCGTTACGTAAGCTTTTACTTTCTCTCGAGCTTCTCAACCGAGCATCCAATCTCAACATTCTCTCTCCTCTTCTGAATTCCTATTAACAATTTTCTGTACCCTTTAGGTAACATAATAAAAAGCTTCACTGAGCTTTACAATTCCTAGTTCCTAACTATAGTCATGGTCTCTACCTGGTGTCACTGCAAGTACTCGAACAAAGCACTCTGCAACAGCATGCGCACATCTGAGACAGTCCACTAGCCTACTGAGTCCCCCCACCTGGCAACTTAGTCAGAAAAATCATTTAATTTAGCTTTTAATTGACTAGGCCTTTAGGTTCCCTTTCCCCCTCCCACGACCTGACTTGACTGTTAACAGTGTGTTCACCTTGCCTGCAGGCAGACCTTAGCCTTCTCCTCCCATCGCTCCGAGACTGTAAGGAGCTCCTGCAGTTCAGCCATGGCTTTCTCCACAGCATGATGGGGTGCCAGCCCTACTCCAGAGTCGATCAGTTTCTTCATGACATCCAAAGTGACTTGTTGTGGATCTGACAGGGTCAGTCTTACTTCATCCAACCACCGAGCCTGCTGTAGTTCCTGTTTCAATCGAGGTAACTCTGGGAGCTCCACATAGAGACTGGAGCCCATGTCTATCAACATCTGGAGTTTAGAAGAATCTGGGGTTTCATCCATCATGGCCTCCTGAGCACGTTCGTGAAACTCTTCCACATCATCCAGCAAATTCTTAAAAGTTGAACAAAATTTTAAATGAAAAAACTTTAAAGCCATAAACTACAATGGAAACAGACACAGTTCAGGCAGACTATTAATTAGAGACTCTCTTATCACCTCACTAATACAGAATCAAATATTCAGATGAATTAAATTTATAAATATCCTCCACTGTAATTCTATCCAGTCTTAATTTTAAAATATGACTTATTAAATAAATGTTTAAAAAGTACTGGCTTAGAAGCATGTCCTATTCTAGGCACAAATAATAGAGTAATATATAAAAATTTCTTGTCTTTTTTTTTAAGATTTATTTATGTATCTGAAAGGCAGTTACTGGGGTGGGGAGGAAAAAGAAGAGATGAAGAAATATTCCACTCCTGATTCACTCTCCAAATGGCTGCAAAGTCCTGGGCTGGGCCAGGTGAGCCAGGAGCTGCATCCACATCTCCCCAGCACTTAGGCATCCTCTGCTGTCTCCCTGGGCACATTAGCAGGAAGCTGAATTGGAAGTGGACCAGCCAGGACTCAAGCAGTACCCTCAGGGGATTTTGGCACTGCAGACAGAGGTTTAACCAGCTGAGTCACAATGTCAGCCACAAAGTCCTTGTCTTTAAGAATACACACCAATGTAGGGGGCCAGATGGTCAATATATAAATAAAACATGCCAGCTGATATTAAGCATGCAGATTGCAAAATAGGGCAATATGATACAGATTAACTAGAGAGAGCAGGGGACATGTTACTAGCACAATGACACAGAAGACAGATGACCAAAAACTAACAGAAGTAGGTTGTGACTGGAGCTATATGAACATCTTAGAAAAAAAAATCAGTTTCAGCAGGGCAAGTAATAATTCCAAAAGCATTGAAAGAGAATGAGTTTGATGGTCCCAGTAAATGAAGAAAAATGCAGCTGAAAACTAAACAAAGGCCAGATCACAAAATGCTTTGTAGATTACAATGTGTTTGAATTTCACTTTAGTGGTTCTCGTTAAAATGGCACTGAAGAATCAGTGGGGTATTTTAACCACAGGGGGAAAAAAAGGATACAATCTGATTTATACTTTAAATGATCACTTTTGCTATCAAATAAAATAAGCTATTCATTGCTCATACAAAAACAGAAGAAAAAGCAGGAAAGGGGCTGCTACCGTCAATCAAGGAACAGGCTACACTGCCACACAGCACATTTAAATCATGGTTTACTTTTAGGAATATATTTTGGAGGTGAGAGCAGTTCTTTCTTGGAGAATAGACATGGGGTAGAGAAGATAGAATAATCCAGGGATGTGACTCGTTTGACTCAGAAAATGGCTTTTAAAAATATACTTTAGTATGCCAACTAAAAATGTAGAGTATCGATCCAGATGTACAAGTCTGTGGAAGAGAACTGTAGTGAGAGCAGCAGATTTGGGAACCAAAAGGATATAGATGATATTTAATGTCAATGGACAAATATTCTCAGGTGAGCATGTACCTAAAGAGCTGAGAGTCCCAATATATTCCAACACTTACAAGTCAAAAAATGAGAGAACAAACAGCAAAGAAAGCTTAAGTGAAGGAACTGCCAATGAGCTAAGAAAACCAGAAAGTGCCATGTCAGATGTTAACAAAGTCAGCTATCGAAATGTTCTTGCTAAATGAAGATGATACAATATTAGATTTTGGAAGTTGATAAAACTTGATAAATCCTATTTTAGAAAGCCTTAGCAACTGAAACATAACATACATCAACCTATCAAAAGATTACTACTAATTATGCAGGTTAATACACATTTGAAGTTTCCCATGTTCATTAAACTTACATCAGAGCTCTACATTTTAAATACTTCATATACTAAGAAACCCAATAACACATCCAAGAGTTTTATTAATTATTACATTTCATTTACATCTGTTTGATAGGATCCTACCCTAAAATTAACATTTAAAAGACTCAAAATTATTTACAAAAAAATTCTAAATATTAAAAAGGGGATAAAGGCTAAGTAACCATTAGAATGCTTACTAAGGAACTATCAACAGCAGCATACATGTAAGAAAATAAATAAAAAGAAGTCCAAACATACCATTCTGTTAACCAAAAACAACACTCTGAACAACCAGGGATAATTACCCAAGAAATAATGCAATACTCCACCTTGACTTGTCGAGCTTGGCTGATGATGCACGGAAGGCTAAAAAGCTGCTGGACAAAGGCCTTCAACTCCTCCACTGTCAATTTAGTCCGTGTCCTCCCACTATCTGGGCTCTGCCTGATGTGAAACAATATTGAGATATGTACATAGAAGCAAACATCAGTAATTCTGACACCAAAAGGATTCCTGGTCTCCTCATAATTTGAAGCCAACAATCCTAGCACACTTGTACAAGGTCCCTAAGTTTTTAGATTCTCTAAGAGAATCAGAGACTTGTTGGAGCAAGATCTAAATCAGTTTTTTGGAAAAGGCTGTCTACTAAAAATGTGGATTTAAAAATTTAAAAAGTAACTGCGAATTGGTATAGAAAAAGCAAGCCTAGTGCAAGGAATACGGTCAAATGATTTAAAACAAACCAGGAAATGAAATACATATGAATTGTTGTAAATTAGGAACAGTGTACACTGCACTCCTCCACAGCAACTTCCTCTGCATTTATCAAGGTTACGCTTTGCTACCATCTGCCTAGACTATTATAGCAATTATTTATTTGCATATACTTATTGCACATAGATCGTCCGTCACACACTATTTTAAAAACAGGAAATACAGCAATAAAAAATGATACAAGAGACCAGCATTGAAACAGAGCAGGTAAAGCTTTCACCTGTAATTCCATCAAACTATTTGGGTGTTCAATTCATGGCCTCGTCCCACCACTTCTGACTTAGCTTTCCTGCCTGGGAAAGTCAACAGAGGATGAATAAAATCTTTGGGCCCCTGCCCCTCATGCTGGAGCCTAGATCAATTTCCTGGCTTGACCTCTCTGTCTCTCCCTTTCTGTAACTCTTCACAATAAACAAACAAATCTCAATAACAAAACAAAACCTTTCTGATGCTGTAGTCTAGAATATATCCTAATGATGGTGGGGAAGGAAGAAGAGAGGAAACAGAAAATAAGTGAATTAATACATCAGAAGGTGATAAGTCTAGGAGAAAAACAAAGCAGGAAAGAAAGATGGCTGCAATGTTAAAAAGGGTTGTCAAAGACATCAGTACGGCCCAAAGTCTTGGGACCTGCACCCAAATGGAAGACCTGGAAGAGGTTCCTGGCTCCTGGTTTTGAATCAGCACAGCACCGGCCGTTGCGGTCACTTGGGGAGTTAGACGGAAGATCTTCCTCTCTGTCTCTTCTCCTCTCTGTATATCTGACTTTGCAATAAAAATAAATAAATCTTAAAAAAAAAAAAGACCTCAGCAAGGCAGGCATTTGGATGTCTGTATCAAATACTGAAGTGCCTTACTGTGCCTTCAGCTGCTCTGCCTTCAATCCAACTTCCTGCCAATAAGCATCCTGGGAAGGAACAGGCAATGGTTCAAGTACTTGAGTTGCTACCACTCACATGGGAGAACTGGAATGAGCTCCAAGCTCCTGCTTCTGGCCTAGCCCAGAATGGTTGCTGTAAGCATTTAAGGAGTAAACCAGCAGATGGAAGATCTTTGTTTTTCAAATAATAATTAAAAAGAACACAAAAATAAACAGGCATTGGGACTGTCATCATGGTTGAACAGGTTAATTCCCCCCTTCAAGTGCCAGCATCCCATATGGGCACCAATTCATGCCCCAGCTGGTTCTCTTCACATCCAGCTCCCTGCTCAAGGCCTGGGATAGCAGCGGAGGATAGTCAAAAGCCTTGGAGTCCTATACCCATATGGGAGACCTGGAACAAGCTCCTGGCTTCAGACCAGCTCAGCTCCAGCCACTGCAGCCATTTGGAGAGTGAACCAGCAGACAGAAGATTTTTCTTGTGTCTTTCCCTCTTTCTGTAAATCAGTCTTTCTAGTAAAAAAATTTAAATTAATCTTTAAAAACAAGGCTTTACCAGAAAGTGGTCCCTGAAAAAATAGAAACCAAAACAAGCCACCTGGACATGGTGGGAAGAGCTCTACCAACAATGAAGAGCAAGTGGGCCAGCTTTAAGCAAGGACACAGCTTGGCTTGAAGGAAGAAGGGCAACAGCACACACCTGAGTGCCAGCAGGCCTGGCTGCTGTCTCCCTGCTGCACTCATTCATGCTTACTTCAACTATCATAACTAGTTTTAGTTTGGGCCAACACTGTGGCATAGCAGATAAAGCAGCTGCCAGTGATGCCAGCATCTTATAGTGGCACCAGTTCAAGTCCTGACTGTTCTCCTTCTGATCCAGATCCCTATTAACGACCTTGGAAAAGCAGCAGAAGGACCAAGTGTTTGGATGCCTACCACCCACTTGTGAGACCCAGAAAAAACTGATTTTCGACTCTCCAACTCCAATCATTGCAGCCATCTTAAAAAAAAATTTCTCAGTTTTCAAACACTTCAGGGATGAGAAGGAAAAGAGAAGACTCTTGTATTACGGGAAAAGAGAAGGTTGCAAGGTCACAAGAAATTAAAGTTGTCAGATCTCACAAGTCAGTTGCAATTCTGGCCTTTAATCTGGAAGAAACAAGGAGCCAATGGAGAATCAAAGTCTTCGTTCTTTACCTGTGTTTCTGCTTTTTACTCAGGAGTAATTGAGCCACAGAAGCACAGGTCTCAGCTTCTTTTACCGCATCCCTGAGTTTTCGGAAGAGCTCATTCTCTGGATATTTCCTGTCCTCGGCATCTTCCAGCATTACTCGCAATTCAATCAAATCTATAAAAACAAATAAATCACATTCACGATGGTCACAGAACAAACGTCATTATAAAATCGTTAGTAACCTCACTCGAATTATCAAGCTATTCATAGAAATCTACAGCTGTGCAATGCACATTGCTGACCAGGTGAGTGCTCATAACCTAATGCCTAATCAATTCCTTATTCTAACTCTTGAGAAAAAATTAACTCAAAACAAGGTCTTTTTACGTAACAGTAATTTCAACAAGTGCACCCAAAAGGAGGAAACATAACCTTTCTTGTGGTTGAAGTTAGCAGATAATGCTTCCGTAACACGACTGACCCAGGTGTCATAGGACTGTGCCCTGACTTTCACGCCATACAAAAGGGAAGGAAGCTCTTCTAATGGGTAACGATATCTGTTAAAAACAAAACAAACATTATGTTAATGAAAACAAAACAAAACAAAAAAAAGACAACAAGCTATCAACAAACTGGGCCTGCTGGGTTACTAAAGCTGCTGCAGTGGACAACAGCCCAGATAAATATGGGGACATGACAGCTTATTGAGGCCTGCAGAGGACATCCAGTGACAAGGATAGCAGAATAAACTGGACACTACCAGGCAAGCATCGACAGCGAGTATCTAGGCAAACAGAGACTCTAAGGTCGACCATGCCAGCCAATAAACCTTGGAAGACTATCCTTATCCTTTGAATAACAAAAACAACACCTCAGAACTATCAAAACCACTTAAACAATATCCTCAGATCATGCTCCACATTGGGGATCTTAGGATGACATTAAGAGGCCGTCAGCCATTCCGAGGTACTAATGCAGTTAGGCTGCTCGGAGCAGTCCTCTCACCTTCTCTCACCTCTAGGTCCATTTACGCTTAAAAAAAAAAAAAGGAAACAATCGTCTAACTTACTTTCTCCCATTCCTTGACCCTGCCGACCCCAATCAGTGGTCCATGTGGGTATACATACTTCCCAACCACGCAAAAAAAAATTTATGCAAAAAAACACAGAGCAATAAAAAGCTATTAACAAACTGAAACTTTCAAATATCATCACCCTAAGTGCAATGGTCAGGGAAATAGGTTCTTGATTCACATAAAATCAAAGAGCCCAAGTGGGCTGGGAGGATTCCAGGGTCCTTGGGGAACAACGGCTGCTTACTTAATAAAGAAATGTCCCTTTTTGTCTGTAGAAAAAAAAAAATCAAAGAGCCCACAACTTTAATAAAGGGGGATATGAGGAACATACAAAATGGAAAGAGGCTAAATCTTAGCTGCCGCACAAACATGGTCCAATTTTACAAGACAAGTTCTCAAGCAGGGGGAGTAAATGAACAGAGGCAGAGAAGAGCATAACCAAGAATACTGAAACCAGTGCTATGGGCCTGGCACAATAGCCTACTGGTTGAATCTTCTCCTTGCACATGCTGGGATCCCATAAGGGCACTGGTGTGTGCCCCATCCAGCTCCCTGCTTGTGGCCTGGAAAAGCAGTCGAGGACAGCCCAAAGCCTTGGGACCCTGCAGCCACACAGGAGACCCAGGAGAAGCTCCTGTCTCCTGGCTTCGGATTGGCTCAGCTCTGGCCACTGCAACCACTTAGGAAGTAAACCAGTGTACGGAAGATCTTTCTCACTGTCTCTCCTTCTCTCTCTGTAAATCTGTCTTTCCAATTTAAAAAACAAAAAAAAACAAAAAACCTGTCGCTTCACAGTAGGTAACAGAGGTTTCACCAGACACATTCGGATACCTAAGACATTTCTTCTGCATGGGGCAGGGGCAGAGATCATTTGGATGGTAGAGACATACAAGCCGCTCAGGATTACAAGAGCACGTGAGAGCAGAGAGAAAACACGTGGTTCTGCATGCCGAACACTGCCGTTCATCATCAGGAACAAGTTCAAACACTTCTTCTTCTGACATCAGGACACCCTGAAATATAATTTACGACATTTAATTAAGTCTAATTTTTACGACACCACAAATCTTGTTTTCTTCTACAGTAACTTTCTGCAAGCTGACAAGCTACATACTAATAAAGCAACAAATCTGACACTATTTCCTAAAGGTGTGTTCTGAGGACCACTAATACTAAATGGCACTTTGAAAAATAATATTCTCGAGAATCAAAATGGCGGAACAGGGTAAGGATACATTTAGACAGAGAAATATTCGCCAGTGTGGAGCAGAAAGGGCACATTCCAGGAAACAGGAGAGGACAGAACAGCAGCAGAGGGGTACCGAGATAAGGACAGACCCAGGAAAGAAGTGGACACAATGGTGTGGTATTGCAGTGACTGATACCCCAGTGGCATTCAGCAAGTGGCGATGTGAACTGCACCGGCAGCCAAAATTCCACCAGCAACAAGGTGGGAAGGGGCATTCACTGGGAACTCAGGAGGTGAACCCAGAAACTGCTCATCGTGGTTTGTTTGACTTGACCAGGAGTAGACACCGAGTGGCAGATCCCAGACAGGCAGTGTGGGAACAGAGTAGATTTCACAGCCCAGTCTGCCCTCTAGACCTGAATCCGGCATCCTTTTGTATAGGGAGGCAAGGGCTACGGGCAGTAATGCGCATGCACTGAGCTGGGAATGAAATCATTTCTGTCTCAGAGAACTGCAACAATATGACATCCTACAGGTTCCACCAAAGATAGGTGCAGGTAGCCCTCAGACCTCACATATAGCAGATCAAGAACTCTAACAGTGGGGCTCAGCGCAATAGCGTAATGGTTAAAGTCCTCACCTTGAATGCACCCAGATCCCAGATGGGTGCTGGTTCTAATCCCGGCGGCCCTGCTTCCCATCCAGCTCCCTGCCTGTGGTCTGGGAAAGCAGTCAAGGACGGCCCAAAGGTTTGGGATCCTGCACCCATGTGGGAGACCCGGAAGAGGCTCGTGGCTCCTGGCTTTGGATTGACTCAGCTCCAGCCGCTGCACTCACTTGGGGAGTGAATCATCGGATGGGAGAGCTTTCTCTCTGTCTCTCCTCCTCTCTGTATATCTGATTTGCAATAAAAATAAATAAATCTTTAAAAAAAAGCCTTTCAATCTGAAAAAACCAAAACTGGAATTACAAAATGTGTAAAACTGCGTCCAAATTAGTGATTTTTTGTATTCAATTTCTGCAGGGATCTAGATAATCCTTAATACATCCCATAAGCACTGTCAACCATAAGACAGTATCTCAGCAAACTCACCATCTGCACAACAGACTCCCTCAACCGTGTCTCCTCTTCAGTCAGGAGTGTCAGTTCTTTGCAGACCATAGCAGCCAAGCCAACATCCAGGCATTCAGGATCTGCTGCCATCTTGAAGATAAGCTCCTCGTGGGAAAAGACACAATGGCGCCTCAGCCGGCGGTAATGGCTCACACACTGACGTCCAATGGGCAACTAAAATCAGAGATTTCCCGTTAAATTAGTTGCTACTAGTATACTCCAGAACCAGCCACTATTTATCCTTCAGTGTTTCCCTTTTATTATAAAGATGACAATAACAAACTCCACTTGAACTTGTTCAACTATATATAAGGAATCTTTATGACCCAACAGGAATTTCAAAAGCCTTCCCAGAGAAAATTCCCATATCTAACATGTTAAGTTTCTAGCCAAGGTGCTCATTTTCTACTCATGTATATCAAGAAGCAAAAGCAGCTTGGCATATAAACAAGGCAGCAAACTCTTGTAAACCAATCTAACACTAACTTCGTCTAATAAAAAACAACACTGCAAAAAATAACTTCAAAGTTCAGACTACAAAAAACTAGCACTGATTCCCATAGCACAAGAAGAAAAAAGGTGACTTTTCAACTTTCTTGAAACAATGAAAGCAAAAGATGAATTAAATCTAAGTATCTAGAAATCCTGAGTTTTAAAATAACAAAAAAACAAAAAAAAAACCCTGCTTGAACCTGGCACAATGACTCAATGACTGAATCCTCACCTCGCAGGGGCCAGGATCCCATATGGGTGCCAATTCATGTCCTGGCTGCTCCACCTCCCATCCAGCTCTCTGCTCATTGCCTGGGAAGGCAGTCCAGGACGGTCCAAAGCTTTGGGACCCTGCACCCACACAGGTGACAGAAGAGACTCCTGGTTTCTGATTGCCTCAGCCGCGGCCACTGTGGCCACTTGGGGAGTGAACCAACAGATGGAAAAAGTTTCTGTCTCTCTTGCAAATCTGTCTTTCCAATAAAAAACAGATCTTCACAATAAATAAAACAGAGAAAATGTAAGAAAATTGATTTGTAAGAACCTTTTAGGATTCATCTTCACTTTGCAAAAAGCACAATGGAATCAGAGGACTCAAGAGAAGCTGAAGGCTACACCTGAAAGAAGTGAAATTTCTATGCTCTTTCCTTATCATTCCCAAGGAAAAGAAAAAGTGCACAGAATATTTTATCAGCAGTCAGGTAATATATTTAATGAACAAACCTGGGAACAGGCTCAGTCAGGGAGCTAAGGGGAGAGCCGGCAAGCACGGGGGCTGAAATGAGCGCAGTGGTCGGGGCTGGACATGGCTGCGGTATCAGATTGGATGTGGACTAGATCTGCAGTGTGCCAGACTGGACTAGACTCTAGTACACACTGTGCTCATGAGAAACAGGATGGGGTTAGCATGGGCTGGACAAGGTCTCGGATTCCACTGAGCCACATGAGAGATGTGTCTAGGTACGGATCAGGTGTGGCTGGGCAAGAACCGAAATGGGTATGAGCCAATTGGGCAAGGCCACTGTTCCTGCCAGGACAGGAAGTGGATCAAGTCAGCCTGGACAAAGGGCCACAGGGAGGGTTATCTGATGGAGGAGCTTGGGGAACTTTTTGTCAGGATGCAGTCCCTGAAGCCCAGCTCAAGAACCAAGACAAAGAACAGCTCAGACCAGGCCAGGTCACACAGTACCCACCAGCATATATGTAGGTTAGGTCTGGGGATGGGCCAGGCTGGGCCAGTTCATAATACCCACTGGCAAATCTGAGAACCAGGGTTCAGTACAGGCCAAGGCGGGCCACAACACTAGTAAACATTAGGGCCAGGACTGGGATTTGGCAGGGCCAGGTTGGGCAGTAACACTCACCAGCATGAGCTACAACTGGGAGCAGATGGGTTGGGCCAGCTACAGTACCCACTGGCAAATGCCAAGGTCAGATGGGCCATGCCAGACACAACATGAAGCTTGGGGGGAGGGTTGCAAACCGGGTAGGGGAGCTGTAGGAACTCTCCTGCTGAGCCACTGTTCCTGCTGGTAAGTGTGACAGCTGAGACTGTGGGCAGATCAGGCTGGGCAGAGCTATAACACCCGTTGGCCTGAATATGAACTGGGCTGGGAAAGAGATAGGCTCAGCTGACTATACCCACTGGTGCAGGCATGAGCCAGAATGGGAGCAGGATGGTTGGGCTTTGCCACAGCATCAGCTGGCAAGTGTTGCATTAGGGCGCAGGTCCTATCGAGCTAAACTGCAGAACCACCTGAGAGTCCAAGATTCAGGTCTGAGACTGTGCCCAGTAGGGAAACTGTGGGCACCCCTCTGATGGGCTACAACCCTAATTAGCAAGCATAAGAACCAGGACTAGGGGCAGGCCTGGCTAGACAGGCGGTGGCACCCACTGGCAAGAGTATGGGCTGCAGGGTGAAGTTGACTGGGATGAGTTAAGCTGCAACAACCAATTACATATATGCAAGCTGAATGGGAGGGTAGGACAAACTGGATCAGTTCACTGCATATGCTGGCAGACACAGAAACCAGGGCTGGGATATTGGGGGTCACTCTGACTGGGCTGCAGCTCGATGGTGCACGTGAGGGCCGACTGTGTGGAGGGCAGGGTTGGCCTGGGTCGCAGAACCCATTGGTTTGCATAAGAAATGGGGCTGGAGACAGATTTAACCTAGCAATTGCAATTGCGAATGTTGAAGTAGAATGGTGTCGGTGATGGAATGAACTGGGAACTGCACAGGTGGGTATATACAAGAGACAGGGCTGAGATCACCTTGGACGAGACTGTTTTGAGGCTTCCCCCAAATAAACCTCTGACCTCATAATTCCAACTATGGGAAAAACGGCAGGACCTGTGGTGTGACGATGGAGTGCATCTGTCAAAACTACACCTCCTCAGTGGCTCTGACAGAGCGGTGGACGGTATACCCAGAAGCACATGGAGGATATGTCAGACCACTAGGCCGGAAGAGACACCTGGTACCAGAGCAGAGGAAGGAGGGCAGAACAGATCAACTACCCCAGGGAAGCATGACAGCAAACATCTGAGCAAACAGACTCAGACTGCGTCAACCAATGGACCTTGAGAAGATATCCTCATCCCCGCATCTGCAAGACCGACAGCATTTCAGAACTAACGAAACAACTTCAGCAGAACCTTTGTGGCAGGCTCCACAACAGGAGCTTTGGGATGACACTGAGTGGCAGGTCCCCATCCCCGGGTGCTGAGGTGGTTGGGAGGCTGGGTGTGACTTCTCTTGTCTCTCCCTTTCCCCCAGATACAGGAAAAAGGAAAAAAAAAAAAATGCAGACACAAAGGTCTCAGCTTTTTTCTCCTGATTCTGCACCCTTCCCACCCTAATCAACTATGTAATCATCCAAAATCTAAAAAAAAAAAAAAAAAAAAAAAGGAACAAAACACCTGGATATATGGTAGAATATTTTTTAAAATCTCTAAAAATCTAATGATCATTTTTTTTAAGAGATCCAACAGTGCTCAGAGAAAGAAGACCAAAGATTGCATACACTTCTAGAAAAGGATTCAGAAAATAAATTGCTCATTTAAAGTTCAAACAAATAGACAAAAATTAGAACTGGATAAGGAAAAAGGAACTACAAGATCGTCCAAGTAAATAATGCAGAAACTCTACATAACTTTCTAAACTACAATAGTCACCCTCTCACTGAACTATCCGTAATTGAACCCAACCAGATGTAGTGTGCGTGAGGGTGCTAGTAGACGTACGACAGCCATTTGCTATAAAACAGACCCAGTCAGCAGTACAGAAGTTCACAGCTTCAGCAAAGTTGTACCCCTGATTAAATCCAGAGTGGTAGGCACGAGGGAACGTCACAACAAACTCTCCAGCACACTGATTGGTCCTGTAGACCTAAAGGCAAATAGGAAAAAAGGATACAAAAAAAAAAAAAAAAGATAAAAACAATAACGAAAAGGAGACTTTACTAGGTTTCAGAAATTTCTGAAAAGTTGAAACACAAAAGCATTAACTTAACACATTAACAAATATCAGGATTTTAGAAGCAGTGAGAATTTCACTTTATAAGTCATTCACATCTAAATAATGATTAATTTCACAAATTAACAGCCAAAAAAGATCCCCAAGGAGAAAATGTCATTCTCACTGAGCTCTTAGTTTCCTAATTTTATTACTGTAAACAATAGTTGAGAATGGAATTGGCTATTACCTCTGGACAGTGTTTTGTTTTGCCTCTGGATAGTTTTGAGGAAATCAGTCAGCTCATAAGTCATCGGGGCTATCCCCAAACCAGATATTCATAACTCTAATTTTGTTTTATAATACAGTGCATGTCTTCCAAGAGGTCTAAGATTCTCATTTAAATACATACTTTAAAGATGAGGTAACATTACAGATGCTACTCATCTGACTTCCTCATGAAGGGGAGAGTGAACATTGACTGTTATGTATAAACTTACTAAATGATAAACTTAATCACGTTTAAGTAGCTTCTATTTGAAAATCACTCCCAAACACCGAACATTAGTAACATGACAGTATATTTTACTTCACTAAAGCGTGCATTACAAGCTCTGAAATCTTTATTTGAAAAGTAAGAATAAGAATAATTAAGATACCACAAAGAACCAACACTGTTGCATAATGGGTTAAGCAGCCACTTGTAATCTGGCATCCCATACTAGCACCAGTTTGATCTGATAGTTCCACTTAGCTGTCTGCTAATACATCTGGGAAAGCAGATGTGGAATAGGGCCTGTGTATTGGGCCACCTAAACAAGAGACCTGCATCAAGTAACAGGTTACTGGCTTCAGCTTGGCTTTGGCCTGCTCCAGGCCTGGCCAGAAGAGTTATTTGAGAACTAAACCAGCAATGAAGATTAATCTCTCTTTCTCTTTCTCTCTTTCCCTCTTTCAATCTATCTCTCACTCTCTCTTCTTTGTAACTCTGCCAGTCAAAAACAAACCTTTAGGGCCCTGTGCAGCAGCCTAGTGGCTAAATTCTCACCTTACATGTAACAGGACTCCATATGGGTAACAGTTCATATCCCTGCTACTCCACTTCCCAACCAGCTCCCTGCTTGTGGCTTGGGAAAGCAACAGAAAATGGGCCAAGAATTTGGGACCCTGCTCCTGGGATGGCGCAATGCCTTGGGGACACTACAACTGAATGGGAGACCCAGAGGAAGCTTCTGACTCCTGGTTTCAGACTGGCTCAGCTCTGCCCATCGCAGCTACTTGAGGAGTAAACCAGTGGATGGAAGATCTTTCTCTCTGCATCTCCTTCTCTGTAAATCTGCCTTTCAATAAAGAATAAATACTCCTTTAAGAAGGGGGGAGGACAGGAAGGAGTGGCAGCGCAATAGCCTAGTGCCTAAATGCCTGCCTTGCACCCACTGGGATGCCCATATGAACATTCAGTTCATGTCCCGCTATTCCTCTTCCCATCCAGCTTCCTGCTTATGGCCTGGAAAAGCAGTGGAGGACAGTCCAAAGCCTTAGGTCCCTGAACCTTGGAAGAAGCTCCCGGCATCGGATAAGCTCAGCTCTGGCTTTTGCAGCCAACTGCGGAGCAAAGCAACGGATGCAATCTCTCTCCCTCCCTAACACTGACTCTCAAGTAAAGTAAATAATAAAATATTTAAAGTGTGTATATACACACACACGAGCGTATACATATATGCATATATTAAAATATACCCATATTTTGATAAATATATTGGGAAAATCAGGATACTGAAAACAGATCTATAAAGCATGACTTGGTCTTCAAGAACAACCCTTCTTTTTTTTTGTGTATTATGAATTTTTAATAACAATTTTTCCATAGAAGACTATGTGTTTATTTAATAGAAGTAGAGAAGAAAAGACTAGATTTCTTTTTTTTATATATAACCAGAGTATTTTAATTTAACAAAATTTTGCACCGCTTTGTACCTTGACAGTGTTATTTTTTTTTTCCCATATTGTTACCTTCATGTTTAAAGGGGGGTATTAAGGGAGAAGGCCCACCCAATTTCCCACCCTCCCCAGGTCCCGGATGTAGGGCATGCTCTGAGGTTCTTGCTCAAGTGAAGAACAATCCTTCTTAATCATTAGGTAAGAGCTAATCCTTTCAGAGTTTAGATTTAGTGAGAAGTTGACACATTCACTTCCAGTTGCAAAATAAGGCATATGTTTTGACTATCTAATCAAAAGCTATAATAACTTTCAGAAACTGAAGGGAGACACAAAATGACTCACAGGCACACCATGTTCCATTAGCACATTGGGGTTCATGATGGTGACTAACTGATGTAGCAGATCAGGCTGGGATTCAAATAACTCAGGAGCCAGCTCTCTCATCACCTCCTCCAGCTGTTCTGCAGCATGAGATGGCACACCATACCATGTCTTTGGTTCCCCCCTAGCAAAAAATAAATAAATAACTGCTTAGAATTTTGCTATATAAAAAACTGTACCAATGAGACCAAGGTCTCTGATTCAAATCAACTAAATAAAAATAAATTCTTCATTATATGGCCATAGATTATACGCTCCAAATTTTGGTAACCATCTCACAAACCTGTGCTATCATGCCTAACAAAAGCTAAGACAAGACAACAGATATTAGACATATATTCACCACATCTATCAGAAAAAACACCTTTGGAGCTGGCATTGCAGAATAATAGATAAAGCTAGCATCTGCAGTGGCATCATTCCATACTGGGTGCTGGCTCAAGTCCTGCCTACTCTACCTCTGGCTTAACTCCCCACTAAGATGCTTTAGCATCACCCAAGTGTTTGGACTCCTGCACTCGCATGGGAGACCCAGAAGAAGTTTCTGGGTCTTGGTTTTGGTAATGGACACAGTGGGGCCTGACAACAATTTGAGAATATTACCAGTGGAAAGACCTTTCTTTCTATTCCTCTCTCATTCTAAATCTGCATTTCATATAAATAAAAAATAAAGCTTCAAAAAAAAAAACTTATTACAGTGATAAAAACATTCTGTATTTGTGATAATCAAAAACAAGGAGTGGCTTCTTGTCACATGTCTATGGAACATGTGAAATGAGGCTGGCACACAGTGCCAGCGCTATGGAAAAATGAATGGGTAAAGCTGCTACGTCTAGAGCTGGCATCTCCTACAGGTACTGCTTCAAACCCCAGCTGCTCCACTTCCCATCCAGATACCTACTAATGTGCCTGGGAAGATGGCCAAGTGCTTGGGACCTTACACCCACTTGGAATACCCAGAGGAATCCCAGTTGCAGCTCTTAGGGCTGTTTGGGGAATGAACAAATGGATAAGATCTGTCTGTCACTCTTTTTAAAACTCTGCCTTGCAATGAAATATATATATATAAAACCTATCAGAACTATCCAAAACCAGTCAACACCCTCAGTTCCCATGTTAGAGTTTCTAAGGTGCCATCAAAAAACTGTCCTCCATCTCCAGGTACTGATCCAGTTTGATAGCAAGGAGCAGCCCTGTCCCCTTTTCCCCCTCCCAAATCAAGAGAAAAACAAATTTGAAACATTTGCTCCACCCATGCTCCTCCATATCAGACCCTCACTAGCCTAATTGGAGACCCACAAGAGTATGCATCCCTCTCAACTATGGGAACAATTTTTTAAAAATTTGTAAAGGGTATCATCAGAGTGACTAGAGCTGCGGTGTTACTACCTGTGGCACTGGCATCCGACACTGATGTTGGCTGCTCCTTTTCCGATCTAATCCCTAATGGCCTAGAAAGAGTAGTGGAAGAAGGCGCAAATACTTGGACGCCTGCTACCTAGATGGGAAATCTGGAAGAAGCTCCTGGCCCCTGACAAGCCCACGCCATGTCAGGCACCTTGGAGAGTGAACCAGTGGCTAGATCTGTCTTTCCATAACTCTTTCAAATAAATCAATAAATACAAAAAATAAAAATAACAAGCCGAGATGCCCACGTGCCACTTTAGAGCACCTGGGCTTGAGTCCCTCCTCCATTCCTGAGGCCAGCTTCCTACTGTCGCGCACCCCAAGAGGCAACAACTGCATGTTCAAGCACTTGGGTCAGGGGCATTCAGTGAGAGACCTGGCTGAGCTCCTGGCTTCTGGATATGGATTGACAAAGCCCTGACTGTTGTAGACATTAAAGAAATAAATCAGTGGATGGGAGCACTCTCTCTCCCTCCTTTGCAATTCAAATAAATGAATAAATAAACCAAAGTAGTTTTTAGATATACTAAATATACGTCATTGCACCTAAAATTCTAGGCCCTGCTACTTACAAATACTTGAAAAGGCAAAGTTTCTTCTCTCCCCACTGTCTTGTCTGAGAAGTCTCTCTGACCTATCACCTAATCTGCCAGAAACACGTATGCCAATCTGAAGGGAGCACATACCAGTGTAGGTAATTGATGGAGTAACTCCAGTGATCTTCAATGTGCCAGCAAAAAGAAGAGAAACACATCCCCACATACAGCCATGGCACCTTCATACCAGAGATGTCCACATTAATATGTGCAAGAACAGACTGCTCTAGAACAGGCATGTTATTCAAATTCCAACCAGAAAGTGCATATTCCTATAAAAACAAAAACAACAAAAATGTTAAATGAAAGCAAAGAAACAAGTGTGTAATGTAATCTTTCCCTCAAAGGAAATAGTTTCTTTATAATCATCTGCACTACAGAAAATGTGCTCTGTTGTTCTCAATTATACATAACTCCTACAACTAAATATTTAGTCCTATGTGTAGGTAGGTTCTATTTACTTTTTTTCCTTTTAATTATTAAGTTGGAAATGCAGCTATACAGAGAGGAGTAGAGAAACAGAAAAAGATCTTCCATCCGCTGATCCCCAAGCAGCCACAATGGCTGAAGTTGCAGCAATCCAAGCCAGGAGCCTCAGCCACAATGGCTGAAGTTGAACCAATCCGAAGCCAGGAGCCAGGAGCCTCTTCCGGGTCTCCCTCCACATGGGTGCAGGGTCCCAAGGCTTTAGGCTGTCCTTGACTGCTTTCCCAGGCCACAGGCAGGGAGCTGGATAGGAAGTGGGGCTGCCGGGATTAGAACCAGTGTCCATATGGAATCCCGGCGCATCCAAGGCAAGGACTTTAGCCACTAGGCTACTATGCCGGGCCCCTACATTTTCTTTTATTTCAGATAACTTTGGTTTCATTCCGAGGCATAAGAACAAAGATTATTACTCCCTATCCTAATAGCAAAATAGTGCAATATATGTTTATTTTTACTTTCACTTCAGAAGCAAGAGAGGGTTAGCAAGTGTTCATATCTGTTGGTTTGCTTCTTACTTGCTTGCAATGACTAGCTCTGGGCCAGACCTGAGACTTAAACAGGAATCCACTCCTCTCTCCTATAGGGCTGGCACGAACAAAATCCTTTACCAGGACGGGGAACGCTGAGCCTGCAAGCCACATAAGCCCACAGAAGCATTTAATATGGTCCTGCCAAGGCAACCACAAATGGCATCTGAGATTCAATAAAGCTGTACAGGCTAGATCCTAATTTGGTTATTTTGTAGGGCCTGTGGGCAATGTTACAAATATCCAAATGCCCCCTGGTAGAAAGAATATCTCCCACCTGTAACTGCTAAGCCACTAGCTGCCAGGGTCTACACTGGCCAAGAGCTGGAGTCAGGAGCCAAAAGTGGAAATGGAACCTAACCTGAACACTTGTGTGAGATCTACAGATTCTGCAGTTACATTTCTATTTTAGCCCAAGCATGTTAATATTACAGTGATATAAGAGTACTGAATAATGTGAAGTCACAACATGATAAAACAATCCTGAATTTGTGACAACACTGAAAACTGACATAACACAACACATCACCACTGGGGGCAAGCATTGTAGCGTTTTTTAAACACAGCTACTGCCTGAGATGCTGGCATCCACTACGAGTGCTGGTTCCCTGCTAATGACATAGGAAAAGGGGCAAAGCTATGCTTGGGACCTTGCAACCTACGTGGGACACCTGGAAGAAACTCACTTCTGCATTTAAATGTAAAGACTTATCCTTAAATTTGTGTCAATTTTTAAAATTTTAAATTTTTATTAGAAAATCAGATTTACAGTGAGGAGAAAGAGGAAGGTCTTCCATCTGCTGATTCATTCCCCAAGTAACCTCAACGGCCAGAGCCGAGCCAATACAAAGCCAAGAGCCAGTATCTTCTTCCGGGTCTCCCATGTGGGTGCAGGGTCCCAAGGCTTTGGGCTGTCCTCAACTGCTCTCCCAGAATAAAAGCAGGGAGCTGGATGGGAAGTGGGGCCTCTGGAATACAAACTAGCGCCCATATGAGATTCCAGCGCATGCAAGGTGAAGACTTTTAGCCACTAGAATAACACGGCTGGTCCTGTGTTTTGATTTTCGAATAATGATCATTTGTTCATTTATTTTATTTTACTGCTAGGAAAAATATACTACACAGTCTTTTGATTTCACTTACATTCCTCATTGCATTCATGTTATAGTGAGTTTGCCAGAGGAAACACAAAGTCACAACAAACTGAACATAGGAGAATAAAACTGCCTTCCATCAGAAATGAAAGTAAACATGGATACCCAAGAACTGAGGGAGTGATCTTTTTAACCCTCCATATAATGGATTAAGCAGCAATGACAAGGGGGCTATCAGAGGTTGTCCAGCTAGGCTGTAGCAGCCAATGCTATGCGTGAGGACTGGCTCTGGGATGCTCTGGGTGGGCTGGGCTGTAGCACCCATCATTCTGTTAGATACGGGCCTGAGGTGGATCCCATCAAGCTGCTTTGGCTGGTGTAGGTGATGGACCAAATCTGACCTTTCACTGGCTAACACACTCAAGAGCCAAGTCTGAGGTCACCCCAGATGAGGTTTCTGGGAGACTCCCCAACTGGACTGTTGGATTCAGATGCCAGTCACAGGAAAAATCACAGAATGTGTGGTCCAACCTTGGAGTGCAGGTATCAGGACTGGGCCTCCTTAGTTGCTGGTGCCTATGTAGCAAACAGCATATCCAGTTGCACACCAGGGACATGAAGCAGCTCATCTAGGCCAGCAGGGGAAATCAAATGCCTAAAGAGGATGCAAAGCAGGACAGACTGGACAACTCTCCTGGCCTGGGTCTATGCTCGCACCATGCATGGACTTTGACAACCAGTAGATTTTGGGAAGATTTTCTCAATCTAGGAGCATTGAAACCAACACCTTTGCAGAATTATCAAAACCATTCAAGTTACATCTTGGAACAGTCTTCACCACAACGGAGTCTCTAAAGTAATCACATGACCTCCCCCATCCCCAGGTGCTGACGTAGTTCAAGTGCAAGAAATGAAAGTAGCACTCTCCCGCTTCCTCTCCTGTGGAGACAGGACAAAAAAAAAAAAAAAAAACACACACAAACCAAAAAAAAATGAAAGAAACATGTGTCCCCTTCCATCTTCCTCCATATCTGACCCTCCCACCCTAATCAGAAGCCCACACGGGTATGCATGCCTCTCAATTATCTAAACATTATTAAAAATAAAATAGAAATTAATGGGCTGGAACAGTACTGTAGCAGACTAACCCCCCGCCTATGGCACCAACATCCCTTACAGGCACTGGCTGTGCCTCACTGCTCCACTTCTGACCCAGTTCCCACCAATTGTCTGGAAAAGCAAAGAAAGATGGTCCAGTCCTCAGATCCTTGCTCTCATGTGGGAGAACTGAAAACACTGTTTGTTCCTGGCTCCTCTCTGGCCTAGCCCTGGTCAGTGAGGCCATTTGATGAGTGAATCAGCAGATGGAAGACTTCTCTCCATCTTTCCGTCTCTTAAATATAAACCTTTTCTTTAAAAAAAAAAAAATTTGAAAGCCAGAATTGCGAAGAGAGAGGAAGAGTGAGGCGGGGAGATCTTCCTTTACTGATTCTCTCCCCAAGAGCCACAACTGCCCAGACCAGGCCAAGCCCAAGCCAACATCCTAGAACTCTGCCTAGATCTCCCATGAGGGTCAGAGGAGCCCAGCACTTGGGCCTTCCTATGCTGTCTTTCCAGGCACATTAGCAAACTGGCTCAGAAGTGCAAGAGCCAGGACATAATCCATACACACTTGGGATGCTGGCACCACAGTCGAAAGCTTAACCACTATGCCATAATGTCAGCCCCAAATCCTACAAACTTTACACAATTCAAAAACAAAAAAGGCCCTTTTAATTAGAAAAAAGTAATTGTTTGTGTAAGGTAACTCAGCTTGGGGCACAGACCTATAGATAAACTACACATACCTCTTCTTCTGGAAGCATCTTCTTCCTACCGTCCTTCACAGGAAATCCACTTCCAAAGTCTTTGGAGGAGATATCAGCTCCATACTCCACAATAACATCTTCTTCAATGCTGCTCACTAGCCGCCAGAATTCCTTTTCTACGAGTTCCGTGGGAACCATCTACATGAACAAACCACAATACACAGGTCAACCGACACAAATCCAAGAGGAAACTAAAAAGCCTCTGTTCCCAGGGCACAAAAGCCTTAAGTCTCAGCGATTTTCACTGAAAAAATGGGGAAAAGCTAAGGACAACAATGATGTTACAGAAAACCACAGTGACCTTAAACAGTCTACCTCAAGCAGGAACAATGAAATGCTAATTTTAATAGTGTTAGAAACTTCTTTGATAGAGAATAAAACAAGCCCCAGATTTCCCACAAAAATAAACAAATGCCTAAATATAAGTAACTAAAGGAGGACCCGGCCGCGTGGCCTAGCGGCTAGGGTCCTCGCCTTGAACGCACAGGGATCCCATATGGGCACTGGTTCACGTCCCAGCAGCTCCATTTCCCATCCAGCTCCCTGCTTGTGGCCTGGGAAGGCAGTCAAGGACGGCCCAATGCTTTGGGATCCTGCACCCGTGTGGGAGACCTGGAGGAGGTTCCTGGCTCCTGGCTTCGGATTGGCACGGCACTGGCCATTGCGCTCACTTGGGGAATGAATCATTGGATGGAAGAATCTCTTCTCTGTCTCTCCTCCTCTGTATATATCTAACTTTGCAATAAAAATAAATCCTAAAAAAGAAAACACAAAAAACAAATAACTAAAGGAGGGATCAACACTGTGGTCAACCTCACTTGCAACACCAGCTCTCCATTTCAGAACAGTGGCTCAGGTCCGGGTGATACTATTCTCAATCAAGCTTACTGCTAAAGTGCTTGGCAAACAGCCCAAGTCTGGGCCCATGCCACCCACACAAAAGAAATAAATGGAATTCCAGATTCCCGATTTTGGCCTGCCCAACTCTGGCCACTGCAACCATGAGAGAAGTGAACCGGGGATGAAGGATTTTCTCTGTCTCTGCCACTATTACTTTCAAAATAATTAATGTCTAAAAATCATTAAACAAAAGCAGGAACAGCCAAATAGCTCACGCTTTGCTGTGAGTACCGACAGCTAACAAAAACAATTCAAACATGAACCTAGATTTTTAGTAAGACAGTAATAATCACTCCATACAGTGAAAGAAGCAGAAACAAATGTCAAGCCCCTAACTTGTAAATTTAGTGTGCTCTCACTGACTTCATACTGTCCCTATTTTTTTTTTTTTAACAAAATAATAAAAGTAGTAAGAAAACCAAAAGTTTTACATTCAGTTAAGTTGTTGTTCACAAGTGACGTGAAATAGCTACTCACATGTACTGGCATATTGAAATAATCAGACTTAAAGTTATCGGCCATCTCTCCAAAGCTCTGAAGCGTATACTCTCGTACAGCTTGTTCAAATCCAAAGGCTTCACGGGGTTTGTTACACTCCTGGAAAGGGAGATCAACTAAGATCAAATCACTGAAAGCACTGAAGCTCTTAGGAATGACCTGCTTTTGATCATTTCTCTAGACAGCAAAGCAAATAAATTCTAAACAGCAAAACAAATATTAATTCTCTACAAAATGGTAATAGAAAATATTCTTGGATACCAACTGCATTATCACAGTAAGAAAGCAGAAATCAGACAGCTTGATAGATTCAGCAGTTCAAATTTAATTATGGCATCAAGACAAGCCCTGGAAGGATGCCTATTGGTGAGAGTAAGGAGCTTTCAAAGTGAAGCTGCCACGACTGTTGGGTTTCTATTCAAGAAATCTCTATTTTCAGACCCTAGGAAATTTAAACACTAATGAACGAAAAAAGAGTGGGAGAAGCTTTGGGGAATGTGATTGCATTTATGCATGAATGGCTGTTTTCAGTCTAAAAAGGATCCAGAAAAGTTAGGCTTGTACCTCAGCAACACATTTAGGACACCTCCAGTCTCCTTTGGGCACGTCAGGCAGTGGAGGAATTAGACAAAATGTATGATAGCTGTCATCACATCCATCACACAAGAGCAATTTATCTTCATTGTTTCCCCGACCACAAAACATACAAACATAAAGATCAACCTGTTAAAAATAAAACATGAAATGTATTTTCAGTAACTCCAACTATTAATTTTTTTTACCAGGAACTCCTTAACTGAAACAAACATGACAATGTATGCTAAAATGTAAACATCATGAAAATCCTGAATATCCATTTCAAATAACTATACTTAAACAGTTTCGTATAAAACTCCCTAACAGGCAAGAACACAGAGTACACTAAGGACAAATCTAGAATATTTGGAAATCAGATTACATTAAAACAAAAATACCACATCATTCTTCCTAAAACAAGTACTCTTGCTGACAGTGTGTACCGAGAACCTTCAGTACTGAACACTTGACGGTATTCGTGGGTTGCACTGGTGGTGGATTCCAGAACCCAATCCTGCCATCAGCCGCACAGATACCAAAGTCCCTTACATAAAATGGTGTGGCTCCGTAACTATATACCTCCTCCTTTAATGTAAATGCTGCGCCAACAGTTCTTAGACTATACTGTTCAGGGAACAAGGACAAAAAGAAAAGTCTGCACACACTCAGTACAAACACAACTTTTAAATGCCTTCCATCTGCAGTTGGCTGAACTCACAGATCCAGAACCCAGATACGAAAGAACTACTACACACAAATTCATGCTCAATCTCTCACTTATTTACCCAAAAGGCAATACCTTATGAGAAAAAATTTGCACACATGACAAAATAAGGTTAACATTGCATGAACCAAAGCTGCAACTTTGGACTTACGGTCCACCTACTAAGGAAATGAACTAAGAAAACAGAATAAAAACACACCAACATAAAAAGGGAAAAATTAAAACAGAAAATAATCCTTCTCCCCTCCCCCCCACACACACACATCCCAAAGCACTTACAAAGTTAACAGAGAGAGTTCCTTTCCGTTGTCTCATTTGCATGTTAAATGCGTCTGATCTGTTGGTAACTTTTCGTCTTCGGGTGACCTCATCTTAAAATAGAAAGTTATAAAATAATAGTAAAAACTAATGACAAGATCTTACTACGGACCAGACACTATTTAAAATTAATTAACTAAAATCTCACAATAATACAAGGTAGACATACTTTTATTTCCTGATGGAGATAAAGCAGCTGAGGTACAGAGAACTGAGATAACCTGCTCAAAATCACACAGCCAAAGGCTTCTAATTCAGGTCGTGCAGCTCCAGAGTCTAACCGTGCATGCTGTACTTCCTGTGCAGAGTACTTACTATGTACCACCTGCATGCAGTTCCTACAAGGACTCTCCAATTAGCAGAGAACTTTAAAGATCATTGCCAGCTGTACAATTAAAGCTTAAGAATCACTGCCAGGCAATAGACGGTAATAATAAAATTAATAATGATAGAATAATTAATCTCTAAAAGAACAGAAAAAATTACAATATATTTAGTAAACCTTATCACACTGTTTCAGAAAATGGAATATTATCTTACACCCTAGAGTTTGGTCGATAATCTGACTTATCCACGGCACATACTACATAGTATCATTTCTACCTATAGCTTTACATTCTGCTCCACATGATCATAAACACACATAAAATGAGGAACCTAATCTTTCCATTAGTAATTCTACTCACAAAAATATTTCAAACATTCAAAACATTACAGGTTTTCTGAAGAAAACAAAATTTAACTGAAGTGGCAAAAATACAGAGAGGGCAATTTAAATGAGAGTTCAACGCTTCCCCCACTCACTCTTCTTTACAACTTTTAAGCTTCACATCACCAGGTTAAAAACCAGTAACTTTATCGTTCTGTTATAGAAACCTTTAGAAACTGCAAAAAAAACTCCTGGTTCACAAAATATAGAGAAGGAATAGTCTCTTCCGAGATCCAATAAACCTCAACATAATATTGCTCCTCAAATTTTAAATTTGTCTTTAAGAAGGTGATCTTCCTTGGACATTATTGAAAATGTATAATTCTTTAAAAATTTCCAGCACACATAGTCCCTCAAGTATCATCTCTTTACAGCCCAACTGCTTTCTTTTTATCATCAATAACAGATTTTACCTTCTTTCTCTTTTGCGCCCATTGCCAGACCTACAACCTTGGGCCCAGCCCCAAAAATCTGAAGTTTTTTCAGTTCTGTGTTTCTATTCATGTCTCCAGGTTCTGACTAAAAAAGAAATAAAATTCACATTAGTGTAATAATTTTGGTTCATGCTTATATAATGGAAACACAGATTTACAGAGAAAAGAGAGATAGAGCTTTCATTCACAGGTTTACTTCCTAAGTGGCCGCCACGGCCAGAGCTAAGCTGATTCGAAGCGAGGAGCAAGGAGCTGCTTCTGGGTCTCCCTTGTGGTTGTAGCGTCCAAGGCTTTGGGCTGTCCTCTACTGCTTTCCCAGGCCATAAGCAGGGAGCTGGATTAGAAGTGAAGCAGCCAGGGCACAAATGTGTCCCCATATGGGATCCCAGCGCTTGCAAGGCAAGGATTTAGCCACTGAATCACTGCACTGGGCCACATGCTTATCTCTATCCAAGGAAGGCTTCAGAATAATCTCCAAAATGAAAGAATAAATTGATTGAAAAGAATCCATTTACCTCATTTCTTCAAGGAAAAATGAGATCAGCTCAGCTCTGGCCGCTCTAGCCATTTCCAGAGTGAAACAGCAAAAGGAACATCACCTATTTTTCCCTCTCTCCACATAAAACCTGTCTTTCAAATAGTTAGTTGTTCACTGAAATAAATCAGCATTCCTTCTTCCAAGCCTAAGGCAAGGCAAAAGATAAGGAACCTCTTTGTGACAGAACATGCTAACAGAACACAAAAATCAACTACAATGACCAGTTAGGTCATAATGGAAGAAACTGTTTCCAATTTCCGGGAGCTCAAGGGAAAGTGGAGTAGCCAGGACTTGAAGCAGTGCTCACATGCACTTGCAAGGACAGGATTTGCCAGCCGAGCCATCGCATTAGCTCCAAAAAGCTATTTATTTATTGTAAAAGAGTTACACAAAAAGAGAGAGAAAGGATGTACACCAAGAGCTACTCAGGCTGAAGCCATGAGCCAGAAGCATCACCCTGGTCTCCTATGTGAGTAGCAGAAGCCCAAACATTTGTGCCATCTTCTGCTGCGTTTCCTAGGCCATCAGCAGGGGCCAGATAAGGAAGTGAGGCAGTCTGGACAAGAACCAGCATCAATATAGAATGCTGTCATTGCAGATGATGGTACAACTGCATGTTACCACTATGCTAGCCATGAGAAGCTACTCTTGATAAAAATGTTAACTAATAAATACGGAAGAGAAGACAGAATGAGGAAGTAATCAGTCCTCATGGGGCCAGCACTGTGGCATCACAAGTTAGGTCTCCACCTGCAGCACCAGCGTCCCACGTAGAGTCCGGGCTGCTCCACTTCTGATCCAGCTCCCTGCTAATACATCTGCAAAAGCAGCAGTGGAAGGGCCAAGTGCTTGGGACCCTGCTTCACATACGGGAGAGCCAAGAGAAGTTCCTAGCTCCTAGTGACTTCAGACCAGCTCAGCTGTAATACTGCAGCCATTTGGGTAGTGAACCAGCAGATGTAAGATGTTCTCTATCTGGTTCTCCTTGTAACTCTGGCTTTCAAAAAAACAAATATTTTTTTGAGAGAAAGATGAGCGTAAAGAAATAATTCACAGAGAGCCCAGCACAATAGCGTAATGGCTAAAGTCCTCGCCTTGAATGCGCGCCAGGATCTTATATGGGTACCAGTTCTAACCCCGGCTGCTCCACTCCCACCAGCTCCCTGCTTGTGGCCTGGAAAAGCAGTGGGAGAAGGCTTAAAGCCTTGGGACCCTGCTTTCACATGGAAGACACAGCAGCTGCTCCAGGCTCCTGGCTCCTGATTGGCTCAGTCCGGCCACTGTGACCATTTGGGAAGTAAACCGCAAGAAGATCTTTCTCTTTGACTCTCCTCTCTGTAAATCTGCCTTTCCAATAAAAATAAAATATATCGTAAAGGAAAAAAAATAGAGCCCTCTAAATCAGATTAGAAGGATTTTCATAATTTTTTCTCCAACTCATCTCAAAGAAAAAGATAGTATCTCTTTAACTTTCAAGCACTACATGAATGGCCTCCCAAAACCAGACAACGGCTCTTCAGTTAACGAAACCAAAACCCTCAGGGAGAATGGCTTATGGGCACTGATACCTGAGATTTGAGGCGTCTTGTTCTCTTCGGCCAATGATTCATCCTGGTGCCAGCATCTGGGGAAGCTTGGGTATCAGTGAGAAGAACGTCAGGTTCCACTTTTTCCTTAAGATCTAAATTAGGCATCTGCACACCCTAAAAGACCAGAGCACAGAGTTCCCTGAGAAAAATCAGGTTTGACAAACTTGGAGAACAACATATTTCCAATAAACCTCCTAAAACTCCATGAAACTAGATGACAATTCCACTACAAATTCATCTACAGACAAAAGGTAATCCCTATCAAAATTTCAGCATTTTTTATTTGGCAGAAATTCAAACATTATTCTAACATTCATGTGGAAACATAAATGGCTGGGAAACTTTGAAAAAGAACAAAGGACTTCCACCACTGGATATCAAAGTTACTTTAAAGCTACAGTACTCACAGCAGTGTTACTGAGATTTGCACAAACACATACAGTAGAACCACAGCACAGAGCAGGCATTCCAAGACCATAAAAGCATGTTTGAAACAGAAGAAAGGTACAGTTTTTGTTTTTTACAAAAGTTTGGTTTATACATTAAATACAATATGAAATTAAAAATAATGAAATAGAATAACCACAATAACATTATGATAAGGGTCAAGTGAATATGGTCTTTGCTCTAGAAAATCTTATCTTACTTTCATTTTTCCTGTGAAAGAAAACAAATTTGGCATCTTTTTAGCATATTCAAATAGGGTCAAATAGGGTCATTATTGTAAAATAAGAGAATATTTGGGGAAACCAGGTGCAATGGTTCAGTGGCTAAATACTCGCTTTGCATGTGTCACGAGTTCATATGGGAAGCGGTTTGTGTCCAACCACTTCACTTCCCATCCAGCTCCCTGTTTCTGGCCTGGGAAAGAGGATGGGCCAAAGCCTGAGGATCCTGCACCTATGTGAGAGACCCAGAAGAGGCTCCTGGCTGCAGGATTTGGATCAATTCAGCTGCAGCCATTGCAGCCACTGAATCAGCAGACGAAAGATGCTTCTCTGAATATCTCTTCCTTTGCCTTTCATATAAAATATAAATAAATCTAAAAAAAAAAACAAAGGATATCTGTATACCAGCATTGGGATGCTATGACTGTCAGCCCAATAATTAAGACGGCTACTAACAGGAGCAAAGGAATTCCAGACAGGACGGAGGGCCACACAAACAAGATCTAATTCACAGTAGTCAGAGCATCACACAACTAAAAACCTATGAACAGCTTAGTACTAGAATTTTCCACCTAATATATATATATTTTTATTGGAAAGTCAGATATACAGAGAGGAGGAAAGACAGAGACCTTCCATCCAATGGTTCACTCCCCAAGTGGCCCCACTGGCTGGAGCTGAGTCAATCTGAAGCCAGGAGTCAGGAGCCAGAAGCTGCTTCCGAGTCTCCCACGCAGGTACAGGGTCCCAAATCTTTGGGCCATCCTCAACTGCTTTCCCAGGCCACAAGCAGAGAGCTGGATGGGAAGCAGGGCCGCCAGGATTAGAACCGGCACCCATATGGGATCCTGGGAGTGCAAGGTGAGGACTTAAACCTCTACACTATTGTGCCGGGCCCCCACCTGATATTTTTTAACTGCAACTGACTGTAGGTAATCTGAAACCACAGAAAAATCTATGAGACCATACTCTGATTCAGGTCTGGGGGTAGGGGAAAACCACTGCAATCCAATACAACAAAACAGTTCAGAAATAATACTGTACATTTATGTTCAATTGATTCTCAATACAGGTAGCTTACTTACATCAATAGAAAACAATGTTGTTTTAAACAAACAGTGCTCATCACAACTGAATATTCATATGCCCTCCATCCCAAAAAACTAACCTGTGTATGTACCTGATATGTTACACACACACAAAAATAAACAGTTCAAGATGCACCATGAACCTAAATGTAAAAGCCAATAGTTACAACCCCACTTGTGAGACCCCATCCCACACAGGAGTGCCTGAATTCAAGTCCCAGCGCCATTCCTAACTCAGCTTCCTGCCTGGCAGACAACAGATGACTGTGTAAGTACCTGAATCCCTCCCACCCACAAGAGAAATCTGGATTGAGTTCCTGGCTTTACCCTGGCTGGGAGTGAACCAGCACATGGAAGCTTTCTCTCCTCTCTTTCAAATAAAATGAAAAGAAGGGAAAAAGTGAACTCAAAAGGAAATGATCTGTAACAAAAGCCAAAACCACAGAACTTACACATGGAGAAAAAAATGACTACAGCCACAGATAAGGAAAATGCTTTCTAAATGATACTAAAACTCAAACTAAAATCCATCAAAGGATAACAGGAATCTAGAAACCATTCTTTAAGCAGATATTATCAGAAAAATGAAAACATAAATTATAGACAAGAATAGTTTTTGCAAAACATGTATCTGACTCAGGTCTTGCATTTTGTATTACAAGTATACAAAGCCATCCCAACAAACACCCCACTGAGGAAGATACACAAATGGCTAAAATGAACATAAAACAATGCAAATCATCAGTAGCCTTTAGAAAAATGCAAATGAAAACTACAAGGAAATACCAGTACATACCTAATAAAATGGCCATAACCAAAACAAGAGACAACACATGTTTGCCAGGACATGGAAAAACCGGAAGCCTCTACATTACTGGGGGAATGTAAAATGGTTCGGCCACTTTGAAAAACATTTTGACAGTTACATAAACAGGCATATATTTACTCCTAACAGCCAAAAACTGGAAACAACTAGTAAGCAAGTAAAAAGGTACATACATAAACAGGCATATTTTCACCAATAAAAACAAATGAAGTGGGGCCCAGCACAGTAGTCTAGCAGTTAATCCTCAACTGGCATGCTCCGGGATCCCATATGAGCAGCATTCAGGCCCTAGCTGCTCCAGCTTCCCATCTAGCTCCCTTCTTGTAGCCTGGGAAAGCAGTCGAGGATAGCCCAAAGCCTTGGGACCCTGGACTCACGTGCAAGTCCCAGAAGAAGATCCTGGCTTCTGGCTTCAGAATGGCTCAGCTCCGGCCATTGTAGCCACTTGAGGAGTGAACCAGTGGACTTAAGATCTTCCTCTTTGTCTTTGTCTCTCTAAACTTGCCTTTTCAATAAAGAATAACTTTAAAACGTTCTCCACAGAAGAAATTTATTTTTATTGGAAAGGCAGATTTACAGAGAGAAAGATCTTTCATCCACTGGTTCACTCCTCAAGTGGCCACAACAGCTGCAGCTAAGCTGCCAGAAAGCAGGAGTTCCTTCCTGGTCTCCCAAGGCTTTGAGCTGTCCTCAACTGCTTTCCCAGGTCAGAAACAGGGAGATAAAAGGGAAGTGGAGCAGCCGGGACACAAACTGGTGGCCATATGGGATCCTAGCACATGCTAGGGTGGGATGTTGGTCACTATGTTACCATGGCAGGCCCAATTTATCCAGTTCTAAGAACAAGGCTGCAACTCACCATAAGACTGACACCAGACTGGAACAGTTCATACGGGTAGAGAATTCTTTCATAATGCGACTTCAAAAGAGACCCAGTTCCTTTTCCTGGCAGATATCCCAAGCGGCTACCCACTTTAGACCACTTCTTTTCTTTGGTGACCATTTCAAAACCTCCTTTGCTGGCAACAATCTGGAAAAAAAAAAAACCTGGTAAAAATTATTTAAGCAGATTCAATCATTCTCTGCTAAATACATAAGTTACTCTGGGATGGGATTTTAGATTTCAACAAATAAATGACAACAGTGATATATGTAATATTTACAGGCAAAAAAACAGAAACAAAAACAAAAAGAGAAAATGATTATTAAACTTTCTTTGTTGTTGTTATTGTTAAGATTTATTTGTTCGGCCTGGAGTGATGGCCTCGTGGCTAAAATCCTCGCCTTGAATGTGTCAAGATCCCACACAGAAGCCGGTTCTAATCCCAGAAGCCCCACTTCCCATCCAGCTCCCTGCTTGTGGCCTTGGAAAGCAGTAGAGGATGGCCCAAAGCCTTGGGACCCTGTACCCACGTGGGAGACCTGGAAGAAGTTCCTGGCTCCAGGTAGGCACAACATCAGCTTTTGCGGTCCCTTGGGGAGTGGATCAACAGACAGAAGATCCATCTCTCCTCCTCAGTGTATCTCTGGCTTTGCAATAAAAATAAATAAATCTTAAAAACAAAAAAGATAGATTTATTCATTTTTGAGCCCAGTACAATGGCCCCGTGGCTAAAGTGTTCCATGCGCCAGGATTCTATATGAGCACTGGTTCATGTCCTGGCTGTTCCACATCCCACCCAGCTCCCTGCTTGTGGACTGAGAAAGCAGTAGAGGATGGCCCACACCCTTGGAACCCTGCACACACATGGGAGACCTGTAAGAAGCTCCCTCCTGGCTTCAGACTGGCTCAGCTCTGGTGGTTTTAGCCACTTGGGGAGTGAACCAGCAGACAGATCTTTCCCTCTGTCTCTTTTTCCCTCTGTATATCTGACTTTCCAAAAACATAAATTAATTAATTTTAAAAATTGGAAAGACAGATCAGATTTACAGAAAGGAGAGGGAAAAAAGATCTTCATCCACTGCTTTATTCCCCAAATGGCCACAATGGCCACAGCTGAGGTGAGCCAAGGTTTTCTTCTGAGTCTCCTACTTGGGTATAAGGTCCCAAAGTTTTGAGCCATCCTCTGCCAGGTTCTCAAGACCACAAGCGAGGAGCTGGATGGGAAGTGGAGCCAGCAGGACACACACTCAACCCCAAGGGATGCTGGCACTTGCAAGGTGAGTATTTAGTCATTGAGCCATCACGCCGGGCAGTCTCAAGGCTTTTTTGTTTGATTTTGTTTTTTTAAAGATTTATTTATTTTTATTGAAAGTCAGAATTACAGAGAGGAAGAGAAAGCAGATCTTTCACTCATTGATTCACTTCCCAAGTAGCTGCAACAGCTGAAACTGAGCAAATCTGAAGCCAGGAGCCAGGAACCTCCTCCAGGTCTCCCACATGGGTACATGGTCCCAAAACTTTGGGCCATCCTCGACTGTTTCCCAGGCCACAAACAGAGAGATGGGAAGCGGGGTTGCCAGGCTTGGGTCGGTGCCCATATGAGATCCTGTTGAGTTCAAGGCGAGAACTTTATCCTCTAGGTTACTATGCCGGATGACCTCTCAACAGTTCTAAACTCCAAAATTTAATTCATGTTATAGTGTCTATGCTAAAACCAGGCATTTAACATTTTTTAAAAAGATTTATTTATTTTATTGGAAAGCCAGATTTAGAGAGGAGAGACAAAGAGGAAGATCTTCCATCTGATGGTTCACTCCCCAGCAGTCACAATGACTGGAGCTGAGCCAATCTGAAGCCAGGAGTCTGGAGCTTCTTCTGGGTCTCCCACACAGGTGCAGGGTCCCAAGGTTTTGGGCCATCCTCGAATGCTTCCCAGGCCAGAAGCAGGGAAGTGGATGGGAAGTGAGACCACCAGTATTAGAACCGGCGCCCATATGGGATGCCAGCACATTCAAGGGAACCACTACACTATCATGCCGGGCCCGCATTTAGCACATTTACTAAATCTGTACCTCTTGCCTGGATTGAAGAGCAGGCCAACTTCTGTCTCTAACTAAATTCCACATAATATATAACAAAAAAGGCAGCAGATCAGAATCAGCTGCCTGTTCCACTCACATGGAAACCCAGACTGAGTTCCTGACTCCTGGATGTGGCTGGGCCCTGCGCTAGCAACTGCAGACGTGTGGACAGTGATCAGCGGAAGGGAAGTCTGTCTGTTTGATTCTCTGCCACTCAAATAAATTATAAATAAGTCATAATGGGTTAAGAATAAACACAGCAACACTCTCAGCAGCCATCACGGAAATGAAGAAACAAATAAACTTTCACATCATTTTACTGAACTAAAATGATTCATAATTCAATTTTTAAATTTTACATTATTATTTGAAAGAGAAATGAGAAGAGCTCTTCCATCCACTGGCTCAATCCTGATGGCCACAATGGCCAGGGTGGACCAGACTGATGCCAGGAGTTTCATCCTCTCGTATAGGCGACAACGGCTCAAAAACCTGGGCCTGGCCCGGCAGCATGGTCTAGCGGCTAAAGTCCTCGCCTTGAACATGCCAGGATCCCATATGGGTGCTGGTTCTAATCCCCACAGCTCCACTTCCCATCCAGCTCCCTGCTTGTGGCCTGGGAAAGCAGGCAAGGATGGCCCAAGGCCTTGGGACCCTGCATCCGTGTGGGAGACTCGGAAAGAAGTTCCAGGCTCCTGGCTTCGGATTGGCACAGCACCAGCCGTTGTGGTCACTTAGAGTGAATCATCGGACGGAAGATCTTCCTTTCTGTCTCTCCTCCTCTCTGTACATCTGCCTTTCCAATAAAATAAATAAACCTTAGGAAAAAAAAAGATTTCTGCTGCCCACCAAACTTAAGTGAAGTGCCTATTTCATAAATGTGTAGGGCTCTGATCCAATTTCTAAACCAAGTCCAAGCTTCACCTTGCTCAAAGCATATAGATCCAGGATTTTTCTCTCTACCACGGGGATTTTCAAAGTAGATCCTTGAAGTTCCCAAAATTTTGCTAGTTGATCCAAGAAGTCCAGTCTCACTCTAGTCATTGCCTAAGATCATTAAAACACAGAAATTAGAAGAACTGAGTGATGGGTGAAAATAAATAAATCTTACATAATAACAGTATTTTTTGTCTCTGAAAGCATGCAGACATATCATTTTTTTTTAATTTTTGCTCAGCTCATAAAACAAGCAAATGACAGACAAAAATACCTCTGGTAAGCATTTACTCATTAAGGCAAAGAAAAGTTTCTCTTATGTGTAAAAAGCATTCATATTAGTAACCAAAAAATTTCAAATTGGTTTAACTTTATGATTCAAAAGGAAATTAAGTACATCTGTTATGCTCAATTACTATGCAATTCATCATCAACACATGAGACTATATTTTAGGTACATAAACCCTCTATGTCACTGATATTAAGATATTTTTCATCAGTTCCCTAATTACAAGACACTAAGAAATGGCTTAGCATTATGACGCAGTGGCTAAATCCCTTGCCTTGCATGTGCAGGATCCCATATGGGATTAGTATCCTGGCAGCCCGACTTCCCATCCAGCTCCCTATTTGCAGCCTGAGAAATCAACAGAGGACGGCCCAAAGCCTTGGCACCCTGCACCAACATGGGAGACCCAGAAGAAGCTCCAGGCTCCTGACTTCAGATTGCCTCGGCTCCAGCTGTTATGACCATTTGGGGAGTGAGTCAGGAAGTGGAAGATCTTTATCTGTCTCTCCTTCTGTCTATTAAAATGCCTTTTCGACAAAAATTTTAAAATCTTAAAAAAAAAAAAAAATCCACTGAAGTCTCAAAAATATTTCAGGAAGATGTGGGAGGAAAACCCCTCATCGGACAATAAATCTTACCTATCAAAAATTTCCATTTTGGAGCTAGCATGACAGTGCAACAAGCTCATCTTCAGCCGTGTGGTGGCAGTGCCAGGTGCTCCCCTTCTGATCCTGCTCTCTACTTACGGCTGGAGAGAGCAGCTGCAGATGCCTCGGGCCCTGGACCCAACAGGAGAGTCCACAGAAGCCTGAGGGTCCCACCTTCGGACCGGCTCACCTCGCTCCTTGCAGGCCATTTGGTGAATGATCCTGCCGATGCCACACCTTCCCTATCTCCCCTTGGCTCTCTGTAAAGTCTGCCTTTCATATGAAAACAAAATCTTTTTAAAAAGTGCATTTTGTATTCTTCAATAGTTTTTTTTTTTTTTTTAAGATTCATTTATTTTTATTGCAAAGTCAGATATATAGAGAGGAGAGACAGAGAGGAAGATCTTCCGTCTGCTGATTCACTCCCCAAGTGGCCACAATGGCCGGTGCTGCATCCATCCGAAGTCAGAAGCCCAGATCCTCTTCCAGGTCTCCCACACGGGTGCAGGGTCCCAAGGCTTTGGGCCGTCCTTTGCTGCTTTCCCAGGCCACAAGCAGGGAGCTGGATGGGAAGTGGGGCTGCCAGGATTGGAACCAGCACCCAAAGGGATCCTGGCACATGCAAGGCAAGGAATTTAGCCACTAGGCTATTGTGCTGGGACTGCTCCAGTAATTTTGACATCACACTGAAGAACCCTCTGAGAATGTGGCACACAGAGGGAAAAAAACACTAACACTTAAATAGACTTCAGCTGGGCCTGGCAGGATGGCTCACTGACTAAATCCTTGCCACACAGCACTGGGATTCAGCATTGGACAACAGTTTATGTCTTGGTTGCTCCACTTCCCATCCAGCTCCCTGCTTGTGGCCTAGGAAGCAACCGTGGGACCCTGCACCTGTGTGGGACACCTAGAAGAAACTCCTGGTTCCTAACTTGGGTTTGGCTCAGCTCCACCGGCTGCAGCCATTTGGGGTGTGACCCAGCAGATGGAAGATCTTTCTTTCTGTAAATCTGCCTTTCAAACAAAAATAAACAAATCTTTAAAAAAATAAAGTGAAATTTAAGACTTCTCCTTGATTTAGTATTGAATATTTCAACCATGACAAAAAAAACCCAGAGCTATATAATTGTTTATAACATGCTAAGTAGAAAAACCAGAGTAACCACTTTATCTAATTTTTAAAAACTCACATACTTCCTCTGAACATTGAGCAACTATTACTACAATCTCAATTAACACAAAATCTGGAACCTGCGATATGAACTGCTCAGGTTGTCAGCCTACAGTCCTAACACCCAGAATAAATCTATAGGCAAGAATGAGGAAGTAGCACTCACCTCAAGTTCATTTAGGCGCTGGACCCTTGGAGTGAAGCGAAAGCTTTTAACTTCACAAGCAAATGGAGGCTGCCAATCCTAAATAAAAACAATTATTTTAAAACATAGTGAGGTTGTCATTCCTTTAAAATGAGTTTCCACAAGTCATGGTGCCAACAAATTAACTTAGAAAAGTTTATTTTGGCAAGACAAAGAGCAGTATTTCGGGATTATTTTACTTAAAAATATTAAAGAAACAATTCTGCATAAACCTCTCCAGTCCCACTATCCGCACAGCACAATTATGCTTTTCCAAGTTCCTCAACTGGGACGCCACGAGTCCACGTACCACAGAACAATCTCCAGTCACACGCTAAGTATATCAAATTTAAACGGGAAAACGGCTGAGGAGTGGGAATAGACAAAAGGCTAAACTTAAAGATAAAAAAAATTTAGGGAATTGTAACATGTTCACTTGTGTGTTGTATAGAATACCTCACGGTCTATATTAACCAATGTTGTTCAAATTCCAGCTTCTAGGCATCCAAATCTTTAAAAAAAAAATCCCCAAAACAATTTCCAGATTGTGGCATAAAAATGAAATATATTTCAAATAGAGCTCTACAGAACAGTTTGATGTGGCCTACATTTAACGGCAGACATAGTAGTCAGAAACTGCATCCCACCTTGGATATTGAAGAAACAACCAGATTAAAGTTCACTTATTCTGAGTAATGTCACAAAAAGCGTACCATTGGTCTTTTTAAAACAATAAAAACATGTAACTGAAGAGCACTGAAGTGAACCTCTAACTGGATAAACGCAACTCAGATGAAACCACAGTTTAGGAAAAACCTCAGCGCTTCACACCTGGTCCACAGGAGCTGATCTGGAGAGGAAGAGTCAAGGGATGGCTCCTAAGAGCATGCCAACCAGGTCCTCACAGACTTGCTCTCCCTTTGCAACTCAAACTCAGCAAATAGGAAACGAAATCCCACAGAGGTGCTAAACCAGCTCCTCCCTGTCCTCTCTCTGCCTGTCTTGGACTCTGCTAATGCAGGGTACTGGCTAGAAAAGATTCCCAAATTCCCACAGCCAGAAGCTGATTCCACTCCTTTACAGAGCCCTACGGGGTCTGAACTTGAATGAGCCTTCCCTGGTACAGCAGCATCATTTGAAAGCACTGGTACAGGGGGCAAGAAAAACACTTTTGACCTTGAGCAAGTCACTCAACCTTGTTGACCATTAACCACCACCCGACAAGGAGTAAAAGAATCTAATTCCCTTACCTGAAGGATTTAGGGTCATGTGTGTGTTTGTGTGTTAAAAAGACTACAATTAACTTTGAAAAAACCCAGCTACTCTGCAATCATTCCAACTCTGAAACCTTTCATCATTCTGTTTCTTGAACAAAGGTTTTTTTTTTCACCTTGATTATTTACTAACATATCCTAAATTATAATAGGTAGATAGATAAAAAGACAAAAACTGGGGCTCCTTTTCTCGTCCCCAGGGAAGAATCCTTGGGGTGGCAGCGGTGGGGCAGACACCCTCCTGAGGGGAAAAGCTGCAGCTCAGCCTTCCACCGAGGCCTGGCCTGGGGGGACAGGCCAGCGCGTCCACCAGCTCGCGCTGCATACAAACACCACCTCGTACCCCACCAACACGTATCGGCAATACGAGTTCAAAAAAAAAAAGTAGAAAATGGCCAATAAGGGTCGACTCTGCACTATCGATGCGAAAGGACAGAACTGAACCTAAAAGGAATTTTTCACTACCTTAACTGACCAAACAGTGAACACACACATATATATAATACAGTTTCCAAATCGTAGGCGGAAAAAGCCCCACGCCTCAGACCCCGGGGCCCAGGCGCCGGGAGAGTTGGCCTCCATCCTCGGGGATGGAAGGCAAGCAGGCCCTACAGGGCACCGTGACCCCAAGGGGTCTGTGCCCACTCTCCCCAGACCCCATCCCGAGGGCCGAGCGGCCGCCTGCCCTTCCCGGACCCCCGTACCTTGGGCGGCCGTATCTTGCAGATGCCCGTTTTCTCGGCCAGAGGCCGGATCCGGCCGATGAAGCTAAGTGGGTCCGTGAACTCTTCCCAGCTAGGCTCAAACACCGGGCACTCCGGGGGCGGCACAAACTCCGCCGCGTAGCCCCCCGGCCCCACGCCCGCCATGGCAGCCACCGCGAGGCCCTCCCCCGGCGGGGTGCAGGTGGACAGCAGGTGGGACGAGGGCTGGCTGGAGTCCACGGGCCCTTTCACGTCTCCTCACGGGGCCCGCAGCGCATCTTCTCGAAGGAGAAGCGTTCCACACCGGAGAGCCAGGCGTCGCTTCCTCCTCCTCCGTTTGTTATTGTTTCCTGGCTGGGGGGGGGGGGGGGGAAGGACCTCGCCGGAAGTTAACGTGCGGCCAATCCCTCCGCGTCAGCACCACGCCGGATTCCTCCGCCGGATGCCCCGCCGTCGGGGACCCTTGTCTTCCTCCTCCCCGACCCCACGGCGCCCGGCCGTGCTTGCTCTGCTTGCCGGGGTAGGTTCTGCGCGGCCGGACGGGGCCTGGGGCTCCTGGCTGCGCTGGGCCCCGAGGGCGAGAGGGGAGAGATGCAAGCACTTCTCCGGCATGGAAGACCGTGGAGGGCCCCAGGGGGCAAAGGTTGTGCTTCCGGAGAGGAGGGCTCGCCCGCGTCGCTACCAGCACCACTTCCCTTTGGTGTCTTGATGAACGCGCGAGCAGCTCCGCCCCACCTCGTCTCAGGTTCCCTGGAGCTCCATGGGGGGGTGTCCGCCTCTTCACACGGACTGCGCATTCTACTGCAGTAGCTTGTCTAGCCACCTCCCGGATCACTCCAGTTGGGAACTAAAAGTGCTGGTACTAAAGCCAGCATTTGGCGCTGTTTACTTTTTACGATTTCTACGAATGACTTCACTGACATAGTTGCCTGAGCAATAATAAATAAATCATCCTAATGCTTCCTGCCCCTTACCCCACATTTGCGGCGTCAGGAAGTTACCTCACCTGCAGGTCTTAGATCGGTCTCTTGTTGCTCTCGTTCCCATTTTCCAGATTTAATTTCTGTCTCATCTGCATGAGGGTAGCACTCACTTCTTATTGCCTCTCAGGTCTTCCTTGGCCTGAAACCACATTTGTCATCTCCAGACTCAACACACCGATTTATTTTCTGCGTAATTTTTCAGCTAACTCTCTCCTACTCCATGTAATCCACAGACGTCGTGATAGCTCTTGTCTTTAAAAAACAGATTTATGTATTTTTATTGCAAAGGCAGATTGGAATATAAGATTGTGGCGGGGGGTGGGGGAGATAGAAGTTTCTATTCACTTGTTCGCTTGCCAAATAGCCACAGTGGCTGATTCAAAGCCAGGAACCAGGAGGTTCTTCCTGGTCCCCCACGTGAGTGCAGGATCCCAAAGACTTGGGACATCCTCCATTGATTTCCCAGGCGTCTTAGCAAGGAGCATCAGCCAGGACTAGAAGGGCATGGGCACCAGTGCTGCAGAAAGAGGCTTAGTGTACTATGACAGCACTGACCCCTACGGTAGTATTTTTTTTCTTCTCGGTATTGTTTACATAATTGAGAAGGATGCCCAGTATCCTTATTTTTCCTTAAGATTTATGTATTTACTTGGAAAGTCAGAATTACAGGACAGATAAAGATTTTCCAACCACTGGCTCACTCCCCAAATGGCTACAAGCAGCCAGAGCTGGGCCAGTCCAGAGCTGGGAGCCAGGAGTTTCTTTCAGGTTTCTCACATGAGTATAGGTGCCCAAGGGCTCCACTTAACCTCTGCTGCTTTCCCAGAGCAGAAGCAGGGCGCTGGAATGGAAGTGAAGGCGCAGGGATTCAAACCAGTGCTGATATGAGATATCAGTGCTGGCAGGCAGTGGATTAACCTGTGACACCACTACGTACAGCCATGATATTTACAATTTTTAAATAATAAATTAATTTTACTTTTAAAGACTTTTTTTCTTGGAAAGTCAGATATACAGAGAAAAGGAGAGTCAGAGAGGAAGATCTTCCATCTATTGATTCATTTTCCAAGCGGCCACAACAGATAGAGCAAAGCCAATTCAAATCCAGGAGCTCAGTGCTTCTTCTGGGTCTCCCACACAGGTACAGGGTCCCAAAGCTTTGAGCCATTCTTGACTGCTTTCTTAGGACACAAGCAGAGAGCTGGATGGTAAGCGGAGCCTTCAGGATTAGAACTGACACCCAGATAGGATCCCAGTGAGTTCAAGGCGATAACTTTATCAATAGGATTTGCTCTGGGCCCAAATTCATTTTATTTTTTAAAAGATTTATTTTATTTCTATTGAAAAGTCAGATATCCAGAGAGGAGGAGAGACAGAAAGATTTTCCAACAGATGATTCACTCCCCAAGTCAGCGCAGCGGCTGGTACTGTGCCGATCTGAAGCCAGGAGCCAGGAATTCTTCCAGGTCTCCCACACAGGTGCAGAGTCCCAAGGCCTTGGGCCGTCCTCAACTGCTTTCCCAGGCCACAAGCAGGGAGCTGGATGGGAAGTGAAGCTGCCAGGATTAGAACCGACACCCATATGGAATCCTGGTGTGTTCAAGGCGAGGACTTTAGCCGCTAGGCCACGCGGCCAGGCCCAAAATTCATTTTATTTTTTAATGATGGCTACATAGTTAAGAGGAATGCATGCCTATGTGGATCACCAATTACAATGGGGAGGATGGAAGAATGCTGGAAAATGGATAGGACAACTGCCTCAAATCCTTTTTCTTCCCATATCTGGGGAAAGTGCAAAGAGAAGGGGAGAGGACCACTTCCAGCAATCCAACTACATCAATACTTAGCAACAAAGCAAGGCCATTCGATCTCATCCCAGAGTCCCCAATGTGGAACATGTTCCAAGGATACTGTAGTTCTGAGATGCTGTTGCTTTCATTGCTCCAAGGTTGACGAAATCCTTCCAAGTTCTATTTGCTCACACAGTCCACCTTAGAGTTTCTATTAGCCCAGATACCCCCCCGGGGAAAGCTGTCCAGTTTGTTCTGTATTCCATGGTACTTGCTGTCCTCTGCAGGCCTCAATCAACTGGTCGTCATGTCCCCAATGAGCATCCAGGCATGCCATCTGCTGCACAGGCTTGGCAGCTGTGGAGATCCTGTTCTGACACATGCACTCCTCAGTCAGACCACATATCCTATGGTTTTAACGGTGGTTGGAGTTCAGAGTCCAGTGATATATAGCTGCCCAAAGAAGCTTGACAGTCAGTGGGGGAACTGTGCTCAAGCTATGCCAAGCAGCTATGCCGTCCAGACATGGCTTTCGTATGTGCTGGTAGGTGGTAGTTGGTACCAACAATCCCAGCTCAGGTCTCCCACATGGGCGGCTGCAACGGTTTGGCTCTGAAAGTTCCTCCAATTTCCCTCCTGGAAAGTACCTGGTCTTAGCCCCTTTGTTTACCTGCAAGTATAGTAGTCTGGTTGTTGGAAGTTTCCAGAAATCACTCCTCACCTGTCACGTTCTCAATCCTGGTATCTGTTGTCCCTCTCACACATCTCCAGACTTGCTTGCCTGAACAATCCACAACCCCATTCACCAAGCCTGGTCTTGCAGCACTGTGCCCTGACAGCCTGGGGCGCTCACTGTATTTCGTGCGACCCGCACTCATGCAGAGGTCCCCAGACCCTGTCTGTGGGCATGCAGGCTCTGCCCCATATATCTTTTGTTTGTTTGTTTTTAGATTTCTTTTATTTTTATTTTGTAATAAAAATAAATAAATCTTTTTAAAAAGATCTTATATAATCAGCTTAATTAAGGGAAAGCTGGTTTTAAAGAGCAAAAAAAGCCAAACTTGCATAATCACTAAGAAATGATCTTTTTTTCAACAATCGTTACTAACAGTGGTTCTCATTTTTTTTTTTATTTAAAAATTTTTTAATTGGAAAGTCAGATATCCAGAGAGGAGGAGAGACAGAGAGGAAGATCTTCTATCTGCTGATTCACTCCCCAAGTGGCCACAATGGCTGGAGCTGAGCTAATTCAAAGCCAGAAGCCAGGAGCCTCTTTTGGGTCTTCCATGCAGGTACAGGGTCCCAAGGCTTTGGGCCGTCCTAGGCCCAAAAGACTGCTTTCCCAGGCCACAAGCAGGGAGCTGGATGGGAAGCAGGGCTGTCGGGATTAGAACCAGCGCCCATATGGGATCCTGGCGCGTGTAAGATGAGGATTTTAGCCGCTAGGCTACTGCTCTGGACCTGGTGCTCAATTTTTAATCATAAGACTTCTGCATACTCTTAAATATTATTGGGGGTAAGGAGACACATGTTGTGACACGGCATGTGAGTATCTCATGGAAGTGTCTGTTGGAGCCCAGACTGCTCCCTGCTAATGTGCCTGGGAAGGTACCAGGTGGGAGATCCAGATGGACTTCCAAAGCTCCTGGCTTTGGTCTGGCCCAGCCCTGGTTGTGGCAGTCATCTGGGGAGTGATTCAGTTGCTGAAGTCTCTGACCCATTGCTTTACTCTGCCTCTAAAAAAATAATAATTGCATGTTTTTAAAAATGAGACCCTTGAAATTTCTTATTTTGAAATTTTTGAGAAACCGAATTACACAGAGAGAAAAAGGTATGCTATCTGCCGGTTCACTCCCCAAATGCCTACAGGTGCCAGAGCTGAGCTGATCAGGAGCCAGCAGCCTCCAGGTCTTCCACATGGATATAGCATCCCAAGGCTTTGGTCCGTCCTCCACTGCTTTCCAGGCCATAATGGGAACAGGATGGGAAGTGCAGCAACAGGGACAGAAACTGGTACCCATATGGATGCAGGCACAAGGCGGTGGATTAACCTGTTGAGTCACTGACCTGGCCCCTGAAATTTATTGTTTGTAAGAATTTAAATTTAAAAAACTGGGAGAGGTCTAAAATGGAAGGGTTATTTCACCTATAGATGTAATCACCCACATCTCACATCTGAATTAAATTGCCAGCTTTTTTTCCCCTTAAGATTTATTTATTTATGTTGGGAGGTCAGAGTTACAGAGAGGAGAAACAAAGATCTTCAGTTTGCTGGTTCATTCCGCAAGTGGCTAAAACGGCCAGAAATGAGCTGATCCGAAGCCAGGAGCCCACAGCCTTTTCCGGGTCTCCCACACAGGTGCAGGGTCCCAAGGCTTTGGGCCAACCTAGACTGCTTTCCCAAGCCACAGGCAGGGAGCTGGATAGGATGTGGAGCAGCTGGGATTACAACCGGCGCCCAATGGGATCCCGGGCATGTACAAGGTGAAGACTTAAGGTACCGCCCTGGGACCCAGCTCTGACCCTTGATGCCATCTTCCCGCCAATGCAGATTCTAGGAGGCAGCACTTACGGTTCATTATTCGGGTTCCTGCCACTCACAGGGGAGACGTGGACTAAGTTCCCAGCTCCTATTAGGGCTTTCTCAGTCGAAGCCATTGTGAGCACTTAGGGAGCGGACCAGGAACGGGAAGAGGAGTGAGCCCACAGAGGGGTGTGCCACGAAGAAAAAGTACACTGCCCGGCGTCCTTTGCGCGGGGAGGTCCCCTCGAAGAAAGGCACGATGGGAGTTGCTTCCGTGTGAACAACGTTGCTATTGGTGCGCATCCCGAAGGGCTGCGTAACATAGTGTGCTATAGGACGGATCTGTGGGTGGCGCCGCGACGCTCCCTTATTTGACTTTTGTTTTTCAGTTGGGTTCCGCGACTCGGAGGCATTTTGTGTGGTGAGTGTGTGTTTTTGGGCTTCGGGTGACGGAGTCAGGGATCGAGGGCTTGGGAGAGAGTCTGGTAATTCGGAAGTAGCTGTGTGATGTGGCGTGGAAGGGAGGTACGTGAACTTGGAATCCGGAGGTTCTCAGAGTGGCCGGCGACCCGAAATGGGAAATTCGACTCTGCGAAAGGACAGGCGGGCTACCGGGTCCTCCCCAATCCAGGCTAAGCCTCAGTTTTCTCATTTGTGAAATGTAGTGGGGAAAAAAAAAAAGATACTTAAGTTGTTGGAGTAAGTAGTACAGTTGAAATGCTGAGTAAATGGTAATTGCTAATGAAAATCTCCAAAAAGCGATTTCTCAGCAAGAATAGGAGCTGGCTGGAACGCATTCGTTTATCCATAGATCCTTGGAGAATTGCAATAGTAGGTTATGACGCTGTCCGTGAGAGGAGCCGTAGCAACAAGGAGTGACCAGTGTCCTGTTGCAGTTGGAAAGTCTGGAGAATTCATTTGGATAGCGGAAGTCACGGAGAGATCAGAAGATGCGATCAAAGTTTTCATTTACAGCCTAGATTTAGGTGTGTAGAAATTGGAGCATTGTAAAAGGAATTGTTTCAGTAGGGACAAAAGGAAAAAGAAAAAGCTCTTGGAAACAAAGAGTATGTGGGTACATTGACAGAATAAGAGGGAGATAAGCTGAAGACCGAGTTCAAGCAGAGAGGAGCCCGGGGTGCTGAGGAGCCCGGGGCAGGAAGGCAGTATAATACAGAATTAACAGAGGAGCTGTTCTCTGTTCACACTGGCCCACAGCATCGTTCTCCCGACAGTCATATTGTAAGTGGACATACCAGGTAGAAAAACCCCAGAACAGGACATGACGTCATCTCATGACTTGCTCCAAAGCAGAATGGATAGGTGAAGCCGACTACTAAGGTAGCCCACATCGAAGCTAATAAAAAGAAAATTCTCTCGCTCTCTTTTAAGATCTATTTATTTTTATTGGAAAGTTGGAGAGATAGAGAGGAAGAGCTTCCATCCAAAGTGGCCACCACAACTAGTGCTGAGCCGGAGGCAGGAGCCTCTACTGGGTCTTCCACATGGGTGCAGGATCCCAAGGCTTTGGGCCACCTTTGACTGCTTTCCCAGGCCACAAGCAGGGAGCTGGATGGGAAGCAGGGCCGCTGGCACTCGAACCGGCAATCATATGGGATCCTGGTGCGTTCAAGGCAAGGACTTTAACCACTAGGCTACTGTGTTGGGCCAAAACACTCAATTTCATAGTTTCATGTTCTTTGTGGCAGGCGGTTAGGATGTTGGGGAGGAAACCAGTTTCTACATCCTATAGTGTATTTATTATTCTGTTCTTGGTTCCTCATTATAAATTTCTGTGTGTTTGATAGGTGTGACTTGACAGCATGAACTTCACCCCGACACGTACTCCTGTCTACACAAAGTAAGACATTCACTGATTTTGGAATTGTTAAATTAAGGATTCGAGACACCTGTAGTTTTTAGTCTGAATCAGCATAGGAGCTAAAAAGAGCTTTGTTTCTTCAATCATTGTTGGAATTATATTAACTCTCATCTCTCTGGTATGCAGAATTTAAATTTTAAAATAATGACTTTTTATGTGAGTGCTGTTGAATTGAATGGGCCCAGTGTCAGTGGGTGCTGGAATACAGAGGAAGCAGGCAGAGCCCTAACATGAGACGTTTAATCTTGGTCTTGCCATCAGCTTGCTGCCGGGCACATCTTCCTCGTCTTCCTCTCCCCTCCGTGCCATGGCTCTCACCTGCAGAATGTCACAAGTACCTTTTTTTTTTTAAAAGAAATGAATTATTTGAAATTTTTGTTGTTGTTTTTATTGAAAAGGCAGTTTAGATTTATGTAGCGAAGTAGAGACAGAGAGAAAGAATATTCCATTCCCAGCTGGCCACCATTGCCAGAGCTGGGCAGATCTGAAGTCAGGAGCCAGAGCCTCATCCAGGTCCCCAATGAGGGGGCAGGGTTCCACTGCTTTGGGCCATCCTCTGCTGCCTTCCCAGGCCACAGGCAGGGAGCTGGATGGGAAGCGGGGCAGCCGGGACACGACTGATGCCCACGTGGGATCCTGACACCTGTAAGATGAGGACTTAGCCATTGAACCATTGTGCCAGGCCCGGTACCTCTTATTTTATCTGTTCACCTGTGCTTTTGGTATTGTTATAAGGCAACCACCTCCAAAAATGTGAAACACTAAGTAAAATAATATTTCTATCATAACATTTTAATGATTAAAGACATGTTAGGTATTTTTCTTCATAGAAGTTAAGAACAAATTTTGTTCTTTTTCCATTCTTGCTTACTTCCAAGTGAATGTTTGCAGGGCAAGGCGTTTAACATAGAAGTTGCCGCTTGGGATAATCATATTTGAATGCCTGATTTGAACACCTACTACTCCATTTCTGATCCAGCTCCCTGCTAATGGCCAGGGAAAGCAACGGAAGGTTGCTCACGTCCTTGGGCCCCTACACCTTTGTAGGAGCCCCTGAGGAGGCTCCTTACTCCTGGCATCTGATTGGCTCCATTCTGGCCGTTGTGACCATTTGAGGAGTGAATCAGCAGATGGAACATCCCTCTCTCTCCTGTCTATAACTCTAACCTTTCAAATAAAAACAAAGTAAATATTGAAAAAAAAATTATTTTTCCATTAGCTATAACTCTGGCCTCCCAGAATAAAGTTTCTCCACTCTGCCATTTTGTTCTGTTGTGTATTGCAGACAGCCAGATTGGAGTGATTTTTACATAAAGCTTTCTCTACTTGTACACCGTTTGTTTTTTGACTTCTGTTGGGAAGCTTAAGACTCTTGTTTGCCAGAAGTAAGCCAACAGACAAAAACTCCTTGTCTAGCCTTAATCATTCTTGCCATTTGTGACATGGAGTCACTTGGCCAGAGTTCTTGTGTTTCAGGTCCTAGGATCCAGCATGGTGGCTTCCATTGCTAAGTGTCTTACAGTACTAAGGTTCTTAACTGATAATGTAATCTTTCTTATAAGGAAACCTCAAAATCTTCTTAGAAAACTGAGTCAAAAGCTTTTTGGCGACAAATATTTTGAGGTCCATGCTTTTTTTAAATTTTTTTTTTATTATTTTTATTGCAAAGTCACATATACAGAGAGGAGGAGAGACAGACAGGAAGATCTTCCGTCCAATAGTTCACTCCCCAAGTGGCCGCAATGGCTGGAGCTGAGCCAATCCGAAGCCGGGAGCCAGGATCCTCTTCCAGATCTCCCATGCAGGTGCAGGGTCCCAAGGCTTTGGGCCATCCTCAACTGCTTTCCCAGGCCACAGGCAGGGAGCTAGATGGGAAGTGGAGCTGCCAGGATTAGAACTGGCGTGCTCAAGGCGAGAACTTTAGCTGCTAGGCCACCACACCAAGCCCATGCTTATTTTTAACAAGTGTATCCCATGAACTTTTTGAAGAAGCTTCATGTATTCTCTTTTATAATGCTTTTTATACTCATTACATGTATTGTGAATACATATAATATATTTTGAATCACTGATACGTGACAGGTCACGAAATGATTCACAAACCTCTAACATTAAACTGTCAGGCTGTGGGAGCACCCTAATTGGAAGCACTTTAAGAACACAGACACAAAATACTTTTTATTTAAAAAGCTGTGTCTCATAGATGTCCAGAGGCTAATAAGTGTGTCCCATAGACTAACAACTGCATCTTAACACAATGCTTCCTTTGACATCAGTGATCGCACCAGGTGGCAGGGAATGGCGGACTCAGTGGAGTCAACTCCCTTGCCTTCTGTCCAAGATCGTCTGGCTGTCCTCTGCCCATCTCAGGAGCTTCTGGCGTATTATCAAAAGAAGATGGCTGAGTGTGAGACAGAAAATGAGGACCTACTGAAGAAACTGGAGCTCTACAGGGAAGCTTGTGAAGGACAGGTGAGAAAGATGATTGGCCCGAAGTGATGGTTCAGTGGCCAAATCCTGAACTGCAAACACACCAGGATCCTATCTGGGCACCAGTTCATGTCCTGGCTGCTTCATGTCTCATCCAGCTAACTGCTTTTGGCCTGGGAAAGCAGTAGAGGACTGCCCAGAGCCTTGGGACCCAATACCTATGTGGGAGACCTGGAGACCTGGAAGATGCTCCTGGTTCCAGCCTTTGGATTGACTTAGCTCCTGCTGTTGCAACTATTTGAGGAGTGAACTAGTGGATGGAAGATCTTTCTCTGTCTCTTCTTCTTCTCTGTAGATCTGCTCTTTCAAATAAAAATAATAAACAAACAAATAAATAAATGGAAACATTTAAATATCCATTATCCATGATATTGTTATTCCTAATTTGAAGCAATACAGATGCAAATTAACCTTCCCCCTTTTCTTATACTTTATTCCTTTATGTTTTTTAAATCATCTTAACTACTTTTTTTTTTTTAAGATTCATTTTACGTATTTGAAAGGCAGAACAAGGGAGAGGTCTTCTATCCACCGAGTCATTCCCCAGATACCAGTGCTTACTGGAAGCAGGAGCCATACGGGATGCTGACACTGCACATAGCAGCTTTGCCAGCTGCCGCACAAGGCCAGCCCCTGTCTTAGTTACTTGTAGGTGCACACTTCAGTAGTGTGGAGTATTTTTATATTGTTGTGCAACTGATCTCCAGAACTTTTCTTTTGCAAAACTGTGTTGCTGTTTCAGAGGTGTTTCTGCTCGGTCCCATGAGCATCCAAGCAGCTGCCTCTCATGGGGTGCCATACCACTGCTGTCGTAGAAGCCCTTCGTGCCTCTGTGGGTGGCAGAACTTTTTCATCCTGGAAAATGAAACTGTCCTATTAAATAAATTTCCATTTCTGCCTGTTTCTGCCACTTTATCCTGTAGCTGCTTGCTACCCTCGTGAATTTGAGTACTTCAGCTGCTTTATGTACGTGGACTCTTAGGGTGTTTTTCTTTTTGACTGGCGTGTTTCAGCTAGCCTGAAGTCCTCTGTTTTGCCCAACTTGCAGCATGTAACAATATTGCCTTTCCTTTTTTTTTGGATGTTTTATTTTTAACATAGTTCATAAAGTTGAGAGGGATACCTGCCCATGTGGGTCTCTGGTTAGGGTGCAGAAGGTCCGGATACGGAGGAAAGTGGATGGGATGAATATTTCAAATTTTTTTCTTCTGTATCCACAGGGATGGAAAGAGAGTAGGTCACTCATTGCTATAAAACTACAACAGCACTCAAAGATGGAAACTGGGGGGATGGTCATTTGATGACATCCCAGAGACCCCGATGTGAGGAAGAGTTGTTCCAACGATGTTCCTTGAGTGGTTTTGGTAGTTCTGAGATGTTGTCTGCTTTGTTGCATCAGGGTTGAGAAAATCTTTGCAAGGTCTGTTGGCTGACCAATTGCACCTTAGCTTATCTGCAAGCCCAGGAACATGTTGCCAAGCATGATCAGGAGAGTAGTCCAACCTGTTCTGTTTTCCCATCCTCTCACAAGGCACTTGATGTCCTCTGCTGGTCTAGATGAGCTGGCCATCATGTCCTTGATGTGCATCTGGGCATGCTGTCCACTATGCTGGGCATCAACAACTGAGGAGGCCAGTCCTGATGCCATGCACTCAAAGGTCAGACCATGCATCCTGTGATTTTCCCTATGTGGCTGGGGTCTGAGTCCAGTCATCTGGTTGGAGAGTCCCCCAAGGAACCTTGCTGGGGGTGACCTCACACTTGACTCTTCTCTGCACCAGCCAGTGCACATGCCAGTGGATGCAGCGCCTGGTCAGTTTTGCCCCCAGCCCCTCTCTCACATAAATTTATGGATTCTGCGACTAGCTCAGTCCAGCTTACCACAGGCTGGGTTTTCATGCAACCAGCCAATGCTGCAGCTTAACCTGATCTATACTGCATCCCATCTGGCTTTCTTGCACATGCATTGGTGTTGCAGCTTAGCTCAGCCCTACCTGCTCCCAGACCTGACACACACACGTGCTGACAGGTGCTGCCACCTTGCCCAACTCAGTCCACCACCAGCCCTGGCTCCCATGCTCACTAGCAGGAGCTGCAGCCTAGCAGAGGAGTGCCCACAGTTTCACTACCAGGTCCCCTCCCAGCTCTGGATCCTGTGCCTGTCAGAAGGTACTGTGGTTCAGCCTTCTGATATGACTTGCACCCATTTCTTACATTTGCCAGGAGTTACTATGTCCTAGCCTGGCCACAAGGCACCGATTCTGGCTCTTGCATGCCAGCAGATGGAGCAGCCTAGCCTACCCTGTCCCAGCCCCAGGTCTTTTGTGTGTTACTGGATACTGTGGCCTAGTCTGAGATGGTCCACCCCTGGTCTTTGCATTCAACAAAAGGTGCTGCAGCCTGGCTCAGCCCAGCCCTCTCCCCTTCTCTCCTCACAGTTTGGTTCTTGCCATTGGGTAGACCAGCCTAGCCTATCCTGGCCTAGCCCTAGCTGTCATGTGATCTGTCAGGTGTTACAGTCCAACCCAGCCTGGCCTGCACTCTCTCCTGGTCTTCACTCATGCCAGTATGTGCTGTGGACTGCCCAGCTGGCCCTCTCCCAGACCCAGCTCACACACGTGCCAATAGATGCTGCAGCCCAGCTTGGCCGGGCCTGTTCCAGCCCTAGCTCTTGTGCTCACCAGCAAAAGCTGTAGCCTAACAGGGGCTTTCCCAGGTTCCCCTACTAGGCCCACTCCCAGTTCTGGATCTTGCAGATATCATGGCCCATCCTGATATGGCCAGTCCCCAGTCCTGGTACCCACGAGTCCCTGAATGGTCACAACAGCCAGAGCTGAGCTGATTTGAAGCCAGGAGCTTCTTCCAGGTTTCCCACATGGGTGCAGGGTCCCAAGACTTTACACTATCTTCCACTGCTTTCCCTGGCTACAAGCAGGGAGCTGGATGGGAAGTGGAGGAGCTGGGACAGGATGCAGGGCCCTTGTGGGATCCCGGCATTTGCAAAGCAAGGATTTAGCCACTTGGCTATTGTGCCAGGCCCCAACTGCCTTCCTTTTTAACACTCACGTAGGCTCTCTTTTGGATCTATGTAAACTGCCCCGTCTTCCTAGCATACCTGCTGTTGCGCTTGTCCATCTTGAGCCTCACACACAGCCCTCAGAGCCCTGCTGTACTCTCCTTCAGGCCAGATGTAGCGCATGCGCTTCCCTTGAGGGATGACTGATTTCCTTGTCTGCACCTGAGTCTCGCCGTGATCAGGGTCATGCTGATGCTGATTACAGGCATTGCTAAAAATATAGAAATGAAGCAAGTGAATCATATGGCATTTCGGGGGTTACAGTCTGTAAAAAGATGTCAGTTTCACACGCGTCCTGTAGCTTGAAACACAGTCTGTGGCTGTCACTTTTATTTTGCGTTAGTGAAATCATCTGCTTTCTCTGCATGGCCTGCTTCGTATCCAGGAAGCAATACCCTCTTTGAAATCCAGTGACTTCAGTTGTCTTACTGTTTGTGCAGCATAAACTGGAATGGGATTTGCAGCAGAGGGAGGAAGAGATTGCTGAATTGCAGAAAGCGCTGAGTGACATGCAGTTGTGCCTCTACCAAGAGCGGGAACATGTTTTACGCCTCTATTCAGAAAATGATCGGCTGAGAATCAGGTACTGGATAGAAGAGATATACTCCAAAGTAATTAAAACAAAAGAAGTTTCTGGGTTGGGCATTGTGACACAGCAAGGTAAGCCACCACTTGGGATGCTCACGTCATGAATTGAGTCCCACCTCTGCTTTCTCCCTTGACCTCCGTGAGGCAATTCTGGAGGGGAATTGAGCTGTCTGAGGGCAGCATTGCCCGCACAGCACACCTCAGTGGCCTCTGCTGCTCCTGTCCAGAAGAAGTCATTTCCTGACTGCTTCCCTCCAGATGCCTCAGTGGGAATGCCTGCAACACAGCTAAGGTCTAAGGTGGATCCCATGCATGTTTAACTCGAGCTGACTATTTTAGAATCAAGTAATGAGGGAAATCCTTTAAACAGAAAAGGTTATTCACGGTGTGTTTTCTTTCTGTTCAAAACGTAGGGAGCTAGAAGACAAGAAAAAGATTCAGAATCTCTTGGCTCTTGTGGGAACAGACACTGGAGAAGTGACCTATTTTTATAAGGAGCCTCCCCACAAAGTAAGTCATCTGTGATACAAGCACCATCAGTGTGGCCCTAACAGAGTAAGTACGAGCTAGCATCCGTCATCAGGGCGGTTTCTGTCCCTGGACAGCCATCATAGTCCTGAGTTTTCCTGAAACACTGCCATGATATATGAGCACCAGTTCAAGTCCTGGCTGCTCTGCTTTAATCTAGCTCCCTGGCTAATGCACCTGGGAAAGCAATGGAAGATGCTCCAAGTACTTAAACCCCTGCCATTCAAATAGCAAACCTGGATGAAATTGCAGACCCCAGGGGACAAAGTGGATAGAAGATCTCTCTATGTGTCCCTGCTCTCCGTAACTCTGCCTTTCAAATAAATAAATCTTTTTTTTTTTTTTAAAGATTTATTTTTATTATTTTTTCATTGGAAAGGCGGATATACAGAGAGGAGAGACAGAGAGGAAGATCTTCCATCCGATGATTCACTCCCCAAGTGAGCGCAACGGGCCGATACTATGCCGATCCGAAGCCAGGAGCCTCTTGCGGGTCTCCCACGCGGGCGCAGGTTCCCAAAGCTTTGGGCCGTCCTCGACTGCCTTCCCAGGCCACAAGCAGGGAGCTGGAAGGGAAGCGGGGCTGCCGGGATTAGAACCGGCGCCCATATGGGATCCAGGGCGTGCAAGGCGAGGACCTTTAACCACTTGCGCCACCGCGCCGGGCCCTAAATAAATCTTTAAAACTAAGTTTTTTTTAAGATTTTCTCCAACATCTTTGGAAAATAGCATTTTTTTAGAACCCATTTTTCTAAAGCAGAGAAGCTTGGGCCATCCTCCATTCTTTACGAACTGGCACTCCTATGGAAAGACAGATAATGTCTTTACCCAATATGCCACAATGCCAGTCCCTGGTACTTAAGTGTTATGATCTTTGCTGAAACTGATTACAAACATTTAATAAAAGCAAAGTGCAGAGGCTGGTGCCTTGGCTCAACAGTCTAACCCTCCACCTTCAAGTGCCAGCATCCCGTATGGGCACCAGTTTATGTCTCAGCTGCTCCATTTCGGATCCAGCTCTCTGTTTATAGCCTGGGAAAGCAACAGAGGATGGCCCAGCTTCTTGGAACCCTGTACCCTTGTGGGAAACCCAGAAAAGGTTGCTGCCTCCTGGCCTTGGTTTGGCTCAGCTTTGACCATTACAGCTATTTAGAGGGTTAATGAGTGAATGGAAGATCTTTGTCTATCACCTTCTCTCTGTAAATCTGCCAATCAGAAATCAGCCGCATACAAGTGGTACTCTTCCCTATTTTAAATCATTAATAATTTTGGGTCATTTCTCTCAATGGACAAGATACTACTTGGGTCACCTGCATCCTTTGTTGAAGTGCATAGTTTGAGTCCTTGCTCTACTTCTGATTGAGCTTTCTGCTAATGTGCCACCAGGGAAACAATAGGCAATGACTAAGAACTTGGGTGATAAGCCCAGCACAGTAGCCTACAGGCTAAAGTCTTCGCCTTGAATGTGCCAGGATTCTATATGGGCACCAGCTCTAATCCCAACAGCCCTCTTTCCATCTAGCTCCCTGCTTGTGGTCTGGGAAATCCTTCATGGACAGCCCAAGGCCATGGGACCCTACACCTGCATGGAGACCCGGAAGAGGCTCTGGGCTCCTGGCTTGGATCAACTCAGCTCTGGCCATTGCGTCTGCTTGGGGAGTGAATCACTGAATGGAAGATCTTCCTCTCTCTCTCTCCTCCTCTATGTATATCTTACTTCACGATACAAATTAATCTTAAAAAAAAATCTTAGAACTTATGTGTCTGCAACCCATGTAAAAAACGTGGATTGAGTTCCTGGCAATCCTGCTTTTGACTGTTGCAGGCAGTCAGAGTGAGCTAGGAGATGGAAGCGCTCTCTCTGTTTCTCTCTCTGCTTTCAACTTGAACAAACAGATAAATACATGTATTTTTAAAAAAGATTTATCTATTTTTATTGGAAAGGCAGACTTACAGAGAGAAGGAGAAACAGAGAGAAAGATCTTCCATCTGCTGGTTCGTTCCTCAAGTGGCAGCAGCAGCCAGAACTGAGCTGGGCTGATCTTAAGCCAGGAGCCAGGAGCTTCATCCAAGTCTCCCACGCGGGTGCTGGGTCTCATGGTTTTGGACCATCCTCGACTGCTCTCCCAGGCCACAAGCAGGGAGGTGGATGGGAAGTGGGGCCGCTGGGACACGAACCAACGCCATATGGGAGGATCTCTTTCTGTCTCTACCTCTCTTTCTGTAATTCTACCTGTGAAATAAATCAATCTTTTTTAAAAACTGTGAAGTTTGGGGCCCTGCACGATAATGTATTGATGTAATCCATGTCTTGCATGCACTGGGATCACATATGGGTGCTGGTTCATGTCTGGAATGCTCCACTTCCCATCCATCTCCTTGCTTGTGGCATATTTTTGTTGTTACTTGAAACTATGTGCTTAACATTACTGTGTTTTTGTATTTTTCTTTGCATACTTTTTCCTGTTTTAGTTTATTCATCAATACTGAGTTGTATCCATTGTAACCCTTGGCCCTCATGGGCTCTCACATGCATGATTATCTTCATGATTATTTTCGGTTTTCACCAACTTCGATGTTTGAGCTGCAGAACTCAGGCATTTACAAAGCAGAATCTTACATTTACGGAAAGGCTGCTTATGCACGTGTTTTGCATCTTAGGTCAGCATTTTCCAAAAGACCATCCAGACTGTAGGTGTGGGTGAGCAGAATGGATCTTCAGCTTCCACTGCAGGTAACAGCTGTGTTGCTGGAAATTCTGACTGATGCAGGATTGAAGACGACATTGCAAATAATTAGAATTTTTCTCCTATCCTGTGAAAACTCATGTTCATAATGGTGCCTCTGATAATCCCAGATCTTACATGATCTTACATGATAATTGAGAGGACCAGTTATCATGTAGACCACCAATTAGGGTGGGAAGTGTCAAGCAATGGGGGAAAGTTGATGAGACAGCTGCCGCCAATCTCCTTTTTTCTTTCTGTGTCTGGGCAGAGAAGGGGAGAGGCCCTCCTCCGGCAGCCCAGCCTCATCAGTACTCAGGAATGGGATCACTCCAGGGTCCCCAATGTGGAACATGTTCCAAGGATACTATAGTTCTGAGTTGCTGTTGCTTTCATTGCTCCAAGGTTGACAAAATCCTTCCAAGTTCTATTTGCTCACACAGTCCACCTTAGAGTCTCTATTAGCCCAGATACCCCCCCGGGAGAGCTGTCCAGTTTGTTCTGTACTCCATGGTACTTGCTGTCCTCTGCAGGCCTCAATCAATTGGTCGTCATGTCCCCAATGAGCATCCAGGCATGCCATCTGCTGCACAGGCTTGGCAGCTGTGGAGATCCTGTTCTGACATATGTACTCCACAGTCAGACCACATATCCTATGGTTTTAACGGTGGTTGGAGTTCAGAGTCCAGTGATATCTAGCTCCCCAAAGAAGCCTCACCAGAGGTGACCCCAACCTGACTCCTGCGTTGTGCCAGCCAGTGCGGAGTCCAGCTCAAGGCCATCACCCACATCAGCCTACGCATACACATTAGTGGTTGTAGTCACCTGGTCTGTTCTGTCCCTAGCCCCATCTCATACATAAACTAATGGATGCTATGGCCCAGCCCAGCTCTGCCCATCACACACTTGACCTTCAGGTATGCCAGCAGGAACTGCAGCCTATTCAGAGCAACCCCTAACAACCCCCATCAGGCCTGCCTCCAGCCTCTGCATATGCCAATATGTGTAGCAGACTGGCCCAGTCTGTCCCACATCCCATTCATCTCTCATATACCTCAATGGGCATTGCAGTCTAGCTCAACCCAACCGACTCCATTGTCCAGTCTACACTCATGCTGGTGGGTACCACTGCCTGTCTAGCCAGGCCCACCTCCAGCCCTGGTTCTGATGATCACCAGTGGGAGCTGCCACCCATCAGAGGGGGTTGCCACAATTTGCCTACTAGGCCTTTTCTAAGCCTCAGATGTTGTACTTTGTGAGTAGTTCTGTAGTCTAGCCTGACAGCACTAGCCCCCCACGGCAAAATCCAATCAGCCTATGCTTATTCTGGCTCATCCATGCACCAGTGGATATGATTACTTAGCTCAGCTTCACTCTCTTCCTGCCAGTGGGCTTTGTAGTCCTGCCCAACCTGAACTGCCCACCGGTGTGCTTGAGATCTGCCACCGGAATGTGACTTAATAGAAATCTTAGGGAACTCCTCTGTCAGGATGCAGTCCCTACAGGTGAGCACAAGAACCAAGGCTAGGAGCAGCCTAGACCAAGCCAGTTTACAGTGCCCGCTGGCATATATGTGGCTCAGGTCTGGGGGTGAGCTAGGCTGGGCCAGTTTACAACACCCACTAGCAGATGTGAGAAGCAGTATGGGGTGCAGAACAGGATGGGCTGGGCCACAACACCAGCCAGTTCATATTACGGCCAGGACTGGGACCTGGCTGGGCTGGGTTTGAACCAAGGGCAGGCCAGGCCAAAGCTGCTGCACCCACTGGTGAATGCTGAGGTGAGACGAGATATACCAATCTGGGCCACAGCTCCCACCACCGCATTTAAGACTCAGGACGGGGCAAGCCTAATAGGGGAGCTGTGGGCATTGTCCTGCTGGACCATTGCTCCTGCTGTTGAGTGTTGGTTGGTACAGCCCAGTCAGCTTTCACATATTTCAGCAGGTGGTAGAACCTAGCCCAGTCTGGCATACCCCAGACCCAGTCTACGCACCTGCTGAGGGGTACTGCAGCCATGTCCAGCCCAGTTCTCTGTCCCCATTCTGGCTCTTGTGCTCACCAGTGGTAATTACAGCTCAGGTGAGGCATCCCCTTAGCTCCCTACCAAGGTTGTTCCCAGCCACGGATTTTGCATGTGCCAGGGGTTGCTCCGACCCAGCCCAACCTAACCCATCACCCATCTTGGCCTCTGCCATTAAATGCTACAGCCTGGCCCGCCTTCCCTCTGCCCCGGATCCCAACTCTCACTGTGGGTGCTGCAGCCTAGTTCTGCGTGGCCTGGTTTTCATGCAAACCAGTAGATGTGACAGTCTAAACTAGCTGGCATTGCCAGCTCCCCTTTCTGGCCCCTGTGCATGCCAATATGCTGTAGTTTGGCCTAGCCCTGCCTGGTCTGCCCCTCCAGAGCCAACCCATACACTTGCTGACAGGCTCACTAGTGGGAATGACCGCTTACCTGGAGAATTCCCCAAGATCCGCCCCCTCCCAGGCCCACTCCCAGACTCAGTTATCACATGTGCCAGCAGGTGCTAGGTCCTTACCCAGCACAGTCTGCCCCCCAGCGTTTGCCTTTGTGTGTGCTGGCAAGATGTTGCAGCCTGGCCTGCCCCATACCCAATTCTTGGGTGTGCCTGCTGGTGTTACAGCCTGGACCAGCCCTTCCTGTTCCCAATCCCATGTCTATGCATGCTGGTGAATTTAATGGTCATGCCTGTCACCACTCCCACCCCTCAAGCAAACCAGCTGGTATAGCAGTCCCACAGGGGTGAGCCCATGATCCCCTACAAAATCTGCTCTCATGAGCTGCTTAGTGGCATAGCCCAGCCTAATATGGTCCATATTCTGTCCTGACACACACCAGCAGGTACTGTGGTCGAGTCTTGCCAGGCAGGCCCCCAGCTGTGGCTCTTGTGTGCACTGGAAGGCAGTGGTTGATATTAACCATCCCAGGTCAAGTCTCCCACATGAGCAGGTGTGTTGGTTTGGCCTCGAAAGGTCCTCCAGTTTCCTTCCTCTTAACCACCCAGTCTCAGTCCCCTCATTTACCTGCAAGTTCCCTGAGAAGAAAAAAGAAAGAAAATGGGGTAGGTGACTGGGCTGGCACACTGGTATAGTTAACATAAGTTTGGCATCAGCCAGGCCCAGGATGCCTGTCAGCTATTAGGTGCTTTTCTCCCAGCAGTGTAACACTTTGCTAGGTATAATGCAATCTAGGCAGTTGCCTACAGCTAGGGCAAATTGCGTCTTTTTCAAGTTAACCTTGTTTGTTGAAAATGGTTTGATATGTTACAATTAAAGTGCTCAAATTTAGCCTTTCTTCTTGTTTACCTATTCTGATTAAGTAAGACTTAATAGACACAACCCCAAGGGTTTGTATTTGATTCTGCTGGAAGACGAGTCTGATTTCCCAAGTGAAATCCTGCAGAATTCCCTTATGGAAATTCCTGTTTGAAAAATGATATCTCCGGTAAATGTGCCTTTTTCTTCCTTTATTTCAGTTGTAGGTCAGCTGCCCTTGGAATAGCAATGCTGGCGTCTCTTGATGGACTTTCCTGTTTTCTATTGTAGATCCTAAAGTAAACAAAAAGAGACCAGCAGTGAGGGAGAAAGAAGAAAGTTCTGAGCAGAACCACAGAGACTTGCAGACACTCACGCTGCAGGTAACATGGGGGTGTTTGTGCCAGGAGACCAGGATGATTTCTAATCATCAAGGTTTGATTTTTTTGTTTAATGTGTTTCTTGGGGGGGGGGGGCAGTTTTTTGTGTTTTTTTCTTTTCTTTTCTTTTCTTTTTTAAGATTTGAAAGGCAGAAAGAAAGAAGAAAATCCATTCACTGATTCACTCCCCAAATGGCTTCAATAGCCAACACTGCATCATTCAGAAACTGTGAGCCAGGACCTTCATCCTGACCTCCCATGTGGACGCAGAGACCCATGCAGCTGCTGGGTCATCTGCTGCTGCTTTCCTGGGCACAATAACAGGGAGCTGGGTGGGAAGTGGAGCAGCTGGGACTTGAAACTGCCACCCATACAGGATGCTGTAAACATGACTTTAGCTGCTATACCATAACTGTCATCGCCTAAATTAGCTTTTTATAGCATACTCTCATTATCAACAGTATCTTACACACAGAACACATACAGGCATCCTGTGACGGAGACATTTTAGGTTGTTCCTGATTTCCAGGAACTTACATTTTAAAAATGGTTACTTGCTGGTTGAACATTGTGGAAGTGCTGATCTAAACTTTTTCATATGCTTAGTCCTTTTCAACAAAGCCTCCACAAGATAAGGATTACATCGTGGGGCTGGTGCCATGCTGTACTAGCTTGAGCCTGCATCTCTTCAAGTCACAGCTGTCCACTTGAAATTGACCTCCTTGCAAATGTGCCTAGCAAAGCAGCAGAAGATGGCCCAAGTCTTTGAGCTCCTGCAACCACATCAAAGACTTAGAAGAATTCCTGCTTTCAGACCAGGCCAGTTCCAGCCATTGCAGCCATTTGGGAACTGAACCATCAGATGGAACACTCTCTCTCTCTCGCGCTCGCCTCTCTCGCTGTCTGCCTCTCTTATCTCTGTGACTCTGCCTTTCAAAAAAATAATAATAATAAATGAATAAATCCTAAAGGAAAAAAATTCACACTGAGATTGACCCAGAGGTGAAAAGAGAAATGCCAGTAGGTCGACGTCTGGGATTGCATCCGTAGATTCAGGGCCTGAGTTCTAATATCTAGGGAGGCAGAGAACCTTAGCTGACATCATCTGACACCTTGCCTTTTCATCTGGGTGCACTGAAGGGCTTGTCCTCCTTGGGGTGGGCCGCTCCGTTGTTTTACAGGATGGTTTTTCATCTTTGGTCACCTTCATGTGAAATCATGACAGCAACTCAGAAATAAACTGCACTGTATTCATGTTTACTGTCTTTTTTTTTTTTTTTCAATCAGAAATGAACCCATTTCCATGCACCTAGGGCATTCTTAAAAGGGAAACAGAAATAGCCCAACTCGAAGTCTGGGGAACTGGACTTTCTAAGCTTTTATGATGAGATGGAGCTGCAGGGCTCAGTGTGGACAGAGAGGCTACTGTTGCACAGCCTTAGATAAAGAGAAGCAGAGTGGAGCTTTTCCTACAGCCTAGGGTACTGCTGTGTTTTTAGTCTGTTTGGCTTGTGGGTTTTCGCCCCTGAGGTTTTGCTGACGGTAGGCGGTCAGGAGTCATAGCAGTGAATACCTCTCGGGCTCACCCGTCTGCTTCTCTAGGTGGAAGCCCTGCAGGCTCAGCTGGAAGAGCAGACCAAGCTTTCTAAAGACCAAGTGGAAGGGCTCATGGAGGACAGACGGATCCGCACCGAGGAAATCCAGCTTCAGCACCAGAGAAATCAGGACCGAATCAAAGAGTTAACCCAGAAGTGAGTGTTGAGGAGAGCTGTGCCTAACAATTGTTTCCTTTTTCTGAGTGGCTTGAAAGTCAATGGTTTTACACAATAACAATGTAACGTTTTAGAACTAAAAGGGACATTGAAAAAAGCTCTCTTCAGGTTCTGTCCCTAGAGCTGGTGGCATGGCTCAACAGGCCAGTCTTCCACCCCGTAGAAGATGCTGCTGGTATCCCATATAGGCACTGGTTCCACTTCTGATCCAGCTCCCTGCTTGTGGCCTGGGACAGCAGTTGAGGACGGCCCAAAGCCTTGGGACCCTGCACCCATGTGGGAGACCCGGAAGCAGCTCCTGGCTCCTGGCTTTGGGTCAGCTCAGCTCCAGCCATTGCGGCTGCTTGGGGAGTGAACCATCAGACAGAAGATCTCCTCTTCTCTGTTTCTCCTCCTCTCTGTATATCTGACTTTCCAATAAAAATAAGTAAACCTCATAAGTTTTTATTTATTTATTTGAAAGAGTTACACAGAGAGAGAGACAGAGAATTTTCTGTCCATTAGTTCCTTCCCCAGATGGCCACAGCCACATGGCAGAACTCATCTAGGCCCGGAGTCAAGACCTTCCTTTAGATCTCACACATGGGTACAGGGGCCCAAGCACATGGGCCATTTTCTGTTGCTCTTCCCAAGCCATCAGCAGGAAGCTGGATTGGAAGTGAAGCAGTTGTGACAGAAACCAGTGCCCATAGGGGACGCATTGCAGGTGGCAGCTTCCTGTGCTGTGCCACAGCGCTGACTCCCACAGTAGTTTTGAAGATTCCCCCTTTCTCCTTGCCTTCATCTTCTCCACTCTTCCTTCCATCTTTCCTGGTAGACTGAAAGGGAAAGACAGAGTCACCACCCACTGGTTCACTTCCCAGATGGCCACAGCAGCTTAGCCTAGACCCGGCTGGAGTTAGGAAATCCATCCAGGTTCCCTGCCCGTGTGCAGGAGCCCCGATTCTGGTTCCTCTCCACTGCTCTCCAGGTGTGTTTAGCAGGGAGCCAGATCAAAAGCAGAGCAGCCAGAACTCTCTGACACACACTGCAGTATAGCATGTCTGCATCCCATTGCTTAGGCTTCGTGCTGCAATGCTGAACCCCAATTTCCTAATTTCTAAGACAAGCTGTCTTTCCTTTTCTCCACTGTACTTGGTTTCTTTGTCTGTGTCTGGCATCAGTGGCTGTCCCTTCCTGGACCTCTTCCTGGATTTCCGCAGCACCCGTCTGTACAGACTCTGCCATCTGTCTGAGCAGCCTCGGCCCATCTGTGCTAGGCCGGCATCTCCAGGTAAATGTATCGGAATGCCTCGAATGTGCCCGTTATTGGAGCCAGGCTGTTTCCTCCTCGCCTCTCTCCCACTATCACCTCATTCTTGTTTCCATTTGGTATCATGGCAGTACATTCAGTCAGGCGCCAAGCTTACACCTTCAGGGCCATCCTCAGCTCCCCTGCCCGTCATTCCTTAACCCAGAACTACAGGGATTGTAGCCTGAGAAGCCTCTCGGAGCCATTCTCTCTCTGCCGCTCATTCTTCAGTTTATTGCATTTTTTTTAATTGTATTCTCTGTCAAGATTTATGTATTTTTATCTGAAAGGGCAGTTACAGGGAAAGGAAAGATGGATCTGCCATCCTCTTTTTAACTCCCCAAGTGGTCACAACAGCTGGAACTGGGCTGATCTGAAGCCAGGAGCCAAGAGCGTCTTCCAGGTCACCCACATAGCTATAAGGCCCCAGGGATCTGGGACATCCCGCACTGCTTTCCCAAACTAGAGGCAGGGAGGTGGATCTGAAGTGGAACCTCCAGGTCTCCAACTGCATAGTGGCGGTTTAAGCTACTGTGCCACAGTGTCAGCCCCTGAGTACGGCATATTAATTTTTCATTGAATTTTAGTTATTTTTTAAGAGACTAATGAAGATTTCTTTCTTGGTTTGAAAGGCAGTTATAGAAATTTAGTGAGAAAGGTAGAGAATGAGATCTGTCTGCCAGCCAACACGCCAAGTGGCCACCACAGCCAAGGCTGGTCAGGCTGAAGCCAGGAGCCAGGAGCTTCCTCCAGGTCTCCCACAGAGGTGCACAAACCCAAGGACTGGACATCCTCCACTGGTTTCCTAAGCACGCTAGTAGGGAGTTGGGTCAGAATTACAGCAGCTGGGAATCCAGCTGGCATCCCAGGCAGCGGCTTAACGCACCATTCCACAGTGTCAGCCCTTTGTGCAATCTTTATAAATGACTAACTTCAGGCCCGGCTTGGTAGCCTAGTGGCTAAAGTCCTTGTCTTGCAATTGCTGGGATCCCAAATGGGCACTGGATTGTGTCCCGGCCACCCTGTGTTCCATCCAGCTCCCTGCTTGTGGCCTGGAAAAGCAGTCGAGGACGGCCCAAAGCTTTGGGATCCTACACCCGTGTGGGAGACCCAGAGGAAGCTCTTGGCTCCTGGCTTTGGATCGGCTCAGCTCCAGCTGTTGCGGCCACTTGGGGAGTGGATCAGCGGACGGAAGATCTTCTTCTCTCTCTCCTCCTCTCTGTATATCTGACTTTCCAATAAAAATAAATCAATCTTTAAAAATATAAGAATCTAGATAAATGAGGAACCTCAAGTCAACATCCTGGAAAGTGTATCTATAAAGACACATCTGTATACAAGTGAACATCAGTAAATATATTGTTCTTTGTCTAGTCAAATAGGTAGGATTTTTAAAACCACTGGTAATATCTTACCGATCTTCTCTACTGTACGATTTGAAAAGCAGCCATGTCCTCCCTTTTGGAATAGCTGTGCTTCAGATGTGCTGTGCAGGCCTCCTGGTGACCACATGTGCCCTTTGTTTCAGTCTGCATCAGACCCACGAGCTGCTCTATGAGAGCACTAAAGACTTTCTGCAACTCAGGTTTGAAAACCAGAGTAAAGAGAAGGAGTGGATGCTCGAAAAGGACCGTTTGCTGTCAAAGATTAAAGAATACAGGGCACAGTGTAAGAAGAAAGAAGATAAAGTTGGAAAAGTCCTGCCGGTTTTCCATGACGGTCATCATCCTCAGAATGAATATATTAAGGTAATGTCGTACACCTTAGGGAAATTGCTGATTTTTTTTTTTTTTATCCCCATGGAGTGGAAGGAACTCAAAGAATTTCGAAGAGCCTGTGAGTGCAAGCATGCTTACGTCGTCCAAGAGCCGTGCGTGCAGTGTAAGAAGCTGTTGCGGAGGCAGCCCCAAGGAGATGGCCGTGGCCTTGGGGGGTTGGAGGCACTGGACTGTTGACGGAGTGGTGCACGCGGGCACGTTCATTGCACTCCTGTCTCAGGCTGGGCTTAAGCTGCGGCAGAAAACAAAGTGTTGCCTCACGGAATTTGCATTTTGATGAGTGGGAAAACCAGAAATATTAACAAAGAACCAAGAAAATGATAGATGCTGCAGTCATGGCGTTGCATACAACCGTGTCTAGTTGAGGGGGAGCCCGGGGCAGGCTCTGTCATGCTTGCTGCAACCCGGTTGAGATTGAGGTTCGGGTTCAGAACCGTCTGCCATATCTTCAAAGATTATGCATGAGAAGATAACAAGATCTCACTTAGGCGTTTTTTTTTGGTTTGTTTTTGTGAATTTATTTTGTTTATTTGAAACACAGAATTAGGGCGGGGGTGCAGTGGGAGTTGGGAAGAGAGATGGAGGTTAGAGGTTGTCCATCCACTGCTTCATTCCCAGAATGGCCACCACAGCTGGAGTTGGGCCATGGCAAAGCCGGGAGCTGGGAGCTTCTTCTGGGTCTTGCACATGGATGGATGGGACCCAGGCACTCTGCTGCTTTCCCAGGAACTGCAGCAGGGACCTGGACCGGAAGTGGAACAGCTGAGATTTGAACCGGTACCCATATGGGATGCTGGAGCTGCAGGCTACAGCTTAACCCACTATTCCACAATGCCAACCACTAGGATTTTTTTTATTTTAGCAAGAAAGAAAGATTTGTTGTATTTATTGGAAAGCAGAGTTACAGAGAGACAGAGATTGAGGCGTCATCTTTAATCCACTGGTTTACTACCTTGATGACCACAATAGGTGGGGTAGAAGCACACTGAAGCCAGGAACCAGGAACTACGCCTGATCTTCCACATGGATTCAGGCTCCCAAGGCCTTGGACCATCCTCTGCTGCTTTCCCAGGCCACAAGCTGGGAGCTGGATGGGAAGTGGAGCTGCCGGAATTAGAACTGGCACCCATATGGGATGCTGGCATTGCAAGGCAAGGATTAGCCAGTTCAGCCATTGCACCAGCTTCTTTTTACCTGGTCGGTGGAACACGTGTGTTTTGGCTGATGTGTTTTCATTTTTCAAGAAGCATTTCAGAAATGTGGCCCCAAACATAGATTATATTGTCATACTTTGGAGAAACTCTGAGCCCCTCTGTTAACTTTCTAGAGCCAAACGTTTTTCGGGCCTGGCGCTGTGGCCTAGCAGCTAAAGTCCTCGCCTTGAACGTACCAGGATCCCATATGGTCACCAGTTCTAATCCTGGCAGTTCCACTTTCCATCCAGCTCCCTGCTTGTGGCCTGGGAAAGCAGTGGAGGATGACGGCCCAAAGCCTCGGGACCCTGCACTCGTGTGGGAGATGTGGAGGAGGTTCCTGGCTCCTGGCTTCAGATCGGCTCAGCACTGGCCATTGAGGTCACTTGGGGAGTGAATCATTGGATGTAAGCTCTTCCTCTCTTCACCTCCTCTCGTATATCTAACTTTGCAATAAAAATAAATCTTATAAAGAAAATTTTTTTTCTATGTACACTTTTGAGAAATGACTAGCAGAATAGTCTAGAAATGGGAGACTTTCTTCTCGAACATTCCTTGCTGTCCTGTTCTTGAACTTACATTGTACTTCTGGGAACCCTCACTTTGCTTTGACCCCCTAAGTGCCATTTGAATGACTTACACTGAAGGTGTGAGCACGAATGCTTGTGTCCTTTCGACCCGCAGTCCCTAAAGGATAAGTTAGCACAAGAGCAGAAGCTGTCCACCATGTACCAAGAGCAGTGCATCTCCCTGGAGGAAGAGCTGGCCCGGCTCCGTGAGGAGGAGGGAGTGAGGATGGAGATCTTCAAGGTACAGTGTTGACAGCTCCGGATGCAGCCGGAGGGCAGGTGGCCTGGGTGTGTCCATCATGGTCACTGACGCCTCCCCTCTGCTCACATTTAGGATCGCACCAACAAGATGGGGAAGCGGTTACAGGTGATGACGAGGCGTTACGAGGCCCTGGAGCATCGACGGGTCTTGGAAGTTGAAGGCTTCAAGACAGACATTAAGGCACTCCGACAGAGACTCAAAGATCTGGAGCAAATGCTGTATAAGGTAACCACTGCACCCTCAAGGGGTTAGAGGGTGTTAGGTGAAGAGCCGTGGTGAGGAGGGCTCCCCCAGGGACATGCCGGGTCCCTAACAGATAACCATCCTGTGAGGCCCCCCTGGAAATCAGCTCAGGTGCGTGCCGGAGGGAAAACCAAATTAGGCTGAAGTAGTTGGTCACTGCACCTTCAAGTGCTTAATCTAGCCGTACCAGAAACCCATGCTCGCTTCACGTTCAAGGTCAAAAGAATCCTGTATGTTTTGCACATTGGGAAAGTGAGTAATCAAGTAATAAAGTCATTTTCCCCAGTCAGACACAACTTTTTCCGAATTCACGTTGCCTCAAGGCAAATCCTAAAGCCGCTGGATCAGCGACCTGTGTGTCTGTGTTCCAAACAAGGTGAATTAGGAAGTCGAGACGCTTCCTGTCGTTCTGGCCAGTGCTCGGCACATCGGCCTCCCCTTCCTGCGCTCCGTGGGCTGCTTATTGATCTGCAGCTCGTGGCTTCCCCATGGGAAGAGAGAGTCGCATGCCTTTTCTGTTGGCCTTCTTTACCGAACCAGCTGAGTGTTGCACGTATCCTGTATCCGAAGGATCCCACGAGAAAGCCAGTGTAGCCCGGCGTTTGTAACTGCTGAGCCCTCATCCCTAACCAGCTCCATAATCGCTCACCCCCTTTTCCCAATTTCTAGGCAACAGTGAACGCCCGAGCAAACCAGGATCTTGCCATTCTGTGCGAAGTGCGTAACAGCAATAGACGGGCCCACAAGTTGCAAGGGGAGCTGAAGAGCCTCAAGTCCAAGGTGTTTGGCCTGGAGAATGAGCTGAGACTCTGCTGATGACCCCGGATGGGGAAAGGAAACACCGGATCCTCGCAGAGTGTAGACTTGGAGTTCCGGCAGCTGCTGTTACAGAGACTGGGTGAAGAGTCAAGGGCCTTTCCTCGCAGCCTGAGCACCATGCATGCTTTCCACTTGCAGTTAACTGGCCTGAGGGGTCTGGATTATAACTTGAATCACTGGAGATTTTCCAAGTTTCTGGTTTTGTTTGTTTGTTTTTAAGATGATGATGAAAACTCAGGAAGAGGGTATTTTTGTCAGGAACTTGACTGAAAGTCTCAGGGAGGAACAAAATCAAGGCAACCCCCTCGGGTTGCATTTCCCATAGGCAAAAGGAAAAAAAATGCAGCGAATCACCACTTGTCGAATTTGGATGGTCACTGGTAATTCCGGCTGTAACTGTCCAGGCGCTTCCTTAACAGGCATGCCAATCACAGAGTGTCACCAGAGGGCACTAGAGACCCTTCTCTAGAGGAAAATGTTGCTCTGAAAAATTAAAGGTAACACAGTGAGTGAAATTAAAGTGATCTTTGTAAGAAGAGTCTCACATTTTATGGGTAACATGATTGCTTATTTTTAAAAGTATGTATTTTAAAATAAACTTTTCAATAAAATGTAATTGAAAGTATTACGAGTTTTAATAACTGCGGAGTAAGTTAACAGGTGTAAAATGTCTGTCTTCCTCTTTCTTTCCCCCTTTCACTATAACTGTGACTTTCAAATAAATAATTGTTTAAAAACTTTTGAATACAGGGGCCCGGCGTGGTGGCCTGGCGGCTGAAGTCCTCGCCTTGAATGCGCTGGGATCCCATATGGGCGCCGGATCTAACCCTGGCAGCTCCACTTCCCATCCAGCTCCCTGCCTGTGGCCTGGGAAAGCAGCAGAGGATGGTCCAAAGCATTGGGACCCAGCACCCATGTGGAAGACCTGGAAGAGGCTCCTGGCTCCTGGCTTTGAATCAGCTCAGCTCTGGCTGTTGTGGCCATTCTGCTGCTGTTCTCCCAGTCAGTGCAGTGAGCAGGCTTCAAAGGAAAGAAACTGGGACTTGAACCTACACTCTGATATGGGATGCGGGTGGCAGTGTAACATGCAGTGCCACAGCATAGCTCCCAGTTAACATCTCTTGACTCCATTCTTCCATGAGCTTTTACTGTTGTTTTGTTTGTTTTTTGTTTTTAAAGATTTATTTTTATTGGAAATGCGGATATACAGAGAGGAGATACAGAGAGGAAGATCTTCCGTCCGATGATTCACTCCCCAAGTGAGCGCAACGGGCCGATGCTATGCCGATCCGAAGCCAGGAGCCTCTTCCGGGTCTCCCACGCGGGTGTAGGGTCCCAAAGCTTTGGGTCATCCTCAACTGCTTTCCCGGGCCACAGGCAGAGAGCTGGAAGGGAAGCGGGGCTGCCTGGATAGAACCAGCACCCATATGGGATCCTGGGCGTGCAAGGCGAGGACCTTAACCACTGTGCCACCACGCCAGGCCTTATAGCTTAGTTTTTAAAGATTTTTAGAGGAAGAGCTTCCATCCATTGATTCACTCCCCAAGTGGCTGCAATGGCTGGAGCTAAGGCAATCCAAAGCCAGGAGCCCAGAGCCTCTTCCGGGTCTCCCACACAGGTGCCATCCTCGACTGCTTTCCCAGGCCACAAGCGGGGAGCTGGATTAGAACCGACACCCAGATGGGATCCTGGTGCAGTCAAGGCAAGGACTTTAGCCGGTAGGCTACTGTGCTGGGCCCTTCCATGAACTTCTAGAAGTGCCTTCATGTAATTAGCTGTAATTAAGCATACGTGAAAAAGCAGAATTAAAGATAGAGTTTAGAATTATGAACGTAGTTTCAATCATGAATCCAAGTCACAGATGCGTTTGAGGTTAGAGATGGAACTCAAATAGAACAAGAGTGAATTCTGTCAGCCAGATGAGGCACCTGTCACACAGGCATGATTGGAATATCAAGAAACCAGTGTTGTGCAATGCTAAGGGAAAGATAATTTCAAAAAAATAAGAGGGTTGGAGACATGGTCAAAACACCTCTAAGGCACTGCAGCCCCAGAATGACGAAGCCAGAGGAAGGAACTTTAGCAAGGAGAGTGAGAAGGGATTTGGAAAGTGAGACCCACCAGTGACAGATGCAGTAAGAATAGGAGTCCGCCACCTCTGGGGCCATTGTCTCATTTTTCCTTCGAGGACGTACAATCAGGGTCATTGCTTCAAAGTGAGGGGTGGCACTGGCCATGCAACAGACCAGCAGAGTTAGGTTGGGAATGGTGGCAAGGGGCAAGTGACAGAATGGCTTCAGCGTGGCCCTTGAGGAAGGGTCTGTTGAGTGCCAGGGAAAAACTGTGAGGATGCAGCAAGCTCCTGAGGAGGGAAGGGCACAGAGCCACAGCGGGCACAGAGATCGGGCAGCGCAGCCAGGGAACGGCAGGTGAGGGCAGGAAGGTGGAGGGACGGAGGGGAGGCCCTTTCCCGAAAATGTGAAAGGATTGCTTTTCTTTGCTACGTCTCAACCTGCAAATACTGCTTTAAGGGATTTTGCCATTCACGTTCCACTTGGAAAGTGAGTGAGCAGATGGAAGCTGTGTTCATTTGTCTCTGTCACTCTGCCTTTCAAATAAGAAGGGAAAAAAAAAGAAGTTAAAGATGCAAATATCATCATCTGGTCATTGAAAAAAAAAAGGTAATAAAGACATTTTCCGAAAGAGGGGCTGTGAGTGAATAATATCATCTCAGACACGAGGCAGGTAAGTGTCTCAGTAGGCTGGCTTGTACTCACAGGTGTGTGTTGGTTGTGCTTATCTGAGAGGCAGAGCGATGGAGGCTGAGTCCTCAGCTGACTGCTCACTGACCGCCAGCAACAGCATCTCCTGAGCTCCGACATCCTCCTGCTGCCACCTGTGTACCCATGGACCAGCATCACTCCTCCTCCTGCCCCCGTCTCCTCCCGTCTGACCTCTGTGTCCGCTGTCTTTGCCTGCTCTTTGCTTCTAATTGATCGTATGCTTTGCTTTTTTTTTCTTAAAAAAAACTTCAAATTTTTAAAAATTTGAAATGTGGTGTGATAGATAGCAAAGGAGAGACAGAAGGAGAGAGACTTTGCATCCACTTGTTCACTCCCTATGTAGCTGCAGTGGCTATGGCTGGGCCAGGCCAAAGCCGAGGAGTGAAATTTGAACCAGGTTTCCCACATAGGGTTGGCAGGGACCCAGGCATGGGGGCCATCCTCTGCTGCTTCCCCAGGAACGTTAGCAGGGAGCTGGGTCCAAAGTGGAGCAGCCCCAGGACTGGAATTGCTGATGTTCGCGTGAGATGTCAGCCTCTAGAGCTGTGGCTTAACCCGCTGTGCTCCCGGGACTCAAACGTGCTCACATAGGATGCTGGTGTCTCAGGCAGCATACTATTACACACACCACAATGCTGGCCCCAAGGCAGAGGAAGTTTTTATAAAATTCAGGTCAGTGGGGCCAATGCGGTGACATAGTGGGTGAAGCCATTGCCTGTGGTACTGGCATCCCATTTGGGCACTTATTCAAGTCCTGGGTACTCCATTTTCTATCCTGCTCCCAGCTAACGTGCCTGGAGGAGCGGCAGAGGGTGACCTTCGTCCTTGGGCCCTTACACATAATGTGGGAGACCCAGAAGAGCTTCTGGCTTCAGATAAGCCCAATTCTAGTCCATGTTGCCACCTGGGGAGTGAACCAGCAGATGGAACATGCCTCTTAAAGAAATAAAGGAATAATAAAAAAAAAAAAAGTGGGGCACTGGTGCCATGGCTCAACAGGCTAATCCTCCATCTTCAAGTGCCAAGATCCCATGTAGACGTCCCAGATGCTCTGCTTCCAATCCCAGTCTGCTTATGGCTTGGAAAAGCAGTAGAGGATGGCCCAAAGCCCTGGACCCCTACAGCCATGCCAGAGATCTGGAAGAGGCTCCTGGCTCCTGACTTCAGACTGGCTCAGCTCCAACCATCAACGCCCACTAGGGGAGTGAACCAGTGGATAGAAGATCTTTCTTTTTCCTTTTGTAAATCTGCCTTTCCAATAAAAATAAATAAATCTTTTTTAAGGTTTCTGGACAACATAAAAGTTTAAGAAGAATTTAGCATTCCACTTTGTCCAACAGACCTTTCCTGATGCCAAGCACCTGTGTTAGTCGCCCACCTCCATCCCTACGCATCCCTTTACGTAGCCAGTGGGTAAGAGAACAGGAAGACAAAACCCCTCATCCCAGACTCTGTGGTTTCATTGCCTAGGCTTATCACAAATCACTCAGCTGTTTTCATATCCTTTCTTTGTCGCTCAGCCAGATAACAACTTTCTGACTCCACTGGCTCTTGCAAACTAACTTGAAATCTGAGCCCAACACTCAGCACCTCTTCCACGCAAAGCCCTGAAGCAGACAGGAGCCCGGGGCGGCTGCGTCTAGACCGGGTTGGAAACCCTTGCCCACGCTCTGGCCGCAGCAGCGACAGCGGCGTTGTCGCCTCTAGGGGGCGTTGAGGGCCGGGGAGCGCTGCTGCGCCTTTGAATTTTCCCTCTCCAAGGGCCAAGTTAAATTCCAGAGCACCACATACAGTGAGGATTTTTGTTTTCTTTCTTCCATCCCCAGCCCGGGTGGCGGCAGAACTCAAAGGGTAGTCTGTTCTTGGGAGAAGACGGGCGTCTGCTTCGCTCCCTAACCAGCCCTGATCAAATCCCAAGCAGCCGGTGCTTAGATAAGGCGTCTGAGAAACTTGAAGCCAACAGCCCGGCCTCTCATCAGGGACCAGCATTGCCGGCTGCAACCTGAGACAAGCTGCCCAGATGCAACAGTGATTGAGCGTTAAGTGGCATCAGAGTTTATAGCCTGGGCCTATGAACTTAGACAAAGGAGGTTTTCAGAGAGTCGGCCTGGGCCTTGAGCACTTGAGCTGTTTGGGGGCACTCGGCACATGTACCTGGCTTCAGGATCATTGTTCTTCCCTAGCAAAGCCATAAGGTAGGTTAATCCAGCCTTGTGGGCCGCTCTCTCATGAGGGTTGCCTACAGTGTCCCCAGCAGGTGCGTGGGTTCCATTGTGTTAGATCGCAGGGAACGAACACCTCACCCCGTTTTCTATTTAGGCGACGACACCCTGAAAGCGTGACCAAGCCTCTTGTGCTGGAGCTGGTGATGGAGAGAGGGCATGCTCCTTCCTCACAGTGTTTAGTGAATGAATTCTGGACTGGACATGACAGCAGGAATACAGACCGATGAATGTAGAAAAAGCTTTGGTCGCTGACAAACCCTAGAAGGGGTTAGAGAAACTAAAGTTGGGAATGAGAGATGCGTGTAGAAGCGCTTCCTTTTCTGGATAGGGGTTGATGTTGTGGCGTCAAGCCATTGCCTGCAAGGTTAACCAACATATACGGGTGCCAGTTGGAGTCCCGGCTGCTCCACTGCCAATCCAGCTCCCTATTTATGATGGGGGCAAGCAGTAGAGGATGTCTCAAGTCCCTGGGCACCAGCACCCATGAGGGAGACCTGGAAGAAGCTCCTGGCTTTGGGTCACCTTAGCTCTAGCCGTTGTGGTCATTTTGGCAGAGTGAACCAGTGGAAGGAAGATCTTCTCTTTCCATCTTTCCCTTTCT